CTTGTATAAACATGTGGAATAGCTTCCTCTCGAACCTCAAATTCAATGTAGGCTCCCTTCCCACCTCTTGCTATGGCTCCGTGTAGCTGCTTTGTGAGTTGCTGACTCTATATTGTTGACTCGAGGGATCTGTGCCACACACAGCCGCTTTGTCACTGCAGTATGTACAAGCACCATCCCCCTTGACAATATCCCACGACATGTATGAACATGTGAATGAATGCATCAATTTAAAAAACACAAGTATTCACCATAATACAGGTTTTTGGGTTAGATCGCGTAAATATATAAATGTGTCGTTAAACCCGCCACCACCCGACACAGCCTACTAGTAAGGGTTGTAACGTAAACAGAACGTGCCAATTCGTCACGAGTACAGCACTATCCGCTGTGTTGGAGAGCCAAGCTACAACATTTACAATCGGAGTACGACGTTTCGCCAATAATTACAACTAGCTTTATCAGGCGACAGCCAGATTTGCGGAGATATCCTCCTGTTTCGAGCAATGAGGGGGGTGGGGGTGAATAATGAATTCATACAAATGACAATGGGTGTCCATTGCCCGTTGGGTTATTTACATGGTAATAAATATACATTATGCATGCACATTATGCAAGCCCATTGTTAGGCTCATAAGTTTAGGTTAATAGGCATTCACCTAGAGATTTGAAATGGCGCAGCGAGAAGCGGCCCTGCGTAATTGTAACCGCTATTGGAGGCAGGTTGTTTATTCTGTTTATGCCACGAGGAAACAGTGAGATTTGCATGATTCACATGTTCATGTTGAAATTTAATAATCCATAAATATGGCTTTCTTGCACTTCAGCAGATGTCATGTTAAACTGATTCAATGGGATGGAGCAGTATGTTGTGAGTCAGACATTACTATACAGTAGGGATGTGTTTTGGCCCCCTCCCAATTATCAGACTAATTCGAAATTTCAGAACATTGATACTTAGATGAAACATTTTTGGACAATTTTAGTATTTCCAATAACTTCTGTGATGTCTTCTTGGTTCTTTCAGTAAAGTCACGTAGAAGGGAAGTAATAAAATAATAAAAATAAAACATAATAAAACAATTCTCACGACGTTTCGGCCACAACGCAAGCAGCCGTCCTCAGGTGAAAACCAGGTCCGTCGAGGCGACAGAGTCTGAATGAAACAGCACACGAGCTTGGAGCATATATATAAGCTGGGCGCATTGACAATTTGCATATCAAAAGGAATTTAGCATATTTATGGGAAATGCAGGAATGTGATTAGTACTGCATATGCATGTGCATTATGCAGGATTAACAGCATCAAAGGGAGCTGCAGTTACTGCTGCTGCTGCAGTTGCTGCTGCTGCAGTTTCTGCTGCTGCTGCAGTTGCTGCTGCTGCTGCAGTTGCTGCTGCTGCTGTTACTGCTGCTGCACTTGCTGCTGCTGCAGTTGCTGCCTTATCCATTTTAATATAACACTATGTATTATTCTACCCACCCTAATGTGTATCACACTGCTATATGTTTACTATACAATTACGACAGAGTAATGTATGGTGTCGTAATTGTATAGTAAACATATAGCAGTGTGATACACATTAGGGTGGGTAGAATAATACATAGTGTTATATTAAAATGGATAAGGCAGCAACTGCAGCAGCAGCAAGTGCAGCAGCAGCAGTAACAGCAGCAGCAGCAACTGCAGCAGCAGCAGCAACTGCAGCAGCAGCAGAAACTGCAGCAGCAGCAACTGCAGCAGCAGCAGTAACTGCAGCTCCCTTTGATGCTGTTAATCCTGCATAATGCACATGCATATGCAGTACTAATCACATTCCTGCATTTCCCATAAATATGCTAAATTCCTTTTGATATGCAAATTCATTTGTCAATGCGCCCAGCTTATATATATGCTCCAAGCTCGTGTGCTGTTTCATTCAGACTCTGTCGCCTCGACGGACCTGGTTTTCACCTGAGGACGGCTGCTTGCGTTGTGGCCGAAACGTCGTGAGAATTGTTTTATTATGTTTTATTTTTATTATTTTATTACTTCCCTTCTACGTGACTTTACCGAAAGAACCAAGAAGATGAATCCCTGCAGTCACGAAAGCTTTAAATCAAAATTCTGTGATGTCATTTATGTGGTTCAAACTTAATTTGGAGCTTTCGTGACTGCAGGAATTACTCTTTGGTTCTTTCGGTAAAGTCACGCATAAAGATTAAATAATTGATTAAATACTAATTTCATGTATGCTAGTATTTAATTTATTATTTTATCTTTATACGTGACTTTACCGAAAGAACCAAAGAGTAATTTCTGTGCTTTTCTTTCCAAAGCTACATCACGTGGCATTGGGTGACATTAGCATCTCATAAATTTTGTCCGTCTCGTATGTTACGTCTTTTTTGTAAAGTATCCTAGCCTGAATGTGCATTAGCATCTAATGTGATCATATATTCTGAGACTCTCTATGTAATAGATCTATCGTGAGCTTTCAATCCAATGTAAATTGATGAGTAGTAACATGCCTATTAACATCAAAGTGTCCCACGAGCCAATTTAGTGAAGACAAATGCCAAGTACCAGCACCTAATGATGCCATTGAGAAGTTTCCCACTTCATAATCAATTATTCCCTCAGAAGAGCTGCGATGGAGTTTACATGCGTGTTAGGTTTTCCCAGTGAGCTCATTGGTATCGGCCTATGCATAACCGCGTAAGAAAATAATAAAAGTATCATAATGAAACTCAAATATTGTGGTATTGCCAAGAAGACAGAGAAAACAAAAACTGGACAGAAACCTGTTTTGTGTGGTGCGGCGTTTATTTGGTAACTCTCCAATGGTGCCAATGTTCTCTTGGCAGCAAACCTTCTTTACTTGGGTCACGTTCATCATTGGGAGACAGATTTCATTCGTGTTGCAGATATCTCTTTCAAACGAGGCCAGGTTTTAAGTTGTAGCCTTCATTATCCCCTCATATCGTTTCAAAGCACCAGCACAGATGCCGGCTCTCCGGAATGCTCGTAAGAAGGGATGCTGGCAGCACAAAAGACAATGTTTATGTTGTGCACAGCTTTGCTCTCCCCATTGGGAGACGTTTCCTTTGACAGTTTTCGCGTGCGTCTGTGGGTGCGTGTGATCGTGTTTGTGGCCGGTCAATAAAGTGACAGGACACTGAGCCACAGTCTCAATGTGGCACATTAGGAATGGACCACTCTGTTAACAAGTCCTCATGTTCATCTTCTTGGTTCTTTCGGTAAAGTCACGTAGAAGGGAAATAATAAAATAATAAAATAATAATTAAATAATTCTCACGACGTTTCGGCCACAACGCAAGCAGCCGTCCTCAGGTGAAGAACAGGTCTGTCGGAAAGACAGCGTCTGAATGAACACCACCAGGCTTGGCAGCGTATATTTAAGCTGGGTTGGAGGGGGAAGAGCGCCTTGACAACCCAGCTTAAATATACGCTGCCAAGCTTGGTGGTGTTAATTCAGACGCTGTCTTTCCGACAGACCTGTTCTTCACCTAAGGACGGCTGCTTGCGTTGTGGCCGAAACGTCGTGAGAATTATTTGATTGTTTTATTTGTATTATTTTATTATTTCCCTTCTACGTGACTTTACCGAAAGAACCAAGAAGAGGAATCTCTGCAGTCACGAAAGCTTTAAATCGAAATTCCTCATGTGCTGTGCAGTACATCAATGCACGTGTGTACACCAGCATGCGATGACTGATTTGGGCCTGTGGGGGGGGCTGGCAGGGTTAATGATTAACCGGACGTGTACACCAGTCACGTGGTTAATGGCGACTCGTTGAAGATTGCTGTGTGTGACACCATGTGCTGTTGCATTCTACAGATTAGCCACAATAAATGTGTTTGCCCTCGATTTGGAGCACCTGCCCAACATCCTTCATTTCGAGTGTGCAACATCAAAGACATACATTCAGTTCCATTCAGAACATGAACCTCACTAGGTCGGCTCAGCCTAAAATAGTTTATACGTAAGGCTGTTGACTAATGAACAGCAATGGCGGAGACAAATGTGGCACAGTATGATAGGTGTGCACAAGCAGTATTTACCCAAACATACCAGCCTTGCTAACATGGAGGTCTTTGTTTATATGTGCGATTGTGTTTGGGCGGTTGTGACCTACTAATCTGACGACCCGAGTTCAATTCCTGCACAAGCCAACACCCTTGACGATTATATAAACCGCTCTTAGGTCTTCCTCAGATCGAATCAGCCTCAAATGATTACCTGGTGTGATGTGTAAACATTGTCACTCGGAAGGCAAAGGCAGCCGGGTATGATGCTGGCCAGCCACCCCCTTATGTGCCGGCCTTTCTGTCCTTCATCATAGGTGCTCGCTAACAGCACTTGCACCAAAAGTCTACGGAGACTTTATGGGGGATATCAGTTTGTGTGTATGTACGTATGATGAACTGCACATTGATAATTGTCTTTTTACCCTTCTATCTGGCAACAAAACGGACACCTTTTTTACAAGGAGTCATGTTTACATAGACCACAATACCTGCAGTCATAATGCAAACAAAAAACATAACTCTGATTATGTATCCACTGTTTGCGAGCAGATAATTGTCAAAGTTCCCCAATGCCCTGGGCTATCGCCTGCGCTCCCACGCTGAATGTATTGAAACATACATTCAGTTCGCCTTTTGGCGTAAACAAAAAAAAACTGTTTCAAAGACAATGCATATATTATCAGAGCATGTTCACCACAAGTACGTGTTGTTAATGCAGACTTGATTCCTTGCAAAAGGTTTATATTTGGTGTTTGAACATCTTAATACCTATTCTTGGTTCTTTCGGTAAAGTCACATAGAAGGGAAATAATAACAACCAAGAATATGAATCCCTGCAGTCATGAAAGCTTTAAATCGAAATCTTAATACCTGTTTTATTGCCAGAAAGGGTGAAACCTATTCTTATTTTTTTCATACTGAATCTATTGCTGGCTGTACTTGATGTGATGTCTCCTTTGTTTCCGCAGATATTCCGCTGGCCCCTGGCCACTGCAATCAATGGAAGTGAAACCTTGGAAGTCCAAGTTTACAACCATGGCAAGCTCTCTAAAAAGTACGAGTTGTGCATGTATATATGTGTGTGTTTGCTTGGTACCAGCAGTGTCAAGATCGGCCTCTACGGAGGAGACTCGTGAAGAACGCTACTTTGCAGTTGAAAACAGTCACCCTCCAACAACAGCGGATGGCAGATGAGTGATGCTCACAATGGCCAACGGAATACTGGGTTGCTAAAAAGCAGCGAGCTGGCACAGTAGGGAGCACAGGTGGTGCATCTTGCCAGTCATCTCAGTCAATCAACCCATGGCACCTGGGTCTGTCTCGTGACCTCCTGTCAGTGAACCTTCAACAATTCACTTGGCCTCAAAGTGTACCTAGCCTGACGCAAACGCCACGGTGACGTTACCGCCACTTCGCCGCGAATGGCAATTGTTGTTGTTGTTGCTCGCTTGCGTGCTTGCATCTGCCAGTCATCTCGTTCGGTTAAACCCATGCCACTTGCGTGATTTGCAGCAATGTCTTGCTGTGTGCAGAGCATCACTTTGCAAAGCTGAGCTCGCTGTGGCGTCACCATGTAACGTGCAGCGCGGCCGCCTGCGTGGAAGTCACAAACTGTGGGATGGGGTGGGGAGGAGGCTGGAACCGGGCGAGTGCAATTTGGGCGCCGCAGTGGCGAGATGTTAACTACCTCGCCTGGTATACAGGAGGTCGTCGTTTCGATCCCGACCCTGACGCCTGCTGCTGTATATTTGGAGTTTGCGTGTCTCTTTCTCATCATCATCACGGTGACTATGAGATGTTAACTACCTCGCCTGGTATACAGGAGGTCGTCGGTTCGATCCCGACCCTGACGCCTGCTGCTGTATATTTGGAGTTTGCGTGTCTCTCTCTCATCATCATCACGGTGACTATGAGATGTTAACTACCTCGCCTGGTATACAGGAGGTCGTCGTTTCGATCCCGACCCTGACGCGTGCTGTTGTATATTTGGAGTTTGCGTGTCTCTCTCTCATCATCATCACGCTTGACTATGAGATGTTAACTACCTCGCCTGGTATACAGGAGGTCGTGGGTTCGATCCCGACCCTGACGCCTGCTGCTGTATATTTGGAGTTTGCGTGTCTCTCTCTCATCATCATCACGGTGACTATGAGATGTTAACTACCTCGCCTGGTATACAGGAGGTCGTGGGTTCGATCCCGACCCTGACGCCTGCTGCTGTATATTTGGAGTTTGCGTGTCTCTCTCTCATCATCATCACGGTGACTATGAGATGTTAACTACCTCGCCTGGTATACAGGAGGTCGTCGTTTCGATCCCGACCCTGACGCGTGCTGTTGTATATTTGGAGTTTGCGTGTCTCTCTCTCATCATCATCACAGTGACTATGAGATGTTAACTACCTCGCCTGGTATACAGGAGGTCGTCGGTTCGATCCCGACCCTGACGCCTGCTGTTGAATATTTGGAGTTTGCGTGTCTCTCTCATCATCATCACGGTGACTATGAGATCTTAACTACCTCGCCTGGTATACAGGAGGTCGTTGGTTCGATCCCGACCCTGACGCCTGCTGTTGTATATTTCGAGTTTGCGTGTCTCTCTCTCATCATTATCACGGTGACTATGAGATGTTAACTACCTCGTCTGGTATACAGGAGGTCGTTGGTTCGATCCCGACCCTTGACGCCTGCTGCTGTATATTTGGAGTTTGCATGTGTGTCTCTCTCTCTCATCATCAACACGGTGGCTAGGAGATGTTAACTACCTCGCCTGGTATACAGGAGGTCATTGGTTCGATCCCGACCCTGACGCCTGCTGTTGTATATTTTGAGTTTGCGTGTGTCTCTCTCTCCGTCGTCTCGTGGATTTATCTCCGGGTCCTCCGGCTTTTTCCTCCACATTTAGAAACATGCCTTCAGAGTATTTGGCTACAATAATTTTCCACATGATAAGCCAACTTCCACTGGGCTACCATTTGTGGCCAGGTTACTTCTGAAAAAGAGCGACGTAGTCTTCTTGGTTCTTTTGGTAAAGTCACCTAGAAGGGAAATAATAAAATAATAAAAAGGAAACATAATGAAATAAGAATTTTATTATGTTTGCTTTTTTATCATTTTATTATTTCCCTTCTACGTGACTTTACCGAAAGAACCAAGAAGATGAATCCCTGCAGTCACGAAAGCTTTAAATCGAAAAGAGCTACATAGCTCAGTGGGCCTTATCTGGTCAAATAATGTTTTTGTTTCGTTTGAAAAGACAGCCCTGAGGATGCCTGCGTCTGTGGGACAAACACGTGGCACAAACGACACATGTGTCACCCCCCCCCCCCCCCCCGCGCGTCGCTACCATTCAATCTCTCGTGCAAATTCCTCACAGCAGCTCGGAGCTGCCGGCGGGGCGACTTACGCTACGTAGGCGATGTCAGCATTGGAACAATGTCTGTCGGGAGTGCGGCAAACTGCTTGTCGCCTCTCCAAGATTGCCCTCGCCCACACACATTTTGCCAGCCGTGCCGGCAATAGCACCGCGTGGTGTGCTTCTTGGTCGCGTGTAAATCGAACGTCCAAACCGTGCAAGCGCACTTGGAACATTTGTTATCCAGGTTTGACCTGCAAATTGGCTTTGCTGGTGCAAGTCTTTACAATGCAGCAACTTGTAGGTGAGGTTGTTGGATAAGATGGAATTTGAAGCCTGAAGTGTGATGAGCATGTCCCCCCGTGGGACACAGTGTGCGTCCCTGCTTTATCTACATTGAGTTTGAGTGGCGATGTGTTGACTGCCTCGCCTGGTGTACAGGAGGTGGTGGGTTTGATCCTGGCCCTGACACCTGCTGCTGTATATTTGGAGTTTGTGTGTTCTCTCTCCTCGTGGTCACGTGGATTTTTGTCCAGGTCATCTCGTTTTTCCCTCCATATTTGGAAATGTGCGTTTGGAGTCCAGTATTTGGCTGATCTACATTTCCACATTATAAGCCACTTCATTGAGCTATAATGTGTGGCCAGGTCGCTTTTGAAAAAGAGCTTTATAAATAATGGATACATATGGATTGTCTCCAGGCACTTTATAGCTTCCTTCCATACAAATACAGTACAGTATACTCAAAAAAGAAATTGGTCGCCTGTTGCCATGTGCCCATACCTGTTTCTAATATTATTTTAAGAGGCAAAGATCGTTACGGTGGTGTCATCGGTGTCGTGTGTGTGGTTGTTGCAAGGTTTTTATTTTTTTTAACCGCAGGTGATGTTTCAAAATTACTCCTGCACGGGTGCCACCCTGTGACATGCAATTTCTCTGACGGTTTTTTTTTATTAATTTGAAAACACTGCTCCTTTGACTACTAAATCAACATCCATGGGCTGGTCAGTGTAGAATTGTACAAAGCCAACTGGGCAGTTGATTCGCGTCAACATTATCGGGGTTTTTTTTGCAGCTGTATGGTAGATATGTTTATGTGAAGTTATCTATAATATTGTGTCTGTTTATATATATTACGTACTTACATTGAATGCTTTAGCTGGTCGGCTGGATATTGTTGGCATTTAGCAGCGTAAGTTGTAAGCGTTTAGCGGCATAACAGGCAGGCACTTGAAATTAAACATTTAACTTATTGTAAATGCTTCAGAAAAAAAAACTACTTCGGGCTATGCTTTCTTTCTTCTGTCTATCCTAAGCAGCATTTATCTTTACTCTAAAGGGCTTGCCAACTCCGTGTGAGTTTCAAAAAAATGGTCCATTTGTAACATCAATCAGTCTCACGTTTAAACTTTAGATGGGGTAAAGCTATTCATGTTTTGCATCTCAAGGCTTTTTTACTTTAGATGTCAAACCATAATTGGCTTGTTCTAATTCAGTTAAAACATAATTAGTGTTTATTTAAAACTCGTAACAGTTCAACTTTGAAACCTACCTATAACAGTAAGGACATGTCAAATGTCTTTTCACATGATGCCTTTTTGACTGACACATTGCTAAGTCAAAAATACCTTATTTCTACATATGCAAATAGACTTTTATTATAATTAGTAAAACATGGCAAAAACAGGTATATTTATACAGATATTCTATAATGAGATAGTGTGTCACGCCCAAAGGACTTTGATCCTTTGTTGTTTTCGTTTTCTGCCAACCTACTTTCACATGCCCGTGAGACACGTTACACCATGACCATGAATATTGACCGTGTTCGAATATCCTGTTACAGAAAGGTGGCTGGCATAAGGTGTCACATTCATCAACAAACAACGCCTGGACGTAATGTTCAACTTTAAAACGTAACAATACAGTCCATTGGATTTACTCACAGACATTCCTAAATGTATTATAAATTTATGGACAAGTGTGCGCTCTAAACTCTAAATATTTCATGATTTATTTTCTAATTATAATTATTACGCTTTTTCAGCCAAGCCTCGCTTAGTCTCATCACATTTTCAGGAGGGGCCCTGCCAGCTGCTTTCAGTAGGGGGCAATAGTTTCTGCGGATAATCCCAATTGAGTCATTTGTGGGTAATTTTTTGCACATTTGGCAAATTTTGACCGTGACAACGGCACAACAATAGACTATAATTGGTTTTTTACCCTTCTATCTGGCAACAAAACTGACACCTTTTTACAAGGAGTCATGTTTGCATAGACCGCAATACCTGCAGTCATAATACAAAAAAAAGACATAACTCTGATAATGTATGCACTGTCCTTGAAGTTGATTGGTCCACACCCGAGACAGCTTTCCTTAGAACCTCGTCTCACATGGGTTGGACCAGATGACGCCAAAAGGCGCACGGTGCAGTGCACATTATCAGAGTTATGTATTTTGTTTGTATTATGACTGCAGGTATTGCGGTCTATGCAAACATGACTCCTTGTAAAAAGGTGTCAGTTTTGTTGCCAGATAGAAGGGTAAAAAACCAATTATAATATTTTTTACTGGCAAATGAGGTTCCCATGGAACAATAGACTACTTGTGAAGCGGACGGCACCGTTATTTTGTGCGTTTTAATACATCCGCATTAATAACCAGGGCAACAACCGGAATTGACCTCTGCAACTCGTGACAAAACGTGCTACTTCTGGGCCATGTTACATGGTTGATGCTTGGTTGTTTTAAACGTAATTCATTATAGCTTGACAATTTGACTCCAGCAAGTGACTGCCTTTTTTGAGCGCTATTGCTCCAATTACGAATGTTAGTCAATTGCTTACAGCATTGCCTTTGCTTTGAACTTCTTTCGCACCGTACGTAGCCAATGGTACTAATCGGAGGTGAGGCAGAAGAACAAATAACTAAATAAAATGCCAGGGTTGCCCTGGTTAACGCTCACTTACTCCAATTGCTGTTGGTTTGCTGACTACATTACATGACAAACCTGAGTGCATCCGCTTAGCAACTTTAATTTAAAGAGCCATCGTGAACCTTCATTTGTAAGTGCTGAACGGCGGTATGTAAACACAAGGCACCAGGAATACCATTTGAATTGGTCACAACATGAGGAACCATTGCACAGCTAACCCTCTCTATTGTAGCAAGTCCGTATCAATGTCGCTTTCCTAGCAGCACCTCTACATAATAATAGGCTCAGTCAACCATTCTACACAACAAAGACTAATTTCCTGGCAGCGATTTAAGCCGCACCACCTCTACATTATAATAGGCTCAGTCAACTATTCTACACAATAAAGACTCATTTCCTGGCATTGATTTCAGCCGCATCATCTCTACATAACAAGGGGGCTCAGTCCCTTTTACACGCACCTTTACATAATCCTCGCCTAGTTTACACAGCAGAGGCTCATTCCCAACAGCGTGCTTCAGCCGCACCGAACCTCACGGAAATGATATTCAGGGCCTAACTTGGCTCCTCCCACCCTCAACCAGTATATATACAAATACTGTTTCTTGGAATTTCTCTCACTTGATACAGCTATCGTGCTGTGACGGTTCCACCTGAAGACGGAAGTTTGTGTTGCCTCCGAAACGTCGTGATTTTTATTTTATTTTTTATCTTACTTTGATTAATTTAAATTTTTTACCTACGTGACTTTACCGAAAAAACATAAGAATATGAATCCTTGCAGTCACGAAAGCTTCAAATCTAGAATTCCTAGCAGAGGTTTATCCGGGATGGTATGAAGAGAGGGGCCCTTTGCAGTAAATAAAGGTGCTGAACTCATAGCGTCGTCTTGTCGCTGGCTTCTGGGACTGTGAGTGTAGGAGAAGTGATCTGTCTTACATCACAGTGATTGAGCCTTCCTGTTCTGTCTCGCAATTGATTCCATCGATCAATCCTTGCGTTCCAGCATATGGGTCAATTCATAATGACGATACATTACTCCTAGATTTGAAGCTTTCGTGACTGCAAGGATTCATATTCTTAGGTTTTTTCGGTGAAAGTCACGTAGGTAAAAAATAAAAATTAATAAAAGTAAAATAAAATAAAAATCACGACGTTTCGGAGGCAACACAAGCTTCCGTCTTCAGGTGGAACCGTCACAGCACGATAGCTGTATCAAGTGAGAGAAATTCCAAGAAAACAGTCCTTGTAAACAGTCCTTGTATATATACTGGTTGAGGGTGGGAGGAGCCAAGGTAGACCCTGAATATTATGATACATTACTCACTTTCGACAGTGCATTCACATAATATTGTCGAATTCAAGTCATAAAGATCATCATTTTTGTCCATCAATACATGTGGAGTTAATGGCAGGTGCAATTCCCAGTTAAGCTTACCCTGTGACGTGCACCGCACAGCAGCTGATGGTTTGCTTTGTCATTTCCCTGTCAACGTGGCTGGGTGGGTATCGGAGTCAAACTGCTGACGTGTGCAGACTAGGCCGGCAGAAAACATGCTGATGGTCAGGATTTTCAGATGCCTAAAATATATGATGGAAGTCGACAAAGCAGGACACCCGCGGTATGCTTGAAGCCGTGGTATGCTGGAATGCACTTTAATTTCAACACTCCAGCTGCTTGGGGCATTTTAATGGGTGTGTTTGAGGATGTTGACCACAAAGATCTTTTAAAAAGACTTGACCGACTACTTATTGCTATGACAAAGGAATATTGTTTTCATTCGTCTGTCTGGATTTTCATCCGCACAACAACGAGCGGAGCGCCGGGCGGCTAAAAAAACTGCAGGTTGGCACAGTAGGGGGGCACAGGTGGTGCATCTGCCGGTCATCTCAGTCAGTCAACCCATACCAACTGGATCTGTCCCGTGACCTCCTGCCAGCGGGCGTTCGACATTTCACGTGGCCTTAAATTGCAGATAACCTGTCACAAGCATTGTGGTGACATCACCGTCACTTTGTGACGAATGGCGGTTGTTGTCAGTACATATGAGGACAACTTGACATGTTTATGAAAACAACAATTGCTACAATTCTCATCACACAGATTAACAATAGCCGTGCATAGTTGTATAGTTTTTGGACACAATTGGCAATTTTATTTTTTGCAATTAATCCTACGGCCAACAATATTCATCAATAATGTCGCAATAATACATGTTTTCCTACGTTAAATTACATTATAATTAGGGTTTTGGGGTGCAGTTGAAGAATCTCATTGAAATATATCTAAAGGCTCCCTGAATGGACTGGCTTCCAAATTTTTTCTCTATGTGTATCCTAATACGTATTTGCAGAATATAGTAATACGGTAATTTTTTGTAAACTATTAAATCTGCACGTAACCAGCACATACGAGATGTTTAAATCACAGAGTAGCCAAAAGCGACTTCACATTTTACAGACAGCGCTTGAAAGCAAAGGATGGGACTTTTTCATTCATTAAAAAAAGACAAAAATACTTTTGCCATTGTAATGTGCTTACTTAGTATGTTCGGCAAGGCAGATTATTATGGTAGCCACAGTGGCTATTTCCTCAGGGCTTCTGCCGTTTCTACTGTATAGGGTGTGGATCAGCGAACGCATGCATGCATGTACGTAAGTCTGCGTGGGAAATAGTGACATGGTAGTTGAAAACATATCTCCCGATGATTGTGGTTCCTGGTCATGCACAACATCAGTGGTCATTGATGACTGAATATAGCTTGGTCTCCTCCCGGCTCCATGCAACTTTAGTATTTTGTGCACCCTACCAACGCCCACCAGAGTAGTGCTGACCAAACACAGAGTTTGTGTGTATTGTGCCAGCGTTAATCGGTGTCCACTCTGGACGAGTTTCATATAATTTGCATGATGTAACAATTGAACGTGTCCTCCTACGAACAAACATGGGGTCATTAGATGGCACGGAACACCACTCTTGGTGGGAAAAGAGGTGGACATGATGTGGTTAAAGTGACATCACTTCCTGTTTTTGGATCATCTGAAATTTGACATCTAGGCCTCATTTTTGGATTTTGTGGATTTTTTTTTATTTATTAGAGAAACATGTGGATTTTGTCTGCGGGTCCTACGGTTTTCCCTCCAAATTTAGAATCTTCATGTGTTTAAAGTTTTTGGCTGCTATAAATTTCCACACAATAAGCCACTTCGTTGGGCTATCATTCGTGGCCATGTCGCTTCTGAAAATAGCTATATAGACCAGTGGGCCTTAGTAAAAATTTTTTTTTTAATATATGGTGTTTGCAACACTATAGCCTTGTGTGCTATTTTGTGGTCTGAATAGGTGCCCGCTAATGTTATGTTCAAGTTCAAGTTCATTTATTAGGTATAGCCCTGTGAGCCATTCGGCTCTTGAATCGGGTGCATCCGCAACAAACAAAAACATGAACAAAAAAACATCTTAAAGTGAATATGTGACTAAGTGCAAACAGAAAATCCAAGAAAAGACAGCTAAATATTGCAGAAAAAAACCGTACACCAACGCTGTGTGCAAAAATCCCAGTGGGATGCAAGTTAAACAACAACAGCAACAACCACAAGATAACTTAGATTAAGGCCATCAATCTAACTCTGTACTACAACAAACAAAACATGGCTAAACCAATACAGTACTTTCGAGAGTCTACGAGGCTAAATGCGGAATCTGTTTTTGTCCGTGCCACCCCAGGCTGGTGGGGACCTTCCGCATGGTACTGCAGCAGCTGCTGGAGCAGGGACAGTTGGAGTTGACGGAAACACTCCTCGATGAAAACAACGCCTCGATCATGGTGAGCACAGAGACGGACCACCAACACCCAAACGAGTTTACAGAATCGGACTTTTATTCTCCCACCGAGTAAAGCCCACGCAGCTACGAAGCTGTTTTTCAAGGGCGACTCGGTCAGAAAATGCTGATATAGGGGTTATAAATATGAAAATAGAATGTACGAAAAAATGCAATGAAAAACTCATCACTACGACATTCATGCAAGTGATGTTCCAAATGTTCTGATTAATCCAAACACATCTTAAGACTGGAATTTATGATGATCCAGAAGAAATCGAACCTGGGATTGATCCAAAAACATGACATCACAGGAAAGGATGCCCAACATTGTCACTTCAGTGCATTTCCTGCCAAATATAGTGTCACCTTGCGTTGAGTGATGACACCTTCATTAGCACAAAGACACGTTACATCTTAAAATCGACTAACATATTTACAAAATTCGTAATACTCAAATCTGAAACTACAGGTCACAACGCTTTACTTTTTTCCTTCTTTCCTCAAATTGCTCCATTTTGGAATTCCCTCCGATCATCTCTCTTCTGCCAAGTCCTTACAGCCTTGTTCGTTTTAACAAACGCGTTAACTCGTGTGCCCTGTCTTCACCAATTACAGTTTCCTCCGACATGAAGCCAAACTCCCAGCAATAATAATAATATGGATTTTATTTTCTCATGTGTCCAGGCAACGGTCACACTGGAACTCCAATACCAGGCGCTCGATGGCACAGTGGGTGCGTGGAGCGAGCGGGATTTTGTGGCATTCCACAACCGGCATCTCATCCCAACCCCGACAGGGGACACGGACTCACTCATGCCAGAAGATGAGACCGGTGGAGGTAAAAAAAGGTGAGCCCTAAAATTTGGAATGTTGCTGGGTTTGACATGTACAGTAAAACCTTGGATTGCGAGCATAATTCGTTCCGGATACGTGTTTGTAATCCAAAGCACTCGTATATCAGTTGTGATCACGTGACGCTCGGCAGACAAAGCGTATACACGTACTACTCGTATTGCAAGACCTCGCTCGTTTATCAAATTAATATTTATTTAAAAATTTGCTCGTCTTGCAAAACACTCACAAACCAAGTTACTCGCAATCCAAGGTTTTACTGTACGTCGAATTTTTCTCGCACCGTACGTAACCAACCGAGCTCATTGGAGGTGCGGGGGAAGGACAACAAACTAAACACAAAAAGCAGTTCTTAAGAAATTAGTTTTCAATCTCGATTTAAAAGTGCTTCCTAATATCTGAAGAGCGTTCCAGACGGCCGCACAAGCACATCTGAGAGCGTGCGATGCAATTACTTTCTTTGTTTGGTGGTTAGCCAAAATATGCTGCAAGGATGACCAGAGTTTGCATGATGGTTTACACTCCTTGACGATATCGGCAAAGTATTGTGATTCCTTTGTGGCAAGAACTTTGTGTGTAATGAGTTTGACCTTATAAAATGTTGAGGTACAACATTGAGAATTGTAAAAAAAAAAATCCAAAAGCTTTAAATCACCACCCCCTTTGAAACACTTTTTAAAAAAAACCGTGCTTATTATTTTGGACATACCTTATAACATTTCCATTTCCAACCCAAAAAGGTTGAATATTGACCACATTGAATATTTCACAGACTATTGTCAGATTGGAGAATGTTCAGGACACAAATAAAATATACATTTCTGAAACGTATATATATTTATATTCATGTGGCGTAAAACGGCAGAAGTCACTTACATTTCTGTCCCCCAAGGTAAATATCTCTCCTTATGATTACAAATGTCTCATAGCCCACTGGGGGTTCACTGTAAGACCTGTTTTTCTTGCTGCCACTTCAGAAGAACCAGCACGTTTTAACTCACAGCAGTTTTGTTTGCCATATTTTTTGTTTAAAATAACAAGACAAGATAAGTAGTAACTAAAGCCACTTTTAATAGGTGCTGCCTCAGGTATATTGCAATTTTATACCATTCAAGAGATTAACAACACAATCTAAGGTTAATAATTTGTATAAAAATAATTAGCCAACGGACATTATTGACTTTTGGTAATTATCAGAATGCAGATACAATTATAGTTACGTGTAATTCTGGCACGTGAGCACGTGTTAGCTCTAAGGGCTCGTGCCAATTCCATGATGGCTTATCAAAAGCACGCACCGACTCGCACATACGCAGGCATGCTTCTACTTGCACATGAACTTCTGCCTCGTGTACCCTTGCCTCCAAGCAGACCAATCATGCTCAGATTCATAACAACACACACGTGCACTCGGGGTCGCGACCTCTCAGGTGCAAAATAATAAAACCCCGGGGCATATCATGTGAAGAAGAGCAACTCACAGTACCAGAAGAGCACTGCGTAAACTCATTTGAGTGAGGTATCATTGGGCATCTTCTTGGTTCTTTCGGTAAAGTCACGTAGAAGGGAAATAATAAAATAATAAAAATAAAACATAATAAAATAATTATCACGACGTTTCGGCCACAACGCAAGCAGCCGTCCTCAGGTGAAAACCAGGTCTGTCGGGGAGACAGCACACGAGATTGGAGTATATATATATATAAGCTGGGTTGCGAGGGGGGGAAAGGGCGCTTCGACAAAAGAATTTGCATATCAAGAGGAATTTAGCATACTTATGGGAAATGCAGGAATATGATTAGTACTACATATGCCCGCTGCTTGCGTTGTGGCCGAAACGTCGTGAGAATTATTTGATTATGTTTTATTTTTATTATTTTATTACTTCCCTTCTACGTGACTTTACCGAAAGAACCAAGAAGATGAATCCCTGCAGTCACGAAAGCTTTAAATCGAAATATCATTGGGCAATTGACAAAAAACTGAACTTAATATCCTGAAAAAACTTGCAGATTTACCAGTAGAGCAGCTACCTAAAGCAGAGGATTAACCCCGCGGAAATGAGAACAAAGGGCAACCCTGGCGTGCACATACTTACATGTCAATGGTTGTTCACCTTGTACAGCTATTTTGGGGATAGTGGACTTGTCCTACAAAGCACTGGACTGCCTCACACACTGCCAAACACTCTGTGGCTGCAAATGGGGTTTCGGAGAGCTGTTCTGCCATAGATATATACGAAATAACACTCGTGTTTAAAACGTTATGCTTTTCAAATCCACAGGAAGTTCTTGAAATTCAATATTGGACGAAAGAAATCCAAAGATGATGAAGCGGCGTATGTCAATCCAACTTTCGAAGGTGAGAAAGGCCACTTACCTGGGTTGCATGAGGTTAAAATCAGTGGCAACTTTGTTCTATTAAATACCATTCCTGCTACGGCAAAGCCCTTGTCTATGTGCAAAGGGTACGCGTGGCACACATTTGCAAAGTGCTGTGGGCTTTTGTAAACCAGAACATGGGCGACATTCAGGTTGTGAACGTGCTTGACCGTTCCCTGTGTGATTACAGAGAGCGAGGATTCGGATGGATCAGGTGGGATGTCGGTGAGTGGCAAGGGCGATAACCTGGACACCATTTCCATTGCCTCAGGCAAGGTGGAGACATCGGATGTTTCCAACAAAAGGTGAGTGCAGCTATAACGGGCGGTCGTGTAAGGAGAGCAAGATAGAATTAATCGATACGATAGCATGAATCGATAATATAGCACAGTTATTGCGGTGTTCACCAGACACTACAATGTAATATGGTCATGCAGTATTGAGCCGCTATATATATGTCTCGATAATTAAACATCTAGATAATTAAACATCTAGAAAGTGTGTTTATACACGTGGAAGGAAACCAGAGCATCAGTGAAAAAACCCCACATTCATACAGGTGGAAATTAATCAACTTGCTCGACTGCCTTACCCTGCTGAGCCGGGGGATGGTGACCAGAGGTCGCAACCGGGTACCCGATACCCGTACCCTACCCGATACCCGGCTACCCGTACCCGGCCAGGTACGGGTACGGGTACCCGTTTGTGACCCTGGTGCGGCCGGGTACGGGTACGGGTAGGCCGTGAGTCACTGGTGAGTCACTGTTTGTCACTCATTTCGGGTAGGGTACGGGTACGGGTAGAGAACGGGTACCCGTAACCGGCCGGGAACGGGTACCCGTACCCGGTCAGGTACGGGTACCCATTTGCGACCCTGGTGCGGCTGGGTACGGGTACGGGTAAGGAATCAAAACCCGTTTACGACCTCTGATGGTGACCCCGGCTCCCACGGGTAAGGGAGGGAGTTTCACAAATTGGGGTTATTCACCAACCCTTACCTTTCAAGGTGCTAGAATGAAGTAGAAGAAGATGTGGTCTGGTTTCAAGACAAAATTGCGCACATTCTACGAGAGGAGGCACGGTCAAGGTTCAGGGGGCGCAATCAGCTCGGGTTGATTATGACCCAAATCTACATCCAGATCCCGTGATTACGTAGATTCGGTTTGCTCGATCTGGATCCGTCAGTCAATTCAATGCAATCAATTAAAATAACGTGTTTTTTTCTCGTAAAAGTATTGCGTAATAATGTAACTCTTATTTACACTTATCAGTGTCGTTTGTGAATGTATGCGCATTCTGTAAATGTTATGTTGGTATTTTCACGTCAAATCAATGGGACTGAAATGGCTTCGTGAGACTTTTACAATGTCAGGAGCTGGCATTAAACAGCGAAGCGATGCTTTGCTCACAGATCGAAACCGGAGCAGAGGGTCGATCCGACTGCGGGCAAGCCTCAGAGCTACCAGGTACACACGCTGGTGGCGGTGGCGGTGATGGTGGCGGTGACGGTGATGATGACGGTGGTGGCAGTGACGGTGACGGTGATGATGATGGTGACGGTGGTGGTGGTGACGGTGGCGGTGGTGATGACGGTGACGGTCGTGGTGGCGGTGACGGTGGCGGTGATGGTGACGGTGGCGGTGACGGTGATGATGACGGTGGTGATGACGGTGACGGTCGTGGTGGCAGTGACGGTGACGGTCGTGTTGACGGTGGCGGTGACGGTCGTGGTGATGGTGGCGGTGGCGGTGACGGTGGTGATGACGGTGACGGTGACGGTGGCGGTGACGGTGACGGTTGTGGTGACGGTGGCGGTGGCAGTGACGGTGGCGGTGACGGTGGCGGTGACGGTGGCGGTGACGCTGATTATGATGGTGACGATGGTGGTGGCGGTGACGGTGACGCTGACGCTGATGATGATGGTGACGATGGTGGTGGCGGTGACGGTGACGGTGGCGGTGACGGTGACGGTGATGATGATGATGGTGACGGTGGCGGTGGCGATGTCCCATCACGGCTCTCTTCATCTCCCCCCCCCCCCGCACAGCAGCCAATGCACATGATGACCAGGCAGGAACACCGTGCAACGAAATATCACGATGCATCAAACTAATTACGAGAATGTGTTACATTTATATGTTTTCATCATCATCATCATCTGTGGTCAATCCACAGCTGGATGAATGCCCTCAGCCAAGCAGTTGCCATATTTCACAATCCTCAGATTTAACAATTCACCTTGCACCTGCACACGAACTGATTTCATGTCTTCATCTCCAAGTTGAAGGTTGATAATTGCGCCTTTTGGCGTCATCTGGTCCAACACCATGTGAGACTAGGCTCTAAGGAAAGCTGTCTCGGGTGTGGACCAATCAACTTCAAGGACAGTGCATACATTATCAGAGTTGTGTTTTTTGTTTGCATTTTGACTGCAGGTATTGTGGTCAATGCAAACATGACTCCTCGTAAAAAGGTGTCAGTTTGGTTGCCAGATAGAAGGGTAAAAAAACAATTATCATATTTTTCTACTGGCAAACGAGGTTCCAATGGTGAAGTTGAAGGTTGTTTCATTAAAAAAAAATCCATTCATTGGCTGTAACGCCATGAATTTTCTTCACCATCTGCCATCATACATTCTAGCGATGTCTCCTGCCCAAGCCCACTTAAGCCTGCTGAGTACGCTTAATTATTCTTAACAGTTTGAATTTTGTCTACAACCTGCGTATGTTCTAGAATCAAATTTCTGTCACTCGATGTAATCGCAAGCATGCATCTCTCCAGACTTGTTTGGGCATTTCCATTATTTTTCACACATTTTTTAATGCTCAATTAAATTCAAGATACCTTCGGCTTATTTAGCTTGTGTTGGAAAGATTAATGTTGGAAACTTCTGGAAGCACCATTCAAGCGCCTAAAACACCAACATGAAATCAAGCCTGTCCCATCAGTAAATATAAAAATATTTATTTTTTTACCTGACAGAAAATAAGCAACAAACCACGTGTATCTCTCTGGTTCACTTAGGCCTCACTGCCACCTTTAATACACTGCTATATGGGTTACTACTGATTACTCCACTCTTCATAAATGCTTGCGTTGCTGCCCCTTGCCCTCCTTCCCCCCACCCACTGCTGCTTGTGCGTTGATCCCAGGCTGCCTTGCTGGGTGTACACTCTTTCTGGGCCCCTCTGCTGGCTGCGTTCATCTGGTGACTTCTGCTGGTGGTGCTCTTCTACTGGGATGTGCTCTTCCCAGGCACCCTGATGAGTTTGCGACTACAATACTCCACCCCGTCGATGTACGATCACATGTAACTTCTTTATTTTCCACTGCGCCAATCGAGCTGCGCTGTGGCAGTGCCGAGAGCCAGTCCAGCACAGCTCAAGAGGCTCCAGGTGGATTGTTTTACTGCACAGCCAGATCAGTATCACATGAATAACCACACCCCTGGCCCTGCTTGGCCCCAAGCCAGTTTCACATGTCTTGTGAGGCCAGAGGTCCATGGTTTGGTTTTGGCTCGGCTCAGCAAATAGCCAGTGGAAACCCACCAGCACCGTGAGAGCTCTGCGCTGATATGGTTCAGATGTGCCAGTGGAAAAGCAATAATACTGCTGGATATAAACGCTTCTTCAACCTCCGTTTTGCTTTGGTGATATATATATATTTTTAAAAAAAATCAAATTCTCTCCATATACTCTATTATTATTGTTGTAACAATGTGATTCTTCATATGCGTGGTGATATTAGAAGTGCTTTTCATGGATGCTATTATCTGCATTTGACTGTCAAAAACACTCCTCTTGTTCGAACATACACCTGTGGATAAACGTAGATATTAGAATGGAATTGCAATTACCGCACTTCCAGTTTGCTCCACTCATCCATGGAAGGACTGTGAGGTACTATAGAGGCTACAGTACTTGTGGATGCTGCCTAGCCATAAATAAACATGAACAATGAGTAATATTCCATGAAAATAAAGTGCGCCATACCATCATCATCATAAAGACCGTTATTATCATCATGACCAATATCATCATCATAATCACCATCGTAACCATCTTTACCATGACCATCAACCTGCACAGGATGGGATGAACAATGGCCAATAGTCCATGAAAGTGTAGTGTGCCATACCATTCATCATCATCATCAAGACCATCATTATCATCACAACCAATATCACCATCATAACCGCCATCGTCACCATCTTTACCATGACCATCAACCTGCACAGGATGGGATGAACAATGGCCAATAGTCCATGAAAGTGTAGTGTGCCATACGATTATCTTCATCATCAAGACCATTATTATCATCACCGCCAATACCATCATCACCATCTCTACTTTACTGGCCCCCACCATTCGAATGTGTAATTTCCACAAGTGACTTACAACTGCCGATGGGGATGAGTGCCAGGGCTTTCCCAGCATCATCTGTGGCGGGTCATTCCCTGCTGGCAGAATTTGCCCGAACTCGGAAGAATCCCCTGCTGGGTATGTGAGCGGGTTGCTGTTGCCACCACAATCCCCTTTCCTCCTGTGCAGGTGAGTGTGATGATCATTCGCGCACAGAAGCTGGTGGGACTCAACATAGACCCAATGGTGATTTTGGAGGTTGGAGATATAAAGAAGAAAACGAGGATCGAAAAATCCACGAATTGCCCTAACTACAACGAGGTGAGGGCATGGGCCTGTGGTCCTGGTGTAATAAAGGTCGTGGAAGCGACTTCTGAATTCAGGGTTCTTATTTGTCTTTAGTTCACAACTCTCCTCATATAAATTCCACTCCTGTCTTACTCCTTCACGCTGTTGACAGCGTGAGAGGGAGAGACTCTTGCTGCCACGTGGCAGGCCTGGACCCCCGCTCCAGCGCGGCCTCATCCTTCGTTCGTTCCAGATCTGACCACGTGTTGCTTGTCTCCACCCCTTTTAATACCCGGGTCACGTGGTACCTTTCCACCAGTCCTGGTTAACCTCCATGGAATCTTCCAGATTCCATCGTAAGATCCCAGGACCACGCCCCTGACTCGTCCCCCCATTGGCTGTGGCTACAGCCAGCAGATCCAATCATCTCCTCCCAGATGTCACCTTCCCATTACGTCAGGGCCACGCCCCTAGACCTCTCCCCATTGGATATAGGCCAGGACCGGTAGAGCCAATCATCGTAACGAGGTGTGATCAATCAACCACCCGGATATACCCTCACATTACACTTGTATACAGCCTAACTTATTCTTTGTTTATCTTTCGTTGCAGTATTTCGTGTTTGACTTCAACACGGCTCCCAACACAATGTTTGACACGATCATTAAGCTGACGGTGAGTGTAATAATCAAAGTTGTACATGACGACAAAAGTCCATCGTACAGATACGGGTGACCCAGGTAGATCATTCACAGCTAGATGGGCATGGGGAGAAAACATGAGGAGAGACGAAGACGAACATGTGTGGGGAGATCAGGAGAGACGAGGGGAACCCTTTAGAGTGAGATTCACACAAGTAGACACAACGACAGAGAGACACATTGAAAAACACATTGAAAGACACAAGCTGAGAGAAAAGAAAACTACACGGATGAGATGAGAGACACATTTAGAGTGACACTACCTCGCCTGGTATGCAGGAGGTCGTGGGTTTTATCTCGACCCTGACGCATTTGTATTTCGAGATTGCATGTTCTCTCTCCCTGTGATCACGTGGATTTGTATTCAGGTCCTCCAGTTTTTTTCCTCCAAATTTAGAAACATGCGTTTAAGAATAGTTGTCTGCTATAAATTCCCACATGATCAGCCACTTTGTTGATTGCCAGGTCGCTTCTGAAAAAGAGCCACATAGCTCAGTGGGCTTTACCTGGTAAAAAAATAACAAATAAATTCATCTTCTTGGTTCTTTCGGTAAAGTCACATAGAAGGGAAATAATAAAATAATAAAAATTAAACAATGAAAATACAATACAATTCTTGTGAGAATTGTATTTTATAATATTTTATTATTTATTATTTTATTATTTCCCTTCGACGTGACTTTACCGAATTCATCTTCTTGGTTCTTTCGGTAAAGTCTCGTAGAAGGGAAATAATAAAATAATAAAAATAAAACAATAAAATACAATACAATTCTTGTGAGAATTGTATTTTATTATTTTTAAATTTTATTATTTTATTATTTCCCTTCTACGTGACTTTACCGACAGAACCAAGAAGACGAATCCCTGCAGTCACGAAAGCTTTAAATCGAAGCAAATAAATTGTTTCGTTTAGACACTGCCCTCAAGTGTTGAATGTGGCTTGCACCTGGCTGTCTGACTCTTGCTTCTCTGCACAGCTCTCCATGGCGATAGTTGCATTGCTGATGATTTCCGTGTGTTTATTCACAGGTAGTTCACAATAAAGATGCGATCCGAAGTGGGACTCCAATTGGGACCTTCAAACTCGACGTTGGCACGGTCTACAGTCAGCCTGGTGAGCGTTGATTGTTCATAATTATTGTAATTTTGGCTCGTAATAGCTGTGTTCTGTCTTTAAGACTGTTTTCCAATCCTGTTTCAGATTTAAGATAATTTTGGTTTCTCCTTGTCAACGTTTTTGCTTCGAGCGAAAGTCATCCAGAGCACTGCATCACGCGCTTCTGCAGCCGTCTGGAATGCTTTTTCTTCCAATATTAGGAAGCCACTGGAGCTATACACTTTTGAATCCCGATTGAAAACTCTTTCCTTGAAAACTTATTTTTGTGTTTAGTTTCTTGTTCTTTTCCCACACCTCCAATTAGCACGGCTGGCTACGTACGGTGCAAAAGAAGTTCAACATACATACATAATAAAACAAACGTCTCAGAGCGTAGTTTCTTTTAGTCTAGGGGATCCTAGGTTGTGAGATTTCCTCCTGCAGAAAAGGGTAGCCTTGGAAAACCTTAGACCCAATGGCTGGATCCACCGATGGCACCGATGAGAAGATTTGCACGTCCTTGTCATTAATCGCAAAGCACCATAGCAGGCTCTTTGTGGACTTGAGAGACACAGAAGGCTTGGTCCACTCATTCTTGACCTGCCGGCAGAACGACTCCAACAGAGGGAACGATGAATAGTTGACGGGTCTATCTCAGGATTACAGGATCTCATCCTCCGGGGGCCTTCACAGGTTCATGTTCAGGGAGCTTGAGGCTGTGACGTTCCGGGGAAGCTCCCAACGTATGGCAAAGTCCTCGGAAGAGTATTCCGAAACCCAACACTGAAGCAGACTGCTAAACAAAAGTTCTCATTTTTTTATGGACCTAGCCTCGAGAATAGGTGCAGCTCCTGCTGGACAGTCTGGTACATAAAGCTCGCATAAGTGTCTCTGATCAAACTTGTAACCGAGGCTCAGGGTCGCCACACTCGTCCCAGACGACCAGCTACTCCTCGGAGGTAGATTCATCTGGCGGCGCCTGAGGATGGGCTCTTTTCCTCGCACCTTCAACCACGCCGGCACCATGCCATTGCTGTTGGGCCAAGGCCGGCCCAATATCCTCACAGGGATTACCCTGGGCTTGGTGAAGTCTCCGACGTGCCGTAGATCAGATTAATTGTATGGCTATGAACTGCCACGTGTCTGCTTGCGGCATTGACGACACACATCGTATCAAGATTCGAGAGAGCCCCGGGAGTTTGTCAAATGCTTCTCTTTGTGCTGATGAGGATCACTCAAACTTAAAAAATGTAAAGTTTATATTTGTACCAAAAGTGGTGCCAACATTCTAACGTGCAGTTGTCCATTGCTGTTAAGCTCATACACACGAAGCCAGAGTACCACTCAGCCAGATACAAAGTGCGTTGCTGCAGAATAATAATGATGATGATGATTGACAATGTTGTTGATGATGTCTGTTGCCCGCTTTCCTTGTCCATCTTCATCGTAACTGGCAGACCACCGCTTCTACCACAAGTGGGCCACGCTGATTGACCCAGACGACATCACGGCCGACATCAAGGGCTACGTGCAGTGCGACATCACCGTGGTGGGGAAGGGCGACAACATCAAGAAGTCGCACAAGTCGATCGAGAGCGACGACGACTCGCTTGAAGGGTTTGTGCATTCGGTTCCATCTTACACAACATGACGTAGCCAAAGGAACTATGTGGACTCGATATTGAACGCACACCACTAGGTTTGTTTAACACGTAGGCTTTCGCGACCAATATTATTCATAATCAACGTTTTTGGGTTTAGATCACCATTCTGGCGAATTGCCCGATGATGCTGGTTGCAATTACCAGCGAAATGTCGTACTCAAATTGTAAATGTTGTGGTTTTGCGCTTCAACACACCGGTGGGCTAAAGCAGTGAACTAATTTGTCTTTTGTCAACGTGACACTTTTTTACTGATTGGCCGTGTCGGGTGGTGGAGGGTTACGACACATTTATAAATAACGCGATCTAAACCCAAAAACGTTGATTATGAACCACTAGGTTTCATGAAAAGTATGCCGATTAATAACGGTTCATAAGATCGGGCATAACACATATCTTTATCGTGCATCTATTTCCAATGCTTCACAAATGTGTATGTTTGATATACACAAGTGTGTGAGCGTACGCAGACCTTTCTCAATTCAATGTTTGTGAAAGTTAGTGTGCTACAAAGCCTGTAACACAACCACCCTCCGTGAACTAAATTTCTCTGACCATAGACCTGAGTGCACTGGATGAAATCCAGCCTTTGAATACACTTCCAGATGTTAGAGACTCCGATTAAATCTGTAGAGATGATGCTACAGCCAGATAACTGTCTCGATCGTTTTATTGCGTTGCTCGTGAAACACACTTGAACAGCTCAAGAAATGTAACCTCAATACAACGGAACGAGTGTCGCAATGTGCATGCATTTTTAGGCACAACGTCTAGAACGCTATCTCTTCTATATCTGTACTGTGTCTCGACACCGTACCCACATTCGCCCTCCACCTATAAAGACCCTCAAACAAAAACCAGGCAATGTTTAACTTCTAGTTCACCCTTTCAAAAACTTACTCTTTCTCCCCCAGCTGTCGACCTTCTGGAATAAACTCTGGAGTTCCATTCCTATTTTCCCAACAAGCGTTCCCACTGTTTATGTTCTCCCTACACCCGTGCTCAATAAATAGCAAACCTCGCGACGTTTTCCCCTCTGTATCTGCGCTCGAACGTTAAACATTTCTCACGTAAAAAACGTTTCTTGTCTTTTTTTGCTTCGTTTGCTCACGGAAAGGAACCTGATACTTCCGGATGGCTGCAAGGGGGAGAGGCAGTGGGCCCGTTTCTACGTGAATATCTACAGAGCTGTGGGCCTGCCCAAGATGAACACCGCCATCGTGGCCAACGTGAAGAAGGCCCTCATGGGCCAGGAGAGGGACCTCGTCGACCCCTACGTGCAAGTCTCCTTCGCTGGACAGAAGGTGCCAGCGAGCTGGGGGAAAGGGGAGCGATCTTCACATCCTTAATTGCTGCACCATGCATGCGACGCTGTGCGTGTGAATCAGTGTAGGGAGTGGAAGTGCAGCGGTTGGCATGCTGCGCTACGAACTCAGGGACCCGAGTTTGATTTCTGCTCACGGCCAACACCAGTGACGAGTATATGAACCGGACCCTGGCCTCCCCTAGGTCTACTCAGCCTCAAATGAGTACCTGGTGCAGTGTGTAAACATCGTCACACGGGAGACAAAGGCGGTCGGGCGTGGTGCTGGACACCCACCCGCTCGTGTGCTGTGCTGGCCTTCACAGGTGCTCGCTCACAGCACTTGCCCCAACAGTCTGTTAAAGGCTTTTTTTGTGATTTAGTGCATAACATACATAATATGCTGCCGTAATAATGGTTAATACACTGGATTCATCTTCCAGTGCGGCAGTTGAAACAATGTCGCAAGTTCATTATATTCCCATGCCTCTTATCGACGCAGCAGTATAAATGGGTATGCCACATATTCTTGGTTCTTTTGGTAAAGTCACGTAGATAGAAGACCAAAAAAAACACAAATAAATAGAATATAAATTTCGATTTAAAGCTTTCGTGACTGCAGGGATTCATCTTCTTGGTTTTTTCGGTAAAGTCACGTAGAAGGGAAGTAATAAAATAATAAAAATAAAACATAATAAAATTATTCTCACGACGTTTCGGCCACAACGCAAGCAGCCGTCCTCAGGTGAAAACCAGGTCCGTCGAGGCGACAGAGTCTGAATGAAACAGCACACGAGCTTGGAGCATATATATAAGCTGGGCGCCTTGACAAAAGAATTTGCATATCAAGAGGAATTTAGCATATTTATGGGAAATGCAGGAATGTGATTAGTACTACATATGCATGTGCATTATGCAGGATTAACAGCATCAAAGGGAGCTGCAGTTGCTGCTGCTGCTGCAGTTGCTGCTGCTGCTGCAGTTGCTGCTGCTGCTGCAGTTGCTGCTGCTGCTGCAGTTTCTGCTGCTGCTGCAGTTTCTGCTGCTGCTGCAGTTGCTGCTGCTGCAGTTGCTGCCTTATCCATTTTAATATAACACTATGTATTATTCTACCCACCCTAATGTGTATCACACTGCTATATATTTACTATACAATTACGACACCATACATTACTCTGCACACTGCACCATGCCAGTGAGTGGAACGCGGTCTGAAAGTCACCGTAAACGTGAACACAATCAGTTAAGATCCGAAATGGTTTATTACGTCCTTCCAATGATTGCTAAGCCAGAATCCATCTTCTCGGTTGAAATTGTCTCTGTGTTTGTATATGTGGATCGCCTCATGAACGAATCTCTCATGATAGCCAGATGGCTTGCAGAGAACCTCTGTCTTGGAGAAGTCAATGTCATGTGAGCCCACTGAATTGTAACAGTGATCAGCCGTGGCAGCAGCAGCAACTGCAGCAGCAGCAGCAACTGCAGCAGCAGCAACTGCAGCAGCAGCAACTGCAGCAGCATCAGCAACTGCAGCAGCAGCAGCAACTGCAGCAGCAGCAGCAACTGCAGCAGCAGCAGCAACTGCATCTCCCTTTGATGCTGTTAATCCTGCATAATGCACATGCATATGTAGTACTAATCACATTCCTGCATTTCCCATAAATATGCTAAATTCCTCTTGATATGCAAATTCTTTTGTCAAGGCGCCCAGCTTATATATATGCTCCAAGCTCGTGTGCTGTTTCATTCAGACTCTGTCGCCTCGACGGACCTGGTTTTCACCTGAGGACGGCTGCTTGCGTTGTGGCCGAAACGTCGTGAGAATAATTTTATTATGTTTTATTTTTATTATTTTATTACTTCCCTTCTACGTGACTTTACCGAAAGAACCAAGAAAATAGAATATAATAAAAGCAAAAAAACACAATAAAATTTTTCATGGTAAAAAAAAAACCCACGACGTTTCGATCGCAACACAAGAGGTCTTCATCAGGCGGAGAGGTATGCCACCGTCAATCGGCAGGTCGGGTATGGTAGGGGAAAGTGTAGCTGCGCCCACGTCTTCCAAAAAATATGGCCAGCATGGAAGAGAAGTACAATATGTGCATGTATGTAGAGTCCATCTAAAATTCTCCCACAATTCTGCATTATCAAGGCTATATCTGACAGCGAGCACCTTTCATTGACTTTAGACTGATATGGTCAGAAACAAGTACAATGTTTTTATGTCAAATGACCTTAAAGAACAGCATGACTTAAGACCATGAAACCTATCCTAAATATGCTGGAGAATATAGATTGGCTTTTCTTAATACAACTATTTTGAATCTCCCATTATTTTCATGTTTTCTTCCTAACCTTTAAGTATACGAGCCACTTTACAATGCTAAAATCACGAAAACCAAGTCCATCGCACTCACTACCATTTCACTAACCCCCTTTCCGATGCGCTTCTGCGGCCATCTGGAATTCTCTTCCTTCCGAAATTAGGAAGCCATTGGACCTATGCGCTTTTAAATATAGATTGAAAACGAATTCTTTTGAAATGCTTTTTCTGTGTTTAGTTTGTTGCCCTTCCCCCGCACCTGTAATTAGCATGGTTGGCTACGTAGAGTGCGAAAGAAGTTCAACATACATACATACCACTTCTCAGTACATGCAGCAGAGGAATGTACTTTAATGCAATATCAAACTGATAATGGCAATCACCAAAATAAATATTAGATAGAAACAATAATAACTGGACATCTGTGAAAAAGAGCTTTATAGTTAATCAGATTCCTCCAGTATAAATAGATATTCTGATTCTGATGTGTCCAATTTATAGCAAGTAACCTGGCAAAGAGCAGCAGAGATCACATGTTAGAACATGTCCTGCATGTCCCAGGAAACTGTAGGCTGACTTGCAAATACAGTAATCAAAATTAGCACTCATCTACACTAATCACACATAAACGGCAAATGCATTGCTTTAAAAATAAAAGCTGTCCCCAAATTCTAAGATCTCATGCTAAACCAACCTTGTACCTTGATCTATACTTGATGAGGACGCAAATAATTGCCATCGGCCACGATATATTCACCGCTTAATGAAGGCCTCCTAAAAACGGCCGCCATTTTTTTTCTCATGGTTCTGCAACGCAACAGCCTACCCCCTGCACAAAAGTCGATTTCATAGTTCCATCACTACAGTGGACGGATAAAATCGGGCACGTTTCCTTCTTTGGCCGCCGATCCAACATTAGTTCAACTCATTGGCCGGCATCCTTCGTCACCCTTGCAATGTGCAAACGCCGCTTAAAACCACTGATCGGGAAGGCACATTGATTGATGAACTCAAATGCTCAAATGTAGTTTCATAAGCAAACAGATGCCTTTCAATGTATGCATGTCTTCATGATTTGCCTGTAAGTGACCTGTTGTGTTTCTTATGCCTTTTTGCACTATTTTTCGTTATATGTAGACGCCGCATTATTTTACGTGGTGCGATATCGTGACTGTTGTTGTTATTACTGTAACTTGAAATTTGATGTTTCTCAGGGTTACCATTTGCGTTTTTATGCCTTATTTGCAATATGTTATTTAATCATAATCGTCACTAGTTAAATATTTAAAATGTAATTTTGTAATATATTCGACATTGTCATCTGTTGCCATTTTTTTCCTCCCTTATGTATTTCTTTTAATTCTATATTTCTCGCGACCCGTTATGTACGTTATGTTTGCCAAGGAACCGATGCCTTTGTTGATGAAACCCAATTCAAGAGCTTCTTAGCTCACAGGTTACTTCAAAATATACTGAACCGAACTGATTATCGCGATGAAATCATTCTCTCGCGATTGACTCTGCGTGCTGCGTGCTGTGCACTGGCGCCCAGGGCAAGACGTCGGTGCAGCATAACAGCTACGAGCCGGTGTGGAACGAGCAGGTGGTGCTCACCGATATCTTCCCACCACTCTGCCGCCGCATGAAGCTCCAAATCCGCGACAGCGACAAAGTCAACGACGTGGCCATCGGCAGTCACTTCATCGACCTCACGAAGATCTCCAACAATGGGGACAAAGGTGCGCCAGTTTGTAGGTGAAAGTGAAGCCCTTGCAATGACTTGCTGGCGCCATTGCTGGCGGAAGGGCTTTCGCTAGAGGGCGCTATAGAGCCCCTCTACAGGGAACCATAGCCACTCGAGAGTATTTTGGCCTACTCTTTCACACTAAGAATAGATTTTATGAGTCAAATCAGCACGTTGTTACATTCATAATAAAGGCTATTTTGGGTTAGATCGTGTAAATATGAATGTGTCGTTAACCCACTGCCACCCGACAGCAAATTAGGAAGATTTGTGATTTCTTCAGCACACCGGTGTGTTGGAGAGTAAACCCACAGCATTTACAATTTGAGAACGACATTTCGCTGGTGATTACAACCAGCTTCATCTGGCGATGAGCCAGAATTGTGTAGAATCTTCCTGTTTCCGGTCTTTACGACACATTTTTTATTTAAGCGATCTAACCCCAAAATAATCTTCATTCTGAATAATAATGGTCGCGAAAGCCTACGTGTGAAACGGACGCCATTGCATGCCTACTCATTGTCCACAGTTGGGCGTGCTTTTGTACCCAGCGATCAGTGTTCGTCAGATCACTAATCAAGCCAAACGTATAATAATGATCAGTGCTTGTATTTGCCAAATGAAGTGCGAAACCAGGTTAATATGATGGTGCTTGCACAGTCACTAACAACCCAGTTTTAATCACACGTAGACTCTGGATTGCAACTATGCTGGCAAATTGCTTTGATAATATTACAACGAACATCTTCGTTGCACAGTTAAAAATAAATAAGTAACAGATAGCTAAGATTTATGTCATGGAACTGAGCCCGCATCTCTGAAATTCTGGGTTTGAAGCCCTCGGTCATTCCCTCGGGTGGAGGAGGTTGAAATGTACATTGAATCGACCCGTCTCATCCCGGTCACCAGTCTTACACCAAAGCCTCGTTCTGAGTTTCTACCCATGCCTCTTGCGTGCGTGGTGTGTGAACGTGGTATCATAGGCAACGGGACTCGAACACGTGTTTCAAGAGATTGGTTCCTGAAATAAATATATTTCAAACCTTTCATGTAAGATTTTTTACGTTGAGATTCGGTACAACTAAAGTACTGTGGATATGAAGGCAACGTTGTTGCACAATTACGCCAGTTGGCTCTCAACTATTTTTATCACAGTATCTTGGAGTATTGAACCTCTCCACGCCCTGTGCTCCCACCCACGAGGTCCGCTGTAGATCCTCTTCAGTTAGGAGTGGGAAATATATGGCCTGCTAACCACACCGTGCCTTGGGAGAGCATTGTGCCTTATTCTTCCTCCTCTAAAGACTGCCGTATTATTTATGAAATCAAGAAGTTGCCGGTGGTTTCTGGCGAGTTTAAATCATCCCGTTGAAGGAGGTCAACTGAGTGAACATCCCTCCAGGGACAATTATGAAGAAAGAGCGTTCCAGACGGCCGCAGAAGCGCATCTGAAAGTCACTGCATCGCACCCTTTCAGATGCGCTTATGCTGCCTCCTATGCTCTTCTGACATTAGTAAGCTACTGAAACTATGCACTTTAAAATCATCTAGATTGAAAACTCATTTCTTTAGAACTGCTTTTTGTGTTTAGTGTATTGTCCTTCCCTCTGCACCTACTGATTAGCACGGCTGGCTACGTACGGATGCGAAAGAAGCTCAACATACACACATAAACACAATGAAACGACTCATGGCCTTGTGACAAAACAAAACGTAGCACGTTTGTTCGTTCTTCTTTGTATTCCTATCAACATGGTGCTGTCAACTCGGTGTTCCTCGCACTGCCTCCGCTATACAGCTGACATATATATGCACTTTGTAAAGAGGTGTTGTGGCAATGTCATCGGCACCCCCCCCCCCCCTCCTCTTGCAGGCTTCATGCCGACGTTCGGCCCGGCGTGGGTCAACATGTACGGCTCGACGCGCAACTACACGCTGGTGGACGAACACCAGGAGCTGAACGACGGCCTCGGGGAGGGCGTGTCGTTCCGCGCCCGCCTCCTCTTGCAGATCACCACCGAGCAGCTGGACAAGACGTCCCCGGAGCTGAACAACACCACGGAGGTTATGGTGGAGGATATTCCGAAGATCAATGATGTAAGCGAAATGCTGTTCTAACGGCTCGTCTCGTCGCTGTCGTTTTCTTTCTTAAGATTCACAAAACGTAACTCTGTGGTGTACACCTGCATTTCAGCTCTTTGAGGAGAGGGTTGGTGGATTGTATGGATTTGTAAGACATTTGGAAAGGGTGTCCAGTGTTGATACATAGCGAGTGACACATATCTTGGTAAGGCCCCACCCAAACAGGATTAGCAAGTAAGGGGTTGAAAAGTAGCATTTAAAATATTAGGATGGTAATAAAATAGTTTCAAAAAATTACTAATTGATGGTGATTCATAAACGTAAAGTCACTCATGAGTAAAAAAACAACATGAAGATAAATACAGCTGAAATTAATACAGCCAAAAAATGAATGCACTGTGTGTACGCATGCTCCCCTTGGTGACAGTCGATGCTTGGAAAGATGGAAGAGTTCTTCTTGTTCGGAGCGTTTCTGGAGGCCACGATGATTGACAGGAGTATCAGCGAAAAGCTCATCAGCTTTGAAATCAGCATTGGTGAGTTGCCACTCTCCACCGCATTAATTTATACCGTCTGGCAGTGTGCAGGGCTATTAAGACATTACGAACTCACCCTCCAGGGATCCCCTTTCGCGGTTTTGGGGAGTGCCTTTAATGGGAGGGGTGAGCTTGCTTGACAGAGCACAATTGTTGGATGTCTGGTGAAATCTTTTATTAATTTCAGCCGGAGGTCTGATTCTACATTTAGCTTCATCCTGTATGTTTATAATGGCAATCATAGGAAGTCCAGATACAAAATAATGTCAATGCCCTGTCTGAAATCTAGGAATATTCCCCTCTTCTACTGATTCATGCCATACAACAACAGTGTATGGCATGAATCTTGAATTAAAGCTTTCGTGACTTGCTGGAATTCATATTATATGGGTCTTTCGGTAAAGTCACGTAGATAGAAAATTAATAGATCACGACGTTTCTATCGCAACACAAGCAAGCCTCATCAGGTGAGACAAACGCAGCAGGAGAACTGCTGCTGCAGTCTGCTTCTGCAGTCATCTGATGACGGTTGCTTGTGTTGCGATCGAAACGTTGTGACCTATTAATTTTCTATCTACGTGACTTTACCGAAAGAACCAAAGAGTATTGTTATTGTTTTTAATTAATAAAAATAAAATAAACAAAAAACTACGACGTTTCGATCACAACACAAGTGATCGTCATCAGGAGGACAAAAAGAGGGGGAAAACTGCTGACGCAGACTGTTTTAAAGGTTTCAAATAGGTGTAGCCCAAGGGTTATAAACGAAGTGGGCGGGGCTCTGGAACATTTTGTCTCTGACCAGAGGTCGCAAACGGGTTTTGATTCCTTACCCGTACCCGGCCGCACCTGGGTCGCAAATGGGTACCCGTACCCGGCCGGGTACAGGTACCCGTTCCCTACCCGTACCCTACCCGAAATGAGTGACAAAAGGTTATTCACCAGTGACTCACGGCCTACCCGTACTCGGCCGCACCAGGGTCGCAAACAGGTACCCGTACCTGGCCGGGTACGGGTAGCCGGGTATCGGGTAGGGTACGGGTATCGGGTACCCGGTTGCGACCACTGCCTCTGACCCAGTGGTGGCGCTAGACCAGGGGTGTCGGCAGCCTGCGGCTCCAGAGCCGCGTGCGGATCTTTAAAGGGACTTGCTTCGTGACACGTGGTTTACTAAGGAACCACTTTCTCGTATTCACCACGGTGCATTGCGGCTCTTGAAATGTTGAGTTTTTTTGTTTGTTTACCAAGTTAGAAAAAAAATTAGCTCTTCTTGTCATTTTGGTTACCGACCTCTGCGCCAGACATAGGCATAGCAAATGAATAGCCCCAGGGATCCCGGATTAATGAAACAAATAGGGGTTGAACCATATTTGTCGGTCAAATTCAAATCCTAATGAACATAAAAAGCGACGTAATCTCATCCCCAATTTGTCTGCATCTGTCTGCTCCTACCTGACTCTGCACCTCTAATTCAATTCCATCTGTCTCATTTGTATGTCTCTTCTCTCATTGCACTGCATTTCATTACATTTTATACTTTCTGTCATCCTCTAGATTTCAGTGGGGTCCTCCCCAAAAGTAGTGTCGACTTAGGGCCCCCCCCCAATGGACCCGCTGTGACTCCTAACATTCGTATGATTACCCGTAATTCGAAACGTCACTCTTAATGTCGATGTCCTGTCATTCAAAGGGAATTACGGAAACAGCATAGATGGGCTGAACAAGTCCAACCCCCAGGAGCGCAGTGACGACGAGGATGAAGATGACGATGAGGATGACGAGGAGGAGACAGTGCTGCTGGCAGCCGAGAAATCCAAGGGCGCGGAAGATTTATCGTCGATGTTCTCTACCACACCTCCCATGAAGCCGGAGACTAACGACAGGTAATTGTGCTCGCATAAGCATTCTCTTTCATAGTCTCATAGACTGCCTGGGGGGCAAGCACTTATCTTGTCTCGTCCAGGGCTATACCTAATAAATGAACTTGAACTTGAACTCCTGTTGGGAGATGATTTTACCCATCCTATTCCATCGGATGTTTTTTTCAGTAGTGGTATTCCCTGTTTTGTTGAATCCGAAATGCTCCCATCCTATCCTGCACTCTTGAATCTCGATTGAAAACTCATTTCTTTCGGACTGCTTTTTGTGTTTAGTTTGTTGTCCTTCCCACGCACCTCCGATTAGCACGGTTGGCTACGTACGGTTCGAAAGAAGTTCAACATACATGCATACAACACATTGTAGAGCTATACATCACAATCACAAAAACCTATGCAGTAGTAATTCAGTTCGCTCCAGAATGCACGTTCGGCTCAAGTGTCCAGTCTTGCAAGTATTCCATAGCTAACCGTGCCCACGTTGACGGCTGTTTGCTGGCAGGCAGTACTTCCACATGCCTTACTACGAGCAGAAGCCGTGCGTCCACGTGGAGAGCACGTGGCACGACCAGCGACGGCGTCTCTACAACTCCAACATCATTGACAAGATCGCCGACAAGCTGGTACGTGCACGTTGGCCTGCTGCCCCGGTGCGGTGCCCCACACTTATGTTGTACGTACGTTGAACTTTCTTCTCACCGTACATAGCCAACCACGCTAATGATGGAGGGTTTCATAATTATTTTTGTTGGGTTAGAGCACTTAAGTGTGAAGCCAAATGGTGTCGTACACCCTCCTCCAACCTTCACAGATAAACAAATCAAGTTGTCACATCACCAAATCGTGTCAATTTAAATAATTTTCAGCCATTCTAGATTTGAAGCTTTCGTGACTGCAAACTGTTTTAAAACAGTCTGCATCAGCAGTCGGCCAAGCTTTCCCACCTGATGACGGACGCTTGTGTTGCCCGAAACGTCGTGATTTGATTTAGTTGTTTTCATTTATTTTTCGATTTAAAGCTTTCGTGACTGCAGGGATTCATCTTCTTGGTTCTTTCGGTAAAGTCACGTAGAATGGAAATAATAAAATAATAAAAATAAAACATAATAAAATAATTCTCACGACGTTTCGGCCACAACGCAAGCAGCCGTCCTCGGTGAAGAACAGGTCTGTCGAGAAGAAGACAGAGTCATAATGAGTTCAGACTCTGTCTGAACTCATTATGTTTAATGTTCATTTATTTTGTTTATGTTTTTACCTACGTGACTTTACCAAAGAGTAATTTTCAGCCAACTCGTGTATTGAAAGACAACGCACGACACTATGCAAGGATCTGCAGGGAGTGTTTTGCATACTCCTTATTGTTTTGACTTCATTGTCCATGTTTCCAATCGATGTCACAATGGGCAACATGCAATTATTTACATCATTCTTTCTTATCATATTCATTTAAAAAAAATTACTCAACCTGCTCTTGCGCTTCACTTTATTTCTATAATTTTATCCCGATTCACTTTCAGTGATGGCCATAAAACCACAGGCTGTGTTGCATTGTTCCAGCTGTGTCTCTCCAGCAAATCATTTCACTTGTTTAGTGAAATCAATAGTACCAATATGAATACTCTCAGCAGCAGCAGCAAAGCTGCGTCACGTGTTAGAATTATTGCTGAACTGGAAATTGTTTGTTTTTGCTGCAGGATGAGGGCATCAGCGACGTGAAGGAAGCGATGAAGACAGATAAGCCCCATCCGGAGCGCAGGCTGCGAGGAGCCTTGGAGGAGATGAGCAGCGGTTGCGAGTGAGCTTCATCCGCCGCACCTCATTGTGAAAATTCGGTCACAGTTTCTATGATCACTGTTTCATTGCTTTTATGGCTTTATTTTGGTGATTTTTTAAAAGTTTTTCGGTTTGGCCATGTTTGCTGGTTGTAGTACAGAGTTAGACTGATGGCCTTAATCTAAGTTGTCTTGTGGTTGTTGTTGTTGTTTGACTTGCATCCCACAGCGTTGGTGCACGGTGCTTTCTCTGCAATATTTTGCTGCCTTTTCTTGGATTTTCTGTTTGCACATAGTCACTTAAAGATGTTTTCTTGTTCATGTTTTAGTTTTTTTGTTTGTTGCGGTTGCACCCAATTCAAGAGCCGAATGGCTCACAGGGCTATACCTAATAAATGAAACTTGAAAACTTGTAACTTGAAGCGCCTGAGGAAGCGTTGAGTCTGCGGGGCACCTAGCTCTGGGTTGTCACCCTTACAAAGCCGATCACGCAGTGTACTGACCTTCCTGGAGTCACAAACCGGTGAAACTGTGTCGTCAGCTGTCGGTGTCGCTGCTAAACATCTCAATGTGGTGCAGGAAAATTGGACATTAATGTGGCTTTTATTGTATGAGCTGCAGACTCACTTTTTTAAACTTTAATAACATGTAAGTTAGGTATAAAAATATGGTTTCATACACTGTTTCATGAATATATGTTAGACTTATTCATATTATATAGCACATCATGTTAAATTCATCCAATTAGTGTAATGCTGTTGGGCTAACAAAATTGAAAACTCAAGTATAGTAATGTTTGCGAGTCTGTGAGTATTTTCTGTATACTCCACTCATATTAAAATCATATTACTCCACTCATATATTTTTGGTTGTGACTCGTGTATTGGAAATTCGTCGGAATGTTTTTTCGGCAGTTAAAAAAAAATATGTTTTTGTTTTTATTTCAGACGATTCTGTTCCCTGGCCAATAAGGAATCATCGTCAATTGAGTACACAGATCTTGACCGAAAACAGCTCAAGATGCGCTTGAAGGAGCTTGTAAGATCTTATTTTAAAGATTCAATATGAACATGTTTTTTCACAAGTACATGTGGTTGATGTAGACTTTATGCCTTGCAATATGTATCTAGTTGGTGTTTGAACATCTTAACATCTCCTGTTTTATTGCCAGAAATGGGTAAACCCACATTTTTTTCACATATCACGCGCAACTTTTGTACTGTATGCGGTAGCACACCCCAGAAAGGGAAAAAGAGTCGTCAACGATATAATGAATGTAAAAAGAAAAGAAGAAGGGAAGATCTTCTTGGTTCTTTTGGTAAAGTCACGTAGAATGGAAATAATAAAATAATTAAAATAAAACATAATAAAGTAATATAATATAATTATCACAATTATGTTATTATGTTTTATTTTTATTATTTTATTATTTCCATTCTACGTGACATTACCGAAAGAACCAAGAAGATGAATCCCTACAGTCACGAAAGCTTTAAATCGAAAAAGAAGGGAAGACAGAATATATGAGATAGAGTGAGATATGAGAGGAAAAGGACAGGAAATACATGTATAACCCAGACCAAATATTCAGAAATAACGAGGGTGAACTATGAACTACACATTTTTTTAAATGTTATTTCACCAGGTAAGGCCCACTGAGTTATGTAGCTCTTTTTCAGAAGCGACCTGGCGAGAAATTATAGTTGATAGATGAACCTTATGGCGGTACCTCGGGGTTCCATAGTACCCATAATGTCCGTGATGCAGTCATTTTTAGTCTGTTGATGGTCGGCGATGGGGCAGTCGACTCATCTCGACGAGCTGTACACGATGCACTATTCAACGTTACATTTTTCGATAACGGATGTTTTTTATGCTGATGTTTGGCGTTTCGACATCGCGGAGTGTGGCACTGATTTCGGATTGATTGGTACCCCAGTCGCGGAGTTAAGTACATCGCTGGAAAAAATAGTGTCCCAGAAATAAAACATTTAATTGCCTCGGCCTTTTGGAATTATTTGGTACCCCTGGGTAACCGCCATAAGTATCATATGATGTTAGGGAGTAAGAGGCTAGATAAGGGCCTCTATGCTGTTGCACAGAGAAGTCTGTTTTCATAGCGGGCGGTGGGGAGAAGGGAGGGATGCATTGTGGGGGTGGTCATGCAGAGGTCACGTGATTTATGAAAGACTTGAGTTGATTTAGAAACATATATATATATAACACACAGCACTCTTTAAAACTATATAATGTATGTTATTTATACAAATATAAATAACTATGCTGGCAGCTTTATACATGCACAAAATACATAATGAGAGTCATGCTTTCTTGCTGTTTGTAAGCACACTTTTGTGCGTTGCTATTTCTCTATGCTAGCGTGGATGTGACCTAACACTTCACTCTTTTTTTTTCCTCTCAAGGACTATATTAGCATACAGGGCAATAACCTGATCAAGCAGGTGAAGGGTAAAAACCTCAAGGAGCGGGTCAAGACGGTCGAGGGCTTCCTGCAGAAGCTTCGGCTCCTTGCAGACGAGGTGCGTTTCTGAGCTGTGGAAAACTAAAGATCCTGATGGCTGAGTAATACCGCTCAGTAGTGGCAGCACACAGAGCACTGTTGAACTGTGAAAAATGTATCCAGGTAGATCACCCACGTGTTCTCTTGTCTGACGTATGTATGTATGCATGTATGTTGAACTTCTTTGACACCGTACGTAGCTAACCGTGCTAATCAGAGGTTGGAGAGATGGGCAACAAACTAAAAACAAAAAGCAGTTCTAAAGAAATTAGTTTTCAATCTCGATTTAAAAGTGTATAGCTCCAGTGGCTTTCGAATATCAGAAGAGCATTCCAGACGGCCGCAAGGCAATTCATTGTCGGCCTTAATAGCATGCACAAGGTACAGCCCTGCGTTTGCTTGCGTATGCCACTGCTGGCAAAAGAGGTTAAACTAGAGTAAAAGATTCGTCTAGATGGTATTTGTCTTACGTTTCCATGCCGACCAGATGTCTTTGAAGAGGTGGGAGTACCCATAGTTTATCCCCACGCGCACGGCCTGCCGATCAACTAATTGTGGTGTGGTATCTAATAAAACACTTACGCATGATATGGCAGATGACACGAGAATTTGAATTTTGATAGCGCGTTATGATGCCAATTACAATGCGTAGTGTACCACCAGGTAGGCAAAGTTCATCATTGCACATTATATACAAAGCGACTTGGTGGTGGAGGGCGATGCCTAAAAAGGCTTGAGGTCACTCACAATTTGGAGTGTTATTAACGATTGTGAAGGAGTAGAAAAAAAAAACGCCCCAATCCAAATGACAGGGTGATGCCTGCGATTTGGATGCTGTTTCGAGATAGTCACTGCAATATTGAAATGCATTTACGCGAGCTTTTCTAAACTGATAAATGCAATAACACACAGCATTGCTAAACTGTATTTTATCACGACTTCCTGGATCTTGCCCCGAATATGCTTGATGTAGTTTCACGCTAAACGGCCTCATTGCAAAATCTTGTGAGATTGCTCTTCAACTAACCGGTGAGCTGAAATAATAATAATAGTTATCGGCATGTTGAATGCTTGTACACAGCTTGACAATTACTATGTTTGCCTGTGTCAGGCGGTGGAGGATCTTCATGACACGGAATTGGTCAGATCATTGTGGCCTCACCAAAAAATGTATCTCGATTGATAATATTGGCTATAAACCCCCTGTGTGAACGACTCTGTGAATATCATGGGACCTCCTTTGCCAGTACCAAAATATACTAATAGGGTTTTTCCCCTTTTTTCTGGCAACAAAACTGTGCGCCTTTTTGCGTCATCTGGTCGAACACCATATGAGACGAGGCACTAAAGAAAGCTGTCTCTGTTGTGGACCAATCAGTTTCAAAGACAATGCATACATTATTAGAGCATTGTTTTTGTTTGCATTTGACTGCAAGTATTGTGGTTAATCTAAGCATGATTCCTTGCAAAAGGTGTCAGTTTTGTTGCCAGAAAAAAGGGGAAAAACCCTATTAGTAGACTCTGTGAATATTTCCTTGTTCATAAGGGCATTGGCCCTGTGCTTCGCTCCGTTGATGGTGCTGACCCAGCATTGTAAAATCTATATTATTCTGATATGGCTAGTCTGGAACATTCATTGGCTACCACAGTCTGATAAGCTCTCCACCCCCCCCTCTCCACCTCCCTTCAACTTGCTTATAAGAGATTACATCTTGAATCATTGCTTCACTTGATGCAGCTAATTCGGCTGTGACGGTCCCACCTGATGACGGAGACTTGTGTTGCCTCCGAAACGTCGTGATCTTTTATTTTTATTTTATTTTTATTTTGATGTTTTACTTACGTGACTTAACCGAATTGAATTCACCGCGAAGGGATGATAGCCGGAATCGTATTTGAACTCACAATCATCATCCTATTCTGAACTGAGTACTCTCACAAGTTATTGTGTTAAATGTGAATAAAGCCATTTTTGTTTAGTTTTGTCAGATGCTCTGTTTCAAACACATTGTGTTGAATTCATGACGCTGTAATTCTCAGTGGGTCCACAACCCTACACCAATAAAAAAAAAATCGACGCCGTGCCACCTGTTGTTCCCTGCAGCCTCAGCACAGCATCCCGGACGTGTTCATCTGGATGCTGGTCAACAAGACGAAGCGCGTCGCTTTCGCCCGCATCCCCGCCAAAGATATCCTCTACGCCAACGCCGATGAGGAGTTGGGGAAGGACTGTGGTAAAGTCAAAACGCTTTTCCTCAAGGTAAGAGCTGGATCATTCTATCCCATACAGACGATACAGGTGGAGCCCATGTTTGCTGTACTGCCTTTCATCCGGCACTGTGGAGGTGAGGGTTGGCAGATCGCACAAACGTTGCAAAAATCCCTTCACGTGAATGTGGAAGGTGGCATAACCTGACTTGCCAGGAGAAGGCAGTACAGCATATGCAGGCAGGGTGAGGTGCCCGAGAACGAGCTGTTACCCGAATTTTCCATGTAGGAAACTGAACAATTTTCCCCCAAATTCAAGATAAAATGCCAAAGCCGGAAATAGTTGTGCCTCCCCCAAACCCGATTACGAGTCGTTTTCTCTCAGTACTCTATCTCGCTGTCATCCGTTTTCTATCACTACCTCTATCGTATAGCTGTACATACGTTGCACACTTCTTATGATTCGTTCAATTAATCAAATATCTACCATAACACCACCCATAATTAAAATAATGGAATATACTCTGTATCCAATTGTTTATGAATACCACGACACATTTTAATATTGTTATACAGAAAGCAGTCACTTCCGAATGTTCGTTTATCGTGCCACAGACTCGGCCTTGACTTCTCAGATCACTGCTGGCTTAAGCAATTGCAGTGTAACTGCGTTAAATGAAGTACAAACAGGAAATAACTCGTGAAATAAACTTAAAATGAAGAGCACTAGCAAGATAAACTGAAAGTTACGAGACGATGTGGCGGGTATACGCACGGTAACAATGTAAGAGCGTGACTGACGGTGCAGATTTAGCGATACATTACCGCCTTGGGGAAGATGCTGCCCGACTTATGCCTCGCTCCGCAGTATTCATCCACAATCTCGCTGCGCTGCACTACAAATGCAAATTCTACATATTGATGTTTTTTTACATGATATATGGAGCATTTCCGTAAGGTCGGATTTCCGTAAGTTGTGTCTTCCGCAACCTGGGGACTTGCTAAATGGACTCCACCTGTTTCGTCTATGTGAGATAGAAATGTTTTTGCCAGCCCACTCGTCGCTTTTCTTTCACATATAAACACTCACATTCTTGGTTCTTTCGGTAAAGTCACGTAGAAGGGAAATAATAAAATAATACAAATATAAAACAATACAAATTCTCACGACGTTTCGACGAAGAAAATTTGAAATTTTCTTGCCGTGAATTTCACACCTGATGATGATTGCTTGTGTTGCAGTCGAAACGTCGTGAGCATTTTTATTGTTTTATATTTTTATTATTTAATTATTTTCCTTCTACATGACTTTACCAAAAGAACCAAGAATATGAATCCCTGCAGTCACGAAAGCTTTAAATCAAAATATAAACACTCGTCAATTGGCCATTAATACCTTAATATGTCGAAGTCCACAGAGCTTGGGCATTCGTTGATGCCGGCTCATTGCATGCCTGCCTTCGCACTCGTTTGCGGCTGCCTTGCGCCTCCGAGTAATGCTGTCTCTTCTAGAGTGAATACTGTGCGCTTTAAAAAAGTTAAAATACTCGACACACACACATACACACGTGCCCTGTTCTGCCCCTGTGCTGTAGCTGCCAGGGAAACGTTCGTTTGGCCCAGGAGGTTGGGCCATGCAAGCCAAGCTGGAGGTCTACCTCTGGCTGGGCACAAACAAGCAACGCAATAACTTCCTAAAAGGCATGCCCACTGGATATGTGGAGAAGAAATCGATCGATCCCACCGTTCCTCCAAGGGTCCTCACCTACAGCAGTACGTCAAAGGGCATGCTTGTAGTGTATAAAAATAAGTATTATTGTGCATTTGGCTAATGTTGTGTATGGGCGGATGTTTGTGCTTGTGTGTGAGCGGTAGTGTAGCGGTTAGCGCGCTGCACTACGAAACTGGCGACCCGGGTTCGATTCCCGCTCACGGCAAACACCAGTGACGATTATCTGAACCGGTCCTGGGCCTCCCCTAGGTCGATTCAGCCTCAAATGAGTACCTGGTGCGGTGTGTAAACATCGCCACTGGGGAGACAAAGGTGGTCGGGCGTGGTGCTGGCCACCCACCCCCTCGTGTACCGTGCCGGCCTTCATAGGTGCTCGCTAACAGCACTTGCCCCTACAATCTGTTAAGGCTATACGGGGGATCTTTGTTTGTGTCAACAGCAGTGCTATAATTCCTTTGACCTGGATTCAATTTACAGCCATGGAAAACAGTGGCATTTGAAATGTAACATCTTGCTGGGCCTGTCCTTGGCGGAGTTTAGTAGGGTGCAATTGTTCTTCATGGAGTGTCCCCTGAATGAGATCATCTCGAGCTGCTCATGGTAGCCAACTTTTCCATTGACAAAACCCAGACATATTTCTCAGCCTGCCCAAGCCTATCAACATTTGTGCATTACACTGTCATAAAAGTTTAATACAATACCACCAGATATCGGAACAAACCAATTCCTGGCACCCGGGCACAGATACCAGTTGCCGGACTGCATGGGACAACCCAATCCAACAGCTCTGATTAGCACGGCTGGCTACGTACGGTGGGAATGAGGTTCACCATATATTCATATATGTGTAATAATCTTCCAGGAGACGGCTTCGGAATCAGTCCTTTTATTTCCACTCCACCATACACTTTCCTTACTCACTCTCCGTTGCTGGCAGACAACGGAGAGAGAGGACAGACTCCACACGAAGTTCCCTTCGCGCACGTGGCAACCCGAGGCCCCGTCCGCACGTGACCCTGCTTCTGTTATTTTCAGTCTGCTCTCGATCGTTCCCTCTCGCTCGCTCTTAAGACCTTCGTCACGTGGTTCCCCCAGCCAATCATGTATGGACAGCTCTCACCATTCTCGATGGTTCCCTGTCAATCCCGGGACCACGCCCCTCATCCGGCTCCCCATTCGCTGGGGCCCCGAATGGCTAGGCCAATCACTTCCGATGACCTGTCGTGATGACGCATGGGCCATGGTCCCAATCTCAACCCTTATTGGCTACGAGCAGGACCGGCAAGCCAATCCCCACGTGAACCCTCTATGGCTGTTATTACATCTGCATTGCCGCAGAGCCGGCCCAGCCACTAAGCGACCCTTGCAATTGCAAAGGGCCCCGTAGCCAGCAGAGGGCCCGCTAGAGTCACTGCTAGCGAGTGGGTGAAAAAAATCATACATCAAAGGGGCCTCCAACCAAATTTTGCTTAGGGCCCCCAAAGGTCAAAGGCCGGTTCTGCATTGCCGCACCAGATCTGTTTTCTCACGATGCCTTTCCCTTCCCCGCGACGCAGAGAGGTCGCAGTTCGAGCTGCGCGCGCACATGTACCAGGCTCGCAGCCTCTTCGCCGCCGACAGCACGGGGCTCTCCGACCCCTTCGCTCGAGTCATCTTCTCCACCCACTGCAAGTCCACCGAGGTACGCCAGGCTGCTCGGCTCTCTCTGGCTGCCCACTCTAGTGAAGGTTTGCCGAAGAGCGCGTCGCCCGCGCAGCGTAAACGAGGGTTCGCGCGTCGCGCTCGGTTGTGGCGCGCGCGACCGCCACGGGAGAACCGGCACCGGCGCAGAGTACAGGGGCAAGTGTGGCAACGGGACAGGGTGAATGCTGCCCAGCAGGTCGCCGGCATCTACCCCCACCGACCACCAACCGGCACCGTCGTGATGAGACGACCGCGAGACGCCGCGAGAGTCCCCGCGCCACGGTGCAGAGTTTGTGTCGTCGTGCTCTGATCGGCGTCGGGTGCAGCTCGGATCCATTGCCGGTCCTGAGCCGTTTGGTGTAAATGTCACATTCACGTGGCAGGGGCCGGCCTGTGTTTACCGACCAGTCAGTGACTTTAGACTGTGCGGTGATTAATAGTCGTGCTAATGCAACTAATCCAAGGAAAACGATGAGCTCAGTTGACCTAAACTCTCATTTCATCTTAGAACTTACAATCTAGTGAGCATCTCCCATTGCTACTAATGATTAGAAATGCCTGTATTTAAATACATTGAGATTATTAATGCTGTAAATCGTGAAATCGATATGAAATGCGCACTATTGCCAGGAGTTTACAAAGGGGAACTTTGCACAGCGTCATCCCACGCCTCTCTCTGCAAATACTCCCACGTGGTTTCTGTACGAAGGAGATTCCTGCGTTGCTTTCCTGCATGAGTAACAACATTGTTTATTGTGGCCTAAACAGCGCCGCCACTTGTGGGCTAACCCTTTGCTCACCCCCCGACCCTGTGGAATAACCAGGTCTTCCAGGAGACGCTCTGCCCAACGTGGGACCAGCTGCTGGAGTACCAGGACATCTACATGTACGGGGAGCCACGCGAGCTGAGAGATGACCCACCCATGGTCGTGATCGAGGTGTACGATCAAAACACCATGGTACGTTGAGGGCTGCCAATTTGTATAATGCTGCTGGTGATGGTGAAATGTGATTGTTGTATGGATGTTTGTTGAACTTTTTTCGCACCGTGCGTTGCCAACCGTGCTCATTGGAGGTGCGGGAAAGGACAACAAACTGACCACAAAAACTGTTCTAAAGAATTATTAGGACAGTGGGATCTTGGTGGTCTTCAATGTCAATTTTTCATTGAAACCGATTACAAATATCTGAGTAAATACAAATTAAGTCATTAATATCCAATTCATTTCAAGATTTTATGAATCCAAGTTGGGTTTGCACAATTTAATGATGAATAAAAATGCAAATTCGATGTCGTAACGTTTGTGGTGGCATGAATGGGTTGATATTATAATCACGAAGAAATTATAAAGTAGCAAAAATATTTGGAATTAATTTTGAAAAGTTACTCTTCAAATTTGGATGCAGCAGTTGTCAACAACTGATGGTGATTGTGCTTATTTCGTTGAATTTAGGGCAAATCCGAGTTCATTGGTCGAGCGCTGGCCAAGCCGGTGGTGAAAATCAGCACGGAGCCGTACGAACCCCCGCGCTTCCCTCCAATGCTCGACTACTACCAGATCTACCGAGGCCCACTCACTGCCGGAGAGCTGCTGGCATCGTTTGAGCTCCTGCAGGTGACCATTCACCCACTCAGTGACATCACCACGCATCGTTGTTGGGCTAGGTGAACTTTGAAAACAAAACGAAAGGTAAAGGGTTGCTGGCAGAAAGCCACTGGCTAATCTGTCACCAATAAGCATTCTAGGGTAGTACAAAAACTTCCATTCATTTTTCCAGTTTCCTTTACTTTAGCCACCGAATCCCCTGCCAGTTGTAGTGAGCAGTCTTCCTTTGCCTCCTGTTGTTGATGGGGATGCCTGCAACCAAATGCTAAGTAGCATCCTTCAAATGTCTACACACATACAAATACCAGCATCCCCCTATAGTCATACATTTAGAGTTGACTTGATCTTAGGGAGGTCCACAACTGCTAACCCCTAACTCTGAAGCCACTACTGACTGTGAATGTATAATCACCTTCTCTTCTTATTCTTCCATGCGTTTGTCCAACTCATGTGGTGGTCTGTTAAATAACATTTTTGCGCTGCTGCTAAGGCATGGAAGAATACTCTGCATTGTGTTTACACTGTAAGTGCTACAAATGTGTGTTATAACAATTAACACGAAGTGAACCATTATCAGTGGCCTTAACTTTAGCTATTAATCATTAATGCCACTTGTGCAAATGCTTGCAGTACAAGCCTCAGCTCCGATTCCATTGCACCAAGTTAATGCAATGAGCAATACATACCACTTAATTTTTTTTATCTAGATTATATATATAAAACACATTTGTCGATAACACTGCCTTAAAATGAAAGACATAATTGGTGACGTTTTGGGCAGTGACCTTACTTCCTTGCAGTGCCAATGCAGCATCAGTGAGATGTTGCCACTGATTGCATTGTATAATCGAAAAAAACACACACACGCACCTTATATGTGCCTTAAAAAAAACGGTGTTACATAAATCTACGCAGCGGTGTGCGGTGGTGGATAACCGTGACGCGTCTCAATTGATTCTTCTCAATAGGTCCCACCTGCAGAGAATTGCGAATTCCCTTCCCTGTCTGGACCAACTGGCACTGACCATGGACCCGTCACCGCCGTCCCCATGGGTATCCGGCCTGTGCTGGCCAAATACAGGATAGAGGTGAGGCTGTCCCCCAACCCCCTTAAATCTCGATGGAAAACTGGTGCATTGGGATTATGTTGGTGCTATAGATGTCCAAATGTTGGGCCATTTTGTTGAGTAATTATTTGTGGCCAGGTCGCTTCTGAAAAATAAGTTGATTTCTCAGTGAGCTTTGCGTGGTAGGATGGGGATGGTTTAGTTTTATTTGTGTGTTTGGGTGATGTGTTTATCGTTTGTTTACTTTGCACTACTATCATGTTTTTGTGTTGTTTATTGCTGTAACGTTCTTACCCACTCGTACTGGACATCTGTGAAAAAGAGCTTTATAGCTTATTGGTTTACTCCAGTATAAATAAATATATTCTGATACTTTAAGATTGTTTTTGTTTCGTTTGTTGTCCATTCTCCCGCACACTTCGATTAGCGCAATTGGCTAAGTCTCTGCGTGCAGATTGTCTACCTCCATCTTGAGGAGATCCAGTTTTGTTTTTTTGAAAGACCCCTAAACACTTAGGCGGCGAATTCCCTGACCAGATGGGTCTGAAAAGTCGGTCACACATAGGGATGTTGAGCTATGGTTTGATTATTCAGGACCAGGATTTCACATGATACCCCCAGCGAGGAGTAGCGTGATCGGAAGCTTACTGGGAAATCTCCACGAACATTCACACCGTGATGGATGTATACCTCGAAGGAAAATTTATTTTGGGTTAGGGAGGGGTGAAATGAGGATGAGTATATTTGGGAGGTAGCAGAGAGAGCTGAGTGGGAGAAGGGTGAGCTATGAGGAGGGAGGAGTGGGTTGAATCGAATGGTGTGAGGGCAGATAGAGAGAGGATGATGGAGCAAAGGGGAGAATGGATATGAGGGAGGGTGAAAGGAGGAAGATATATAGTTAGAGGGGAGAAACATTGAGGTGAGAGGGAAGGTTGAGGGATAAAATAAAGGAGGGAATTAGAGAGAGGGGAGATATTTGTGTAAGGAATGGAAGAGGTGGGGCCGGAGGGGATAGTGAGATGAAGGATTAGAGGGGAGAGTGGGATGAGTGGGATGAGTGGTTGGGTGGAAGTTAATAGAGACCTGGGGGGTAAACAAGATGAGGGAGGTGAGCTATGATGGAGCGAATAAAAAAATGTTTGGGCAACAGCGAGTTAACACAGGCAGAAAGCAAAGGAAGGGAAGGAGTTATTGGCATTGTCTTTGAAACTGATTGGTCTACTATCTTGATTTGAAGTTTTCGTGACTGCAGGGATCCATACTCTTTGGTTTTTTCGGTAAAGTCTCGTAAGTATATAATAAATTAAATCACGACGTTTCGATCGCAATACAAGCGTCCGTCATCAGGTGGGACAACCACAGCAATTGTTTCTTGCTTTATACGATTTGCTCAGTAATTTATAATAGCCAATTTAATTTCATGTACACTTGCGAACGATAATTGTTACGGTTCTGAATACGCCATTTTATTTCATTTTTACGCAACTGCTTACCGAGAAGTAGGTAGCCAAAGCAATTTATTTTATTATGTTTTATTTTTATTATTTTATTATTTCCATTCTACGTGACTTTACCGAAAGAACCAAGAAGAGGTAGCCAAAGCAGTCACAGGCAGTTAAGTCGCACAGCTCCTTGAGTGATTTGGTTGCACAATCTGATCGCTTGAGTGTGGTGCTTTCTTAATGGCTGCGCAGTGTCACAGCTGAATCTGGGCCTGTGTCACTCTGCAGATCCTCTTCTGGGGCCTGAGGGATCTCAAGCGAGTGCAGTTGCAGTCGGTGGATCGGCCACGCGTCGACATCGAGTGCGCGGGCAAGGGCATCCAGTCGGTGGTGATCGAAGACTTCAATACAAACCCCAACTTCAGCCACCTTGTCAAGTTCTTTGAAGTGGTAGGCGACGATTGTTCTCTCAAAATTGAGATGCGCTTTGGCGGCCATCTTGGAAGGCTCTTTCTTACGATTTTAGGAAGCCACTATAGCTATGCACTTTTAAATCTAGATTGAAAACGAATTTCTTTAGAACTGCTTTGTGTTTAGTTTATTGTCCTTCCCTCACACCTCTGATTAGCTACATATCGTGCAAAAGAAGTTTAACGTACATACGTACACAGATTATGATGGTGGCTCACACCCTGTCGTCTGTGGACCAATGGTGGTCCCGAACGCTGTGAGAAGTGGCCCATGGAAATGTCGCAGATACGTTTTTATTTTTTTAAGACAGCTAACATTTTTGTTTTGTTTTTACTGCATGGTAGTCCACACATTTTATTTAAGGGTTGACTGTTCTTTGGGTCCAGATGAGTTGAAAGCTGTGCGATTATGACCCTGGTTAAACGGAGGTGAGGGCTCTTGGAGCTTAGAAATACAGTATATTGTTTCAAGAGATACCTGGTACATACAAATGAAAGCATTAACCAATCAAGGTGTACAATTGTAAGGGCTTGCAATGTATTCAAGACTGGTTAATTATGGCTTTGCAATCCAAGGGCTAAAGAGAATAAGCTACTAGTTTCTTGGTTAAAAAAACAGTAAGGTATTATTTATTTTCACCTACAATGTCCTAATATGTCCGATATATACGACGTAACATGGGAAACTATTATAATATTATTCATGCGATTAATGGAGATAGGAGTTGGATTTTTTAAAGTATATCTGGTTAAAATATAGCAACGAGCAGCGGACAAAACGTAGGGGTTTTGTTTTCATGTTGTAGGATCTGCCAGAGAAGGAGTTGTACCACCCGCCACTCAACATCCGAGTGGTGGACTGCCGTGCGTTTGGCCGCTACATCCTCGTGGGCTCGGACACAGTTACGTCGCTGAGCAAGTTCATCTTCCATGCAGAGGGGCCCAACAAGGGCCGCAGATACAGCGGTGGGTTGCCCCAGCGTACTGTGTCCACTGCACTCAACCTCTATCGCTTCCGCAATGGCAGTAAATATCCCGCATCTCCATGGTAAAATGAGCATGGTTCGGCACTCATCCCCATCATCAGGCGTTTAGCAAGAGGTGCAAATTTCACACAATCCCCGAAGAGAATAAGGCATATTCTGCGGGGTGTAGGGATTACAAAATGAGCGGCATAATTCCACGGCATTTAAACATCACGTGGACGACAATGACTTGGAGAAATTAAGCAAAAGCAATTGAGTCAATTGACCATGACCTGCTTGGTTCCTCGAGTATGTGTGGACCAAGACATTGTCCCGGGGCATAGACAGACGTTTGATCATCACCAGCCAGGGTCAATCCGCTGCTGGATAAAGGCCTCCCCATACCACCGCCACCTCTCACAATTCTACGATGTAATACGCAAACTCCGCAGTAGACGCCCTCTCAGACACATTCCATTCTTTGGACAGATGTTTAGTCTTCTGTATTGTTTTCCTTTTGCAGTTGCGCCAACGACCAACGATGCTGACTTCATGAAACAGATCATGGAGACGAGTATGTTGGACCCCGACAAACCAGAGACGGCGATCAACGTCGAGGACGTATGTAGCGACTCTATAAGTGCCTCACCTAGTGGCGAACAATGAGATTAGTGCGCAAGCTTGCATTGCTTTATGTCTTCAACAAAATGTGAACACATTCGTCAGTAGCACTGACTTAAAAGAGGAAATATGTAAGGTGACGTTTTAGCAAATGACCCTTCTTCATAGAACATAAATACGTTCATAAAGGTCCTTAGCCAAAACGTTGCCCATTCTATCTATATATTTCCTTTTAAGTCAGTGTTATTGACTAATGTGTTGAGTTGTTTTGTTATTTGTATTTGTGCACCACTGCCAATGCAACACCACCAAACTCATTATTTAATCCGATCAGCAGCATTTGTGCAGCAAGCCTGCCTCTTGATTCGATCCAGAAGGTTAAAACCAGTCCAGAGGTTACGTACAAAAATGCTGCTTGATAATGTTGGTCTGGAAAGCTTATAGGCTGATCGACTAAAACATATATTTCTTCGTGGAAACAGATCAGAGTTCTGCTTATACATTCCAACTTTGATAGCAGATTAATTAAATGTAGATGCAACCTAGAAGCAGATAAGACCTACAAGCTTGTGTGTAGGTACCTTCATTACTCCACAGGTCTTATGCACGAGCTTAACCTCTTGCTTGCCTGAGTGTCACCTGCATTAGGTATGTAGGTTTTCAACTGATGCTCTGGTTTATAGCATACAAATGTTTATTGCTAATGAATTGTCCAAACAAGTAAACATCTCTAAAACTTGTATTTTGATAACAATTTCCTAGATAAGCATATAACAATAATGCTTATAGGCCAGTGATTGAAAGTGAGACAGATTCATATCTATTCCATAGACATGGGAGCTCTTACCACTTGATGGCTTGCAATATGAGAATAGGTTTTCCCATTTTTTCTGGCAACAATATAGGTGTTAAGATGTTAAAACACTAAACTGAAACCTTTTACAAGGAATAATGGCTGCATTAACCACAATACTTGTGGTCAGAATGCAAACAAAAAACACACTCTGATAACACTGGTCAACACACTTTTTCTGGCATAAGGTATTCCAACGGTTATAAGGTAATTTTGGGGTGCTGATTCCAAATCTGGCATCAGTTTTTGTCTATGACATCAGGTTTTTGAGATATCAAATATTGCATTTTCAATAAAAACTGCAGAAGAAAAATATTAAATAAATGTGGATATCTACATAAAATTATATTATAAACATACTATCCTAAAAATACAGCACCATATTTTAACACTAAAGCAGTCACTGACTCGCAACAACTTGCAATCATAAGTGACAGAGTTAATTTCGGGTAAAATCACTTAAAATGGGGTATGCCGATAGCATAAAAATGATGTGATAGAGCAAATCTGAGATGATATTTGGAATCAGCACCCTGAAACTAGTCTAAAACAGCTGCAAAAGTCCAGGCCAGAAAAAAAGTTTTTTTTTTGTTGACCAGTGTAATATATGCATTGTCTTTGAAACTGATTGGTCCACACCAGAGACAGCTTTCTTTCGAGCCTCGTCTCAAACGGTGTTTTGGCGTCCTCTGGTCTAACACCGTTTGAGACTAGGCTCAAAAGAAAGCTGTCTTTGGTGTGGACCAATTAGTTTCAAAAACAACGCATATATTATCAGAATATGTTTTTTGTTTGCATTCTGACCACAAGTATTGTCCTACACCACACATGATTCCTTGTAAAAGGTTTCAGTTTGGTGTTTTAACATCTTCACACCTGTTTTGTTGCCAGAAAAAATGGGAAAACCTCTTCTCATATTTTGGTACTGGCAAAGGAGGTCCCATGATGTAGCTGCTTGCAGCCTTGCAATAGTTGTCTATTTGATGTTTGAACATCTTTTGTATCATTCCAGAGAAAGATTCAAGTAAACTTTGCTTGAGATCCTCTTCTTGGTTCTTTCGGTAAAGTCACGTAGAATGGAAATAATAAAATAATAAAAATAAAACATAATAAAATAATTCTCACTGACGTTTCGGCCACAACGCAAGCAGACGTCCTCAGGTGAAGACCAGGTCTGTCGGGGAGACATTGTGACTTTACCGAAAGAACCAAGAAGATGAATCCCTGCAGTCACGAAAGCTTTAAATCGAAATTGGCTTGAGAGCCTCTTCCTAAATATACACTTTGCTGCAACAGAGCTGCTGTGACAATGAATACGTTTATTTTAATTTTCTGCACGTGACAAAAAACTGTGACGGAAGAAGTGAAACACGTACGCATGTCTGTGTGTGTTATGTAGGACAAGCAAGTCGCCATCCCGATCATGAAGAAGAAAAAGAAGAAGGAAACCTCCGACGATTCGGACGAGAGCGTGCTGGACTGGTGGTCCAAGTTCTTCGCATCCATAGAGATGCTCAAAGAGGTATGATAAGCAGGCTCATTTCGTCAAGTACCTTCGGCCATAAATGTAGGTACGTACGTATGTTGAACTTCTTTCGCATTGTACGTAGCCAACCATTCTAATCGGAGGTGCGGAGGGAAGGACAACAAACTAGACACAAAAAGCAGTTTTACAGAAATTATCCGTAATATAGGCTTTTGGGTTAGATGGCGTAAATATAAATTTGCCGTTAAACCCGCCACCACCCGAGTAAACCCACAACATTTACCAATCGAGTAAAACGTTTCGCCGGTTTAACTACTCATTTATATTTAAACGATCAAACCCAAAAACCTCTGTTATGGATTATATTGGTCGCAAAAGCCTACATGTTAAAGAAATTCGTTTTCAAATACTGCGTCCTTTTGGTGGAACAATATCCATTTTGCAGAAACTCAGCCACGTTCCAGTTTTTTGTAATTCACAAGAAGCTTATTTTGCCACTCATGTTGGTACATTTGTCATTTTTGTGAACCAGCTCACCTCTTACTTGAGACTATCTTAGTAAACTTAAAACTTGAATTACTTGGCCACAGCTTGGTCAACAGTTGCACAAAGGGTCACAGTGGGTGAAGCTCTGGCAGAATGAAGGCAGAACTAGGGCAGAGCCTGTGGCCCGTTTGTATTTCTGTTTTGCAAATGCACGTTTTAACATTGTGATACATATAGTGGTCACGTGTTGATTTTGGGGCCATGTGAACCCATTATTTACAATATAAACAGAATAAAGCACATGGATTCTTACACAAGCAGTTTGAGGTTTAGAATGAATGAGAATTGATATTTTAGATTTGAAGCTTTCGTGACTGCAAGGATTCATATTCTTAGGTTTTTTCGGTAAAGTCACGTAGGTAAAAACATGTAAATTAATAAAAGTAAAATAAAAATGAAAAAAAATCACGATGTTTCGGGGACAACACAAGCTTCCGTCTTCAGGTGGAACCGTCACAGCACGATAGCTGTAGCTTGATACAGCTATGTGTACTGTAGAGTGCTTCGATAGGGCTATGCCATGTGCCTAATACTGGATTAAAACGACAGTAATGGCAAGACAGGAACAATACAACTATTTGGCCTCCTTGTTCTTTCATTTTGCAAGTTTGTGGCATATACTCGGTCAGATTTACAGCACCTCAGAGTTCTGTGAATGACCATAAGTACGTGATGCTGATGGTCCTGCAAATGCTGCTGATCACGATGATTTGCTGGTGCTTAAGATTATGATTATACCATAATGGCATTTATGATATGAAGCATTTTCGTAAAATGCACAAAAATGTATTGCAAAAAAGTCACCGATTACATATTGTTCCTTTTAGAACAGTATTATTGAGGAATGTGTTGAGTTTGTTTTTATAATTTGTATAAGAGGTCTGGCCTTGATTTGTGAGAGATCAGATCACTAGACATTTCCATTGAGTCAAGTCCCTTTCATGTTTTGCAAAGGATAGGCATAATGGTAATCATGGTAATTGATTTAGCCTTCAGATTTTACCTATTTTTCTTGTCCAGATTAAAAGTATGTATGGTAAAGAAACCTTTTCTAAACCCAGATTGCTCACAAGACTGGTTTGCCTTTACATTTTTAATATTCTGACTTACGTGAAAAATGTATAAACGTTCGAAAATAATGCGTTGTTCATTTGGTAACTAAGTCCGTTAATTTTCTTTCAATAATGTTCCATCAACTAGTCTCACTTTTACAGGAGAAACAAAAAAAAACACTTTGAGCAGGGCTAGGTTTTCTGTTATACCTCTCCAGAGTATTTTCTAATGTCACTCTTCAAACTTAAACATGTAATTTCAGTATTGTGAGAGCATGATGACATAACATCTGGCCATGAATTGAAAGTATTATTTCATTTTTAAAAAAGCTTCAAAATCATATCAGGCAGCCTGGAACACACAGCCTTTTGACATACATACAGGATAAGAGATATTTGATTCATCTTCAAGGTTCTTTCGGTAAAGTCACGTAGACGGGAAGTAATAAAATAATAAAAATAAAACATAATAAAATTATTCTCACGACGTTTCGGCCACAACGCAAGTAGCCGTCCTCAGGTGAAAACCAGGTCTGTCGAGGCGACAGCGTCTGAATGAAACAGCACACGCGCTTGGAGCATGTATATAAGCTGGGTTGGAAGGGGGGAAGAAAGGGGGATATTTGATTGTTTGGGTTTATTTTCCCAAAAAATGTCTACGTTGTCACTGCTTTCAGAGTTCGCTGTGATGTTCTTTTGTATGCAGAGTCGACGGCAGACTCCGGAGGACGATGCAATAGAGGGAACTTCTGCAGTGACTGCCAAGGGTTTGTTCTTTTTTCCATCATCTGGCTGGGCCCATCGCACATAACTTGTTTGAAATGTGCAACATAGATTCGTTAATAGAGGTAGTATTCCAAAGACCTCTCACAATTCAATATTAATTTGACTCGGTTCTAAGTAAAAATCCGGAGGACCCGGAGAAAAATACACACGACCACGGGGAGAACATGCAAACTCCAAATATACAGGCATCAGGATCGGGATGGAACCCACGACCTCCTGCATGCCAGGCGAGGTAGTTAACATCTCGCCATCGCGGCGCCCCATAAGATCAAGGACCCACGTTGGCACAGCTCGATTGTACCAGTGGAAAAAGGGGCCTCATAGCATAACACTCCCAGCATCGTACTGGAACACAAGGCAAATAAGCTCTAGATGGAAGAATGTTTACATTATATCTTCACAACATGTGTTATCAATTGGGGGTTACCAAATGCAGGTATGACCCAATTATTTGGTGATATTGCGTTGGCAGTGGTGCACAAGCACATACAACAAATAAACTCAACGCATATGTCAATAACACTTCCTTAAAAGAAGAAATATCTAATAGACAATGCTTCCGGCATTGACCCTTCTTCCTTACATGTGCTATGAAGCTAAGGAGGGCAGGGCTATTGACAAATGTGTTGAGTTTTAATGATAACTCAAGCCTGAGCATTCCCATGTGTCTAAGTTACGTGATTTAATGATATAAATTGTATTGTTAATGAATTTTCAATATATAACATAGACATGGAATGATTAATCGATTTATTAAACTTGACTATTAGGACACATACGTTGAATTTTAATGATAAATACTTCATATAATTGATTTATGTCGTTCTAGTAAACATTTCAGAGGTTCATCCTGTAGATACTACCACAACTGGCAAAAATACATTATTGAATTGTGACCCCAAATTATGAACATTCTTCGAAATCTAAACAGGATGCATTGAAACAAGCCTATGAAAAGCCTATTGTTCATTTTTAATAATTGGAGATCTTTGTCATTCCACTGCTGAGTGAAGGCCTCCCCATGCCATGTCAGTCATGCAAGTTGTTTGACGATACTTAAACAAACTGGTCAGTGTGAGTTAAAGTGTCGGGGGAGATGCAGGACCAGATGAGATACCACTCACCACTGATGTTAGCTATGGCCGGGAATCGAACTCAGATCACCGGCTTCATTGTCCAGTGTGTTGATCACTGCATCACCATTCCAGCAATGAAATACGTCAGTTTTTGTTGTTGCTTTCTTATGCTTGTGCATAAATGTGTAACATTAGTATAATGTCCTATGTTACTATTCACACAAACAATCACATTCCAATTGCCATAAACAGCAGTGGCCCCAAAAAAGGCTCGGAAAAAAGGGGCCGACAAGGACAACGACAAACAAACGAAGAAGCCCGGACTCCAGGTGGAAGAGTTGAAGGTACAATCTAAGGCTTTCCACTCCAGAGCCATGAATGCCATAAACACTGGGACCTTGTTAATTGGTTTTTTACCCTTCCATCTGGCAACAAAACCGACACCCCTTTTTTTACGAGGAGTCATGTTTGCATAGACCACAATACCTGCAGTCATAATGCAAACAAAAAACACAACTCTGATAATGTATGCACTGTCCTTGATGTTGATTGGTCCACACCCGAGACAGCTTCACTTAGAGCCTAGTCTCACATGGTGTTGGACCAGACGACGCCAAAAGGCGCACAACTCAAAGACAATGCACCACTGATGTGGGTGCTTGCCCCGAGCTCTCATGCTCTGATGGTGCATTGTCTTTGAGTTGTGCGCCTTTTGGCGTCGTCTGGTCCAACCCATGTGAGACCAGGCTCTAAGGAAAGCTGTCTCGGGTGTGGACCAATCAACTTCAAGGACAGTGCATACACTTTCAGAGTTGTGTTTTTTGTTTGCATTATGACTGCAGGTATTGTGGTCTATGCAAACATGACTCCTCGTAAAAGGGGTGTCGGTTTTGTTGCCAAATGGAAGGGTAAACAAACAATTATCTTATTTTTTACTAGCAAATGAGGTACCAGTGGGGACTGGGACCTTGTGTTTTATCAACACTGTGGGCTGCAGGGTGTACGTAATAACAGCCTTAGCCACTACGTGCCAAAATAGGCAAATAAAGATGCAATCCTGTAGTTTTACTCATTCCTCATTTTAAAATACAAATCAATTGGGAAAAAGTGACAAAGTTAGAATATCTCTTCTGGTCCAACTTATTCAATCATGATTCTACCTTGATTGGATGTGCATACACATCGTTTTCCTGGCGTGAAAAGCAATGCACCATAGGGGCTTTTAGAAACCACTACCTTTGGCTGTGGCATATGTATCAGTATCGTAGTAGGCTGCCTTATTAATAGGCCCACCTCGAAATGAATTTGGCAATGGACCGCTGCTTTGAACAGTAAAAAGTTCCTCCTGGAAACTCAGATCATGAACACTCAAGGCATTTAAGAAATGCTGCCACCGTCACCCAAACGGTGTAAGGAGACAAGCGTATCTTGCTAAAATAAATGCATTGTTAAGTTATTTATATATTGTACGCCCTGTAGCATATTCAACGGATTTTATAGCATATGAGATGGTGATCATCACATTCACACTCATAGTCAATTCTTGATTTTGAGCGTGTATCTGGTAGCTCTTGCAAAGGTCGTTGTAGCTCTTGCAAAGGCCAATTCTATCTGTAGGCAAACTCATAACACACTTGTCATTACACACTTGTTATATGCAGAAATACCTTCGTTCAAAAGATCGCGTGATTTATTTCCATTAGGGCAGTGTTATTGACGAAAGTGTTGAGTTAGTTTGTGCTAATGCAGCACTGCACATGCAATATTGGAAGAAAATCTAAAGCAGTGTTGGGCATGCACATTTAGCAAACAGTATGCAACCCATTATGCTTAATTATCCATATAGCAAAACACTGAGTTCTTGATGCGGTAAAAGTATAATTTCGTGATAATTCCATGAATTCATTGGTACAATTATCTTTTTTTTTTTACAAAAGTGCTGTGAAAAAGTGCTGTGTTTATTATAATTGATGCTTTCTCAACTGTTTTAATATAAATTTAAAATGACAGTATTGATATGTAGGATAATACAATCACAATGTCATGTTTGCCATGGATGTTATGTTTTAACAGTACTGTAATTTGACCTTAGACTACCTTTCAGGTTCACATTACAAGCATGCTGTCTTGAGCATTTTACCAATACTGGAGGCAACTAGTTAAAAATATAGCACTGAAGTATTAAAAATTAAAGTGATATATTTAATGCAGGACATTATGTTTAAACATGTGCTGCTAAGTAACCGATCATCCTGTAGGCAGCACCTCGGCTGTATAACTGAAAATGCATAGCAGTGATTGTTAATGATGGATCAAAATTCAATATATGACATGTTTTGTGTTCTCGTCATCTTGTCGGTTTGGTTTTTGGAAAGAGAACCCATTTTTGTAATGTCTGGCAGTACCAGTCGGAATGATTGTAGGATATCTTGTCTGGGTGTCAACCCAGCCAGTCAGTCTCCCATCCTCCTCTGATGGATAGCTTGCCAGCATCACTTTTTTTCTCTCTGCATTTACATGGAAAGGCGCAGTTTGGTATCATTATTGTTTGTTAGTTAATAAACCCTTGTTTTTTTTAAACATAATTTCTTCATGACAAGGCCCAACTTGACTCTTGACAACCATGTAAGTAGTACCTCGTGTTGCCACCTCATAAGAATAAGAAGAATGTCTCATACTATCTGGGGAGTTGATACATACATTCAAATGAATGATGTTGAGTTGTCCATGATTATGCAACTGAGAAAAGCCAGGAATTATAATGTCCAAAGAAGACATACACATTTCCGAGGCCACCCTAGGAAAACTGGGACAGGTTGCAACCCTGTTTGCACCAGTTGCTTGGTGTCATCCAGCCTGTTGACTCTTGCCTGCAGAAGAGAGCCAGCAGAGGTAGGCCATGCGTGGCCTTGCTAACTGTTGGCCCAAGTACCACTGGACTCCACTTGCCTGGCTCTGCACTTGAAGGGGAATCCACCGTGCCACAAAGCCGTTTCGGCCTCCATCCCCATTGGTTTGGAGGTTCTCTCACGGATTCGAAGCAAGTCTTGCGTTCACATAGCCCATATCATCACCTCAACTGAAAACCTTCTGTGAGGGTGAAGGCCCAGAAAGTGAAGCTCAGCGGCCATTGCCTCCTAGTTCTATTTCCACCGCCACCATCACCAAAGCAGCTCCATTCAATGAACGCAGGGCTCTTGCGAGACCCACAGTTTTGAGCCTTATTCTCAGGAGTCCATCTGTAGACCTGTCAAACTGCCTATTCATATCATTAATTCTAGACTTGAAGCTTTCGTGACTACAAGGAATCATATTCTTAGGTGTTTTCGGTAAAGTCACGTAGGTAAAACATCAAAATTAATAAAAATAATAAAATAAAATAAAGATCACGACGTTTTGCCTCCGAAACGTCGTGATCTTTATTTTATTTTATTATTTTTATTAATTTTGATGTTTTACCTATGTGACTTTACCGAAAACACCTAAGAATATTCATATCATGCTGCCTTCAAGTGTTACTGGCAGCCCTACCACTCCCTCCTTATTGGTGCAACCCTATCCACTGTGCAAGGGATAACGACACCCACAATTTTTCATCTGATGTGGAAAATAAACAGTTGAGGTTTGTGCGGCTTCAGCACAGGACCTGGACATTTCCGCCCTATATATTTGCTGCAATTCACGCCGGGAATTGTATTCTTCTTGGCCTAGCCAGCCGGAGAAGCTTCCAATTTCGTGTGGACTTCCAGCAATAAGCAATCATCTCGACAAGTCCCACCAAGATAATTGTATCAACTTCCTCAGGGATCATTTGGAAGCAGATGCAATGTTCCATGATGGAGGTGAAGAGCCCGCAACTCTGATGTGCACAGTTGGCCGCATACGGTGCAAAAGAAGTTCAACATACATACATCCAACTCTTGGTGTCTGACACACTTTTGTCCCATCCTAAAATTGATGGCTTTTCAACTCATCAGGGCTGGAGTACTGTGGACGTGCCACTGGTCCTAGATGAGCAGGGATCTTGCTTTGTGTCGATGGCAAACTGACATGCGTCGGCTTGCATCAGAGACACTGGGTTTTTTTGTGGCCATCACTTAGGTCAGAAGTGTTAGAGATTCGAAGGTTTTTTGTGAAAATGTCCAGTCATACATAGCAATGACTGCAAGAACACAATGGGAGGTTGCTGCCACCACCACTGTCGTCTGGAATTCCCACTCAGGCTATCCATGCTGCTGGATGCTTGCCCCTGCTGCCCTTGTTAAAGTCTAGGCTCACAAAACTTTTTAAAAGTCTGGGCTCACGACTTTAGACTGCTCATTTGCCTGTGACTGACCAAACTAATGATACAAATTTGTATATGTCCTCATTCAGGTATCCCCAAAAGTGCATCTTGCACTTCATGTACATCATCTTGAGATGCTGCATCTTTTAAATGCTGTATACATCCAAGTTGCATTTTATTAAAATGTAAGTAGGAGGTACATCCTTAAAAGTATGTTTTAGAATTCTCTGGAAGCACCCACAAGGCTCCCTCCTATCTCCCCATCTCAGCAGAGGTACCTGGGATGGGGTTGACTTGGTGGAAAACAGGGTAAGAGCATGTGGCTGATTGTACGACGGTAACCAGTGTCAAGTCTGCAAGTTGATCGACACATGACACTGCAAAACCAAACCGTATGTCAAGAAGAGAGGATCTGGTTAAAAAACTATACGGTATTGTGTCCGTCAGACGATGAGAAGTTCCAGAAAGAAAGATGCACCCCACTCTTGTGCTTAGTGTCAATGACGATTTACAAATCTAATTACACACACCTACCGGACTTAAAAACAGTCTGGTATAGTTCAGAGAATGCGGTATTAACTATTGATTTGTGGTGTATTATGTGATGCTGGTTGAGCCTCCCCCCCCCCCCTACTCGCAACGGTTTAAGAGGGGTATGGGAGACTGGCTTTAAAATAGTTATCTGTGTCGTCTTGTTCACACTCAGACGAGATCTGTAACAATCATTACCGTTGGTGCTGCCAGATCTTTACAAAAATCTGACTTACGTAACTCTTTAAAAAAAACGTACGTTTCCAGTTTACCAGGTGAACGTGGGACTTCTTTTTTTCCCTTGCCAAGTCCTGTTTTTTTTTGCATTGTGAAGACAATCGATATCATCCATTCCCTCCCCCCCCTCCTCTCCACCCCCTTTCCCCCAAAACAAAAACAACCCAAAAAAAAGCCACTTGTTGGTCAATCAAGCCACACTGAACGAGCTGTAAAGAAGGGCTACTCAACATTCCAGGCAGTGGCACCCAGATTGGACGGATTAAAACTGGATCAGGGCTGCTGGGTCAGTACGTACAGATGTGATAGCTCCATAAATTGCATGCCTTCATGTGCTTAAAGGCATTTGCACTTGCCAGACTTCCCCGGTCTTTGTTTTTCGTTATAATTGCGTGCAAGCGTTTTTATTCAACACTTGTATATTTGGTACGTATATAAGTTGGCTATATTAAACATCATATGCACACATATACTGTATATTCATTACATATAGTCCCGTTGGGAATTATTTATACAACACCCAAACAAATGGGTGATGTTTTTTTTTTACAAAGTATTTTATTGACCTCAAGAGCAGAAGCCAATGGCCTAGGTTTGAGTGCGGTGGTTACGATCTCCCAGCATCCAAACTGGCAAAGGAATCGCATGTTAGGCAAGTGGTGTAACAATAGCAAGAAGGTAAATCGTTCATTACGTCGGGATGAACTGGGGAGGTCAGGCAGTCTAAATGTCCCATATGTGTATGCTATAAGCCTGTGACCAAATCACCCGGAATGTGCTCAATCCCCCTCAGATCCTAAAAGCTAAGCAGTGTTTTCGAGTCTGGACAGGCCTGAATGGGTGATCCTCGTGCATAAAACAGGTGTCCATACTCTTTGTTTTTTCGGTAAAGTCACGTAGGTAAAAAAATTAAATAACTAAATCACGACATTTCGGGCGCAACACAAGCGTCCTTAAATTTCGATTTAAAGCTTTCGTGACTGCAGGGATTCATCTTCTTGGTTCTTTCGGTAAAGTCACATAGAAGGGAAATAATAAAATAATAAAAATAAAACATAATAAAATAATTCTCACGACGTTTCGGCTACAACGCAAGTAGCCGTCCTTCACCTGAGGACAGCTGCTTGCGTTGTGGCCGAAACGTCATGAGAATTATTTTATTATGTTGAATTTTTATTATTTTATTATTTCCCTTCTACGTGACTTTACCGAAAGAACCAAGAAAACAAGCGTCCTTCTTCAGGTGAGGACAACTTAGCGAAAGCACACCGCTTAAGTATGCTTTCACCGCTTAAGTGTGTTTTCGCTAAGTTATCCTCACCTGAAGAAGGACGCTTGTGCTGCGCCCGAAACGTCGTGATTTAATTTATTCAAATTTTTTACCTACGTGACTTTACCGAAAAAACCAAAGAGTATGAATCCTTGCAGTCACGAAAACTTCAAATGTAAAACAGGTGGTGTAGGCTGCAGGTCTATGCGGGCAGCTGAGGCCAGTGCAGCAAATTACACTGTTGCACTGTGCTTCTATGCTCCAAACATTTGCTAACCCGCCTTCACCGATCCACATGGAGTATGGTAAATTAAACTCCCATGACCCGCATGGCATGCGGAGGCCCTCATCCGGCAGTGGATTGGGGAAAGGTCCTCAAATTTACTTGTATGCTATGTAATTCGGTATATCTGTTTTGTTATAAAGATATTGTAGAGATCGACATGGCTCCCAGCGATATATTTGAGCCACATAGTTTCAAGGTATGTATATATATGTGCTGTGCCTGCGTATATGTGTGTTTGTCTAAATATATAGTATATAACGATAAAGGTGCAGCCCTTGAAAGTGCGTACGCACACCACTAGAAGTTTATTTTGGCCTGCTCTTCCACGCTGGCTATATGGTTTGGAAGAGATTATGATATGCAAACAAGTTTTTTTCACTTATTCTGGACGTTACATGTTATAGAACAGAAATATATTCAGCTCCATTGGCTTCCACATTATTGAACCATATTTTGTTTTCCTGAGAGTTAACCACAATATCATTAGTCCCACGGATACTTGCATGTACATCATCGCCATCCCTGTTTACACAATATATTTCATCCAGCAATATTTAATTGAAAGCATATATTATTTGCGCAATAAAAAATATGCGTACTTTTAACTTCACAAATTGCAGGAGATTATACCACATTGACGTTTCAAATTTGTTGCCATCTTATAGCAAATTGCCCGTTGCACTGGTGCCCATGTTGAGTAGCCCGACTGAACATCACGTCCACCATGGCCCCATCTAATCTGAAGTTCTGGGCCAATAGACTTGTACAAAGGGTTGTTCGTTTTACTTGATGTTTTTTTTGGTTCTCAACCCGCGAAGTGACAGTAAAACATCTTCTGAGAAATGTGTGTGTAAAATGCAATATGATTTATGCGCAGTAGGTTGAAAGTTCAAAGTTCATTTATTAGGTATAGCCCTGTGAGCCATTCGGCTCTTGAATCGGGTGCAACCGCAACAAACAAAAAAACATGAACAAGAAAACATCTTAAAGTGACTAAGTGCAAACAGAAAATCCAAGAAAAGACAGCAAAATATTGCAGAAAAATCACCGTACACCAACCCTGTGCAAATATCCCAGTGGGATGAAAGTAGGTGAAACGTTTCCTAAGCTTAGGATGGTGGCCATTCACACCGTTTAGTTGCAGTCATGCTACACTTTGCAAAATTACATCAGAATCATACAAGTCAAATTCTAAATCTACGATACTTAAATGTATATGAAATTTGATTGAAATTGTAATTGATTAAATGATCTATAGAATAACTTTCTCTGCCTTGAAGAAGGGCATTTGCTTGAAACGTTGCTTATTACAGTATATACAGCTAACAAAACACACAAGGTAACTGTTATTGGCCAAACATCCCAATGATAAAACATTTGCAAATGACTCAATTGAGATTACGTGTAGCAACATCACCCCCTACTGCGAACATTTGGTATGGCCCTCTTTAAAAAGAGTTGAGCTTCAGGCTTTCGAGAAAAAAAAACAAATGTAATAATATTTTTTCTATTCTCATGTTTTTTTCTTGACAGATGTGTTTAATTTGTATGACTTGTGCTTGTGCCCCAATGCCAATGCAGCAGCACACGTTTTTAACTCTGAAGATTTAACTGTTTTTTTTCTTATATTTTTAGCACCCTCGGCTTTCTCTTGGTCCTGCAGCTTAGGGGAACATCTTTTGTTAGCCCTGTGGAACAAGGACGCTAATCCTGGCCGACGTGTGTGTGTGTTCGTAGCGTCGCATGAACCCAGAGCTGCTGAAACACTGCTTGATGGTTGTGAAGTCTGGCGGACTCTGCATGGTAGGTATGGTCACCAGGCCCTACCACTGCCTATAGTGGGGCCCAGGTGTTATGAGCTGTGCCTTCCTTTGGGCTCTGTGGAACTTTCATTCTAGATAGTACATTAATTATTTGGTTAATGTATTTATTAATTAATTGCTTAATACGGTCCTGGCTCTCCAGGTTAAAATGCAAAAAACACATTTCAGTCCATCAACCTATTAGCCTTCTAGGCCAATGTTTTCTTTTCTGGCAGTATTTTTAATCAGGTGGACAAAATCTAGACCATATTTAGCTTGCTGAGTCTAATCAGTGCAGTCTGGGATTTTAAATACTGCTGTTCAAATTCCTGAAGACCCATAGGCTGATGGGCCAAAATATTATATTACCAAGAGTCCACTATGATATAACATACATTTTGTACAATTGCATTTGTGGAATTCTTGTAGATGTGACAACCAGGAATGGCTGCTGAAAACCCAGTGTAAAGATCAGCCTAAATATATTACATCCTGGTACAATCAACAATGGTCACAATCGAAAATACATTTTAGTCTAAGATTTAGTCATGATACATTGATTAGGAAGGCAATTGAAGGAATTGTACAATGTTTAGCTCGGTACATTTGTGCATCACCATTTACATAACAAATGGCTATGGATAATTTGCTCAACAATTGTTGAATTAAAAATGCAGCTGATAAATACTATCATAAATATTATTAACATGCTTTGCCTGCATTCTCATTTAAATGTTGTGAGATTACTCTCCAACAACATCTCCTCTGGTGCTGTTGAAGCAGTCATAAATATGGCCACGTTTGATTCCAGTGACACTTTTATTACCTGGCTGTGCTGGGTGGAGGCGGGTTTATGACTCACATCGTTACAAGATCTAACTCAAAAGAAACTAATTATGAGTCAATATTGGTTGTGAAAGCCTCCATATACAAGAAACTATAAACTTAAAAAATGTACACATTTCATCCAAACTAGTTTGACTTCAGTAAAAACAAATTGGAGCAATGTGGAAGTAACTTTGCCTCTATAGAAGGCACGGCAATGACTGATACAATAATCAATTTTTTTCTGTAAAAGCAATTTTCAGTGACATTTTACCGCGCATTAAACTTACATGAGCACTTTTATTCACGCAAAAAAGTTAAAGTGATTCTCACTAAAATGAGCGTTGAGACAGTGCTTTCTTGTTTACAGCCATGAGCCACTGCTGGAAATTCCACATTTCTATGGCACGAGCGAGTTTATATAATAAACTACTGTTGACTTATGAGACCTCCTTTACCAGTGGCAAAATATAGTAGTAGGTTTTTACCCTTTAAACTGGTACAAAACTGACACCTTTATAGAAGGCATCATGTTTGCAATAACCGCAACACAAGCAGTCAAATGCAAACAAAAAAGAAGCAACTCTGATGATGATAATGATATGCACTGTCCTTGAAGTTGATTGGTCCACACCCGAGACAGATTTCCTTAGAGCCTAGTCTCCATTGGAGGACCAATCAACTTCAAGGACAGTGCAATATCAAGGACAGTGCATATCATTACCATTATCAGAGTTGTTTCTTTTTTTTGCATTTTGACTGCTTGTGTTGCAGTTATTGCAAACATGATGCCTTGTATAAAGGTGTCAGTTTTGTACCAGTTGAAAGGGTAAAAACCTACTACTACTACTGTTGACTTCCCCATTAAAGTGGTACATATTTGATCAACCCTGGAGGGATGATGGGCTACGTCAACCTCCAACTATGATTTGAACTCGCAAACTTCCAATTGCGAACAAGCCACTCTTCTTCTGAGCCACCTATTTGTACGTACACATGTTGAACTTCTTTCACACCGTACATATCCAACCGTGCTAATTGGAGGTGTAGGGAAGGACAACTAACTTAACACAAAAAGCTGTTCTCAAGAAACACGTTTTCAATCTACATTTAAAAGTGCATAGCTCCAGTGGCTTGCTAATATTTACACTTCAGTTACACTGACACATCTCACCTGGCTCATTTGCTTAACAAAAGTGGACTCTTCTGCAATTGTCTCCGAAATGTTCTCTGCTGAGGCATTGCAATACATCTGCCCTCATCTACCTGTTCACGAACTGCATCGTTAATACACTCCATTCAACAGTTAATTTACCATACTCAATAATAAAAAAAAACTGCATGCTTGCCAATGCCACACACTGATCCCAGTTGCCTTTTCTTCTATGCAGGTTTATGATAAGGAGCTGGAGGCAGAGTTCAATAACTTTGAAGACTGGCTGAACACGTTCAATGTGTATCGCGGCAAGAACAGCGACGAAGACAGCGACTTTGACAAGGAGAGATTGGTGGGGCGTTTCAAGGTGGGTCCATACCTGTCAACCCCTTATCAGTGCCCCTACCTTATTACAGACCAATTGGTGACCCCGTGTCCTTATGAATCTCAACGTTCAAACTACAAAGCCCGCATTGAAACGGCTGCACGCCATATGGACCTGAAAACTCAATTTCCCTGTACAAGAATACGGGTAAACCGTATGGGTTGACAGGTATGTGAGTCATACGTGGACAAAAAGTAGAATGTCAGTCTCATATATTTATATATTTACTTAATTAAAGCTGTCATATTCTATTGAGTTATGATCACTTTATGAAATATGTTAAATGCAGTGCAAATTTGAGTTAGTATGTATGTATGTTGAACTTCTTTCACACCGTACGTAGCCGACCATTTCTGATTGGAGGTGCGGGGAAAGGACAACAAAAGCAGGAGCAGCAGAGATTTCATTTTCTTCTTCTTGGTTCTTTCGGTAAAGTCACGTAGAAGGGAAGTAATAAAATAATAAATAATAATAATACTAAATAATAAAAACAATATTTTTTTATTATTTTATTACTTCCCTTCTACGTGACTTTACCGAAAGAACCAAGACGATGAATCCCTGCAGTCACGAAAGCTTTAAATCGAAATTTAAGAGATTTCATTCCTAAGTTAAAATTCTAATCAAGGTCAACTCAGCCCATGATCCATCCAGAATTGATCAAATGAGCTTCGCCAAGTTCTGACTTATCACTACTTGGTGAGAAGGCAGTCAGCAGTGGCTACAGTACAGATTGACTGGCCCCAATATATGAATGTAGATATGGTCACTGCTGACTTGGGATTAGCTATGGAGGTGAGTTCCACCCCACACAAACTTGAGGACGAAAACGCACCAATGATGACGATTAGCTCCAAGATCTAAGTCCATTTAGGTCTTGATCTCACACCTACATTTAGCATCACATGAAAAAAAATACCATTGAAGTATATAATACCTCTAAGTAATAATGTAGTGATGAATGTGCAGGGGGGAGTGATGACACAGTTATTAGTGCACCTGGCAATCTGTGGCTATTAATATCTGGAACGACCCTGGCCCTTTTCTCCAACCAGCACTGGCCATCGTGGTAAAGTATGGCCAAGAACCCCAATGACCGGCAGAGTGTGGAGATGCATTTATGTATTCATGTTGAACTTCTTAATAGGGAGCGATAGTGTAGTGGTTAGTGCGCTGTGCTACGTACCCGGCGAACTGGGTTCGATTCCTGCTCACGGCCAACACCAGTGACGATTATCTAAGTCGATCCTCCCCTAGGTCGACTCAGCCTCAAATGATTACCTGTTGCGATGCGTAAACATCGCCACTCGGGAGAGAGGCGGCCGAGCGCGGTGAAGGCCACCCACCCCCTTGTGTGCCGTGCCGGCCTTCATAGGTGCTGGCTAACAGCAGTTGCCCCAACAGGCGGATAAGGAATTACGGCGAAAGTATGTCATTGTTTTCTTGCGTACCGTATGTAGTCAGCATTGTTTCTTCTAATCGTCACGTGATTCTCGCCACAGGGCTCGGCCTGCATTTACAAGTGGCCCCTCTCCAAAGCGGTGCTGGATGAAGTGGGGTACGACCCCCAGCTGGGGATGTTCCAGGGCATCCCCATAAACGATCCCATCAGCGTGCTCGTGAGGGTCTACATCGTGCGGGTACGTCCTCAAGCGTGCGCGTGACAGTGCTGATTGTGCTCAGGTGCTACTGTGGCGGGTTCGATGGACCTGCATTGATGTGTTCCATCACTGGAATCTTGGCTGAAAAACCCACGCGTGGGTTGGTGGCATGGCCTCGTGGTGGCACGTTCACCTTTCGCTGTAGATAGTCACGATTTGAATGCATGATCTGCCCTAATTATTACTCTGAGGTGTAATAACCAGAGGTGTGGACTCGAGTCATGTGACTTGGACTCGAGTCAGACTCGAGTCATGAATTTGATGACTTCAGACTCGACTTGGACTTGCATAACAATGACTTTGTCCCACCTCTGAGGTGTGGACTCGAGTCATGTGACTTGGACTCGAGTCAGACTCGAGTCATGAATTTGATGACTTCAGACTCGACTTGGACTTGCATAACAATGACTTTGTCCCACCTCTGGTAATAACCATAACATATGCTCCGTCTGATTCACCGTGGCCAGTAAAGATCCCCTCGCGTCATTGACGTCAAACACGACAGTCGGGAATAGTGTAACTGGCATCTGGGTCCCAATTTGTAAAAATCTAAAATGATAATTAATTTGGGACTATACATAGCAATTGTCACCACATCCAGGCAGACGAATGCATCTCAAGTTACTCTTCCAAACGAGGCTGTCCTGGTTTCTTGAGTTATCACCCGATTAAACAAAATAAATTTGAACGCACCGGTGAGTTTCAATATAAACCAATCAGTTGTTTAAACACTATTCTGATGCATTGGTCCAGAAGATGTTCCATGATGAATAAATTACTTATTATTATTTTTTTCCCATTAAATCTGATTATTGCTCTATTTGGTAGATTCAGAAAAACTGACATTGCCTGTGCATGTTGTGGGTTTACTCTCCAACACACCGGTGTGCTGTACTAGTAACGAATTGGCATGTTCTGTTTACATGACAAATCTTACTAATTGGCTGTGTCGGGTGGTGGTGGGTTTAACGACACATTTATATTTACGCGATCTAACCAAAAAAACTTGTATGATGAATTATATTGGCCGCGAAAGCCTACGTGTTAAATTGCCTGTACATGTTTCTGCGTATTGTATTAGGCTAACCTTATCTGGCCAGGAACAGCTGCAAAGTAGCATCCACTCGTCCCTCAATGTGTGTCTAATCCAAGAGCTTAACTGTCCTGCTGCAAGTTTGCAATGTGGATTTCCAAGAGAAAATACATTTCATCGTGGCTTTTATATTTTCTTTATATACTCTTAGTTTTTTCGGTAAAGTCACGTAGGTAAAAAAATGAAATTAAAATAAAAAAAAAAAAAAATAATAATAAATATTTTATTTTTATTAATTTTAATTTCATTTTTTTTACCTACGTGACTTTACCGACAAAACTAAGAGTATGAATCCTTGCAGTCACGAAAGCTTCAAATCTAGAATTTTCTTTATATCATAGTCCCATGGGATGTTGCATAGTCCCATGGGATGTTGGCTATCAACAACAAGGCAACTTCTATGACTAATTGGGAATGGGACGCAAGCGTAGGATTGATCACCCTGTCGCTGGCCGCCTTTGGGGAGGGTGTATAGTATGAAAGGCCGAAACACCCTAGGAACCAAAGGGTCACTACTGATGATGCGCTCCCCAAATTTCACCAGGCTCACTGTTCATGAACTCTTGGAAGTGCTTGCACAAAGGATAGTAACATCTCATCCTGTGTTCTTTGGAATCGGAATATGAATCCTTGCAGTCACGAAAGCTTCAAATCTAGAATTTTCTTTATATCTTTAAAGCTTTCTATTGAAAAACAACTTGGAAATGCACATCTGCAATAGATTTATTGTGCACATGTTTGTTATCACATTGAAGCCATGAACCTGCTGCTCGTATGAGGGCAGCATTACATTATATAGAACATAGTTTATTGATTCTATAGTTAAAGCTTTCGTGACTGCAAGGATTCATACTCTTTGGTTTTTTCGGTAAAGTCACGTAGGTAGAAAATTAAATAAATAAAATGAAATAATGTTGTTGCTTTCATTTATTTTATATTTTACCTACGTGACTTTACCGAAAAAAACAAAGAGTATTGTTTATTGAACCCAGGAAGATTGCACTGGTTTTTAGTTTTTTTATACATATTTTTTAACAAAGGGCAAGGTAGTATCTTAAATAGCAGGACTAGTTTAACCCTTGCAAGTAAATATAGACTCACTGTTTCAAATGATGATGCGTTGATCGCGTGGCCAGGAGGCGGTGACACGTGCCTGTAATCCACCACTAGGAAGGCAATGGTTGGCGGATCACAAAAAGATCGTGAAACTCCCTTCCCATGGGCATCGAGGTGCCATAACCCTGGCTTACCAAGAGAATGCAGTACAGCAAATGGACTAATCTCCATCTGTATGGGGATAGAGTGTTGCCCCCTCCCGTGCGTAGGTGTTCTTCGTGTGCTCCAGTTGATTTCCACGTGTATAAGCACTCGTCATTAATTGGCTGAAATTTTTTTTTTTTTATGAAAAAACCCAACGCAGGACCCTCCTGAAAAATAATTATTGGATATAGGAGTAATTAATTTGTTATTACGTACTATTAAGAGGTACTGACTCAGTACCATAACATAGCATAAATTCGCCAAGCCAACAAGCCACTTCATGTGAATAAACCTGATACCTATTTGTTCCGTTTGCTGATCTGGGAACCAGGCAACTGACCTCCATCCAGCTGACGTCAATGGGAAGGCGGATCCGTACATTGTGCTCAAGCTGGGCAAGACCGAGGTGAAGGACAATGAAAACTACATTGCCAAGCAGCTGAACCCCATCTTTGGAAAGTGCGTGCTCATGTTATTAGATACGGTGTCTTGGTGTTATTCATGATAGTCTTTTTTACGCAATGGATTTCCATTAGATATGCTTACGATTATTATTATAATGGAAACATAGACATGGTAAATGTTGTTTATATGTTGCAAATGGAACTGCATAATTTTCACGTCATTATCATGAGCCAGGAATGATGAATCCACTGTTGGATGAAGGCCTTCCCCAACCACTACCATCTCTCACGACCTTCTTGGTTCTTTCGGTAAAGTCACGTAGAAGGGAAATAATAAAATAATAAAAATAAAACGTAATAAAATATTCTTATTATTTCCCTTCTACGTGACTTTACCGAAAGAACCAAGAAGATGAATCCCTGCAGTCACGAAAGCTTTAAATCGAAATCTCTCACGATCTTCCAATGCCAGTGATCCATCCAGCACCTGCACGTGAACTGATGTCATAGCTCCTGCTTCGTGGACGTCCTCTCGGATACGTTCATCACCTTGACTGCCACTCCGTCATCATTCCTGATCATTGTCTATCATCCCTCCTAGCAATGCATCCTCCCCAAGCCCACTTTTTATAGTTTGGATGATGTCATTAAACCGTGTGTTTTGCTATCTGTTTCTCGCTGTACAATTTTATTGAATGACAATGCAGCATATAGTGATGATGTGATCGCTTTGCTGTTTCCAGGTCTTTTGACATCGAGGCAACCTTCCCCATGGAGTCAATGCTCACTGTGCAGATCATGGATTGGGACCTGGTGGGAATAAATGACCTCATTGGAGAAACCAAGATCGACCTGGAGAATCGCTACTACAGCTATCACCGTGCCACCTGTGGGATAGCACAGCAGTACGCCATGTGAGTACCAAGAATAAATCCCATTACACTTGATGCTTCTTTTGAATTTTGTAAAGGGTTTAAGTGTCTTCTTCTTGGTTCTTTCGGTAAAGTCACGTAGAATGGAAATAATAAAATAATAAAAATAAAACAATAAAATACAATTCTCACGACGTTTCGGCCACAACACAAGCAGCCGTCCTGTCTTCTCGACAGACCTGTTCTCCACCTGAGGACGGCTGCTTGCGTTGTGGCCGAAACGTCGTGATAATTATTTTATTATGTTTTATTTTTATTATTTTATTATTTCCATTTTACGTGACTTTACCGAAAGAACCAAGAAGATGAATCCCTCCAGTCACGAAAGCTTTAAATCAAGATGGAGTTATACGTACATACACAGCAAGTACACAGCTTAGAGAGTGTCTACACTTACATTTTGACTTAAAACGTTCGTGACTGCAGGAAATTCATATTCTTTGGTTCTGTCGGTAAAGTCACGTAGATAGAAAAATAATAATAATAAAAAAGTGAATAAAAATATAGACTGCCAGTATGCGCACTCTGTTTAATAACCATTGCTACAGTCTATACAGACTGCCAATATGCTCACCAACTTAAAAACCAGGCTACTGTCTACATTATAGACTGCCAGTATACTCACTGAGGTTAAGAACCAGGCTACAGTTTACATTAGTGTTATTTTATTTTTTTATTCACTAAAATTTTTATTTTTCTATCTATGTGACTTTACCGAAAGAACCAAATAATATTGCGTCTACGCTTGTTTTAAGATTGGACAATTAAGAATGGGATTCTGCCATGGTAAGCACACTGGACTAACAATCCAGCGATACCTGGATCAATCTCCTGGCATGGCTGTTGAAAGAATTAGCAGGTTTTCTTAAATCGCCCCAACAGCACAGTTTGTTTTGTGTTGTTTATATTTGTTGACGCAAGTAAGGAACATTCAGCTGTTTGCTGTTTTCCACGAATTACCCGTGGAGGAACTTGGCGAAAAGAAGTTTCAGCAGCGTATAAATCATAACGTGGCAGAAACTGAGTCGCAAACTCAGCAGGTCAGTTGCGGTGGGTTGAAGTGTGATTACTCCCACCACTTCCTAGATGTCAGGCCAGTGTTGTAGGGCAGCATTAAATATCAAATCAGGAGGCTGTCCCGAGCCTCCTCCTCTAGTGGAGGCGGAGGTGCTTCCACCAGCAGCGGCATGAGTTGGCGATGTGAGTGCCGTACTTCAATTAAAGGGGGCAGTTTGAAATATTTGGACATCAAATTTGTTTGCTCCCCAAGTGGCAATACAAGTGGACCATCTCAGCCGTGCTGGATGGAATGCTGTGGGAATGCGCCGTAATGAAATGCAGGTTTAACCGACGCAGCATTGTGGACGGCAGTGACGGCACGAACTTGTACGCAACGAGCTGAACACGCTGTTGCTTTGACGTCCGTTTCCCAGCCATGGCTACAATGTGTGGCGTGACCCTCAAAAGCCGACGGAGATCCTGTCCCAGCTCTGCAAGGACAACAAAATGGCAGAACCGGAATACGGTCCGGTCGGCCGTGTGAAGGTGGCCAGCCGCATCTTCACAGGGCCCACCGAGCTAGAAGACGAGACCGGTGAGGATGAACGCATTTTGTCAATGCAGCTCAAAAGATATAAAGCTTTCGTGACTGCAGGGATTCATCTTGTTGGTTCTTTCGGTAAAGTCACGTAGAATGGAAATAATAAAATGATAAAAATAAAACATCATAAAATAATTCTCACGACGTTTCGGCCACAAAGCAAGCAGCCGTCTTCAGGTGGAGAACATATCTGTCGAGAAGACAGTCTGAATGACTCTGTCTTCTCGACAGACCTGTTCTCCACCTGAGGACGGCTACTTGCGTTGTGGCCGAAACGTCGTGAGAATTATTTTATGATGTTTTATTTTTATTATTTTATTATTTCCATTCTACGTGACTTTACTGAAAGAACCAAGAAGACAGCTCAAAAGAGTTGTGTTTTGCAGGGTACAAATCTCAACTCTGTGGTCACCGCCGCCTTTAGGTTTGTGAAAATCAGCACCGTTTTTTTTCTTCTTGGTTCTTTCGGTAAAGCCATTAAGAATGGAAATAATAAAATAGTAAAAAGATAAATATTTTTTTATTTTATTATTTCCATTCTACGTGGCTTTACCGAAAGAACCAAGAAGATGAATCCCTGCAGTCACGAATGCTTTAAATCGAAATGGCACCGTTTATATGAGGATGTACCGCCCTACGGAAGGTGGTAGCGGTTATCATCATTATCTTCGTTGTCATCATCAATCATGCTCTGTCCACTGCTGCTGCATGAAGGCTTCCCAAATTCATCACGTTTTTTCACAGTTTCATGCTGCAATAATCCATCCAGCTCCTTCGCACGAGCTGATCTCAATGCTCCGTATCCACACTGGTTGTCCTCAGGCATGTCCCCTCCTTGGGCTGCCACTCCATCGTAATTCTCAACCATTGGCCATCATGCCTTCGAGTTATGTGCCCTTCCCAAGCCCACTTTAATTCTTAAAAGTCTATATGAATCTTGATTTGTTTCTTGATCCATGTGTTCCTTTTTCTGTCTCCTCACTTTAATACCCAAGCATACATGCTTTGCACACTTTTCTTCATTTGTTCCATTTTTCTTCTTGGTTCTTTCGGTAAAGTCACGTAGAAAGGAAGTAATAAAATAATACAAATAAAACAGACGCTGTCTCCCCGACAGACCTGGTTTTCACCTGAGGACGGCTGCTTGCGTTGTGGCCGAAACGTCGTGATAATTATTTTATTATGTTTTATTTTTATTATTGTATTACTTCCCTTCTACGTAACTTTACCGAAAGAACCAAGAAGATGAATCCCTGCAGTCACGAAAGCTTTAAATCGAAATTTGTTCCATTTTCTTTGTCATTGCCCATGTTTCTGATTCATGTCAGAGCAGGTAACATGCTTCTGATTGAACACTTTCTTCGTCAAGGATATTGTTACATTGCTTTCGACCGTCAAGTTCGTTCTTTCAAAAAAATTACACCAATCTGCCGTTGATTGCCTTTTTCTTAATTTGTTAACACAAATTTGTTAACACAAATTAAGAAAATATTATCCACAGAAACAAGTTATTGTCTTCCTAAAATTGTATTGGAAAATAAAGGCAAAGACATGAATGGAGAATTCACCATTTTCAGAGTTGCTGATGACAGCGATTATAATAATCAGTGGAAATCAATCGCAGGATTGTGTGTGTTTTATGATTTCAGGCCACATAAAGGAGACCAATGAGCATGTGGCACTCAAGGTCCTGCACAACTGGGGAGAGATCAGCCCCAAGGGCTGCCGGCTGGTGCCAGAGCATGTGGAGACGCGGCCTCTCCTTCACCCTGACAAGCCTGGCATTGAGCAGGTGGATGCCTCCAGATCTTTTTTTAAATCCTTTATATTAAGTTCGCTTGCTTGCTTAGGACCGTGCAAATCTTTCAGTCGTGTTTTAACCCACTTCCCGTGATCCAATCGAGCTGACATTTTGCACACAGACTCGTTGTGCGTGACAATTAATGTTCGTGAAATTTTTTTTCCAAAATGTTACACTTTTTAGGAAAAAATATTATATTTAATTACCAATTGCTTAATGGTGCAATGCAATCATCTGACCCATAGGTGGCAGCCATCTCAAGCCAGAGGACGAGAGGGCTCTAGCCGCCACGCATATAAAGGATTTATAGTGAAAAACTTTGTTTTTACAGGTTATACTTATTATCCCTCCACGTCTAGAAACGTGCACTTAAAAGAGTGTTTAGATTATTTTGCTGCAATAAATATTCCACGTGCTAAGCCACTTTGTTGAGCTATCATATGTGGTCGAAAATGTATGAATGAAAATCGCTCTTTTGAGAAATGGCCTCGTATCTCAGGTTAGAGTGCTGAGCTGGTACCGCTGAAATCCGTGGTGGGGATTTGTTATCTCCCTCGCCTGATATACAGGAGGTCGTGGGTTCGATCCTGACCCTGACGCCTGCTGTATATTTGGAGTTTGCATGTTCTGCCTGTCGTCACGTGGATTTTTCTCCGGGTCCTCTGGTTTTTCCCTCCACATTTAGAAACATGCATTTAGAGTATTTTGCTGCTATAAAAGTCACTTTGTTGAGCTATCATTTGTGGACAGGTCATTTCTGAAAAAGTAAGCTAATAGTTCAGTGGGTCTTACCAGGTAAGATAAAGCATAGTTTAGTTATGTGAGTATATATTTTTAAGTGATTTGTTTACCTTTACTATGCTTTGCATCCTTATCGTGTTTGTTTGTTGTTGTAACGTTCTGACCCGCCCCTTACTGGACAACTGTAAAAAATAACTTCATAGCTCATCGGATTCCTCCAGTACAAATAAATATTCTGATTCTGACTATAATTTAACCACGTTCTACACATTACAGAGCATGTGGCATTGCGTAAAACCAGATGAGATCTCGGTTTTGAGCCCTCGGTTACCTTCTGCCAGATGGAGGAGTTTCATTGTGAAAGCAGTGCAACGATTTCACAAAAACACTGTTTTACATAGGTTAATGTATGTCACATCATGAGTACTAAACTGGTGTCTGGATTTCCGTTGTACAGGGGGGCCCAGATGTCTTGTGACCCCAATTAATTGACCCCCTAACAATGGTTTCTCATTGCGTATTAATTTTTGTTTTAAATTAACCTTACTTACAAAAATGTTTTAGAAAATTAAATGGGAGGGAGGAGCGTCACAAGATATCTGGGCCACCCTGTACATCTGAATTCCGTCGCCGAGCTATCGCACACAATATTTGAACAGTGCAGTTCCCCCTGTGTAAAAAGGGCCTTAAATTCTGAAATGAAACTTTCATCGTTGCAGGGCCGTGTGGAAATGTGGGTGGACATGTTTCCAAAGGACCTGCCGCACCCAGGGCCACCTGTGGACATCTCTCCACGCAAACCCAAGAGGTCTGCCGTTCAATCTTGATTTTTAGCTTTCGTGACTGCACGAATTCATACTCTTTGGTTCTTTCCGTAAAGTGACCTAGATAGAAAAATAAATAATGCAAATTTAGCAATCTTTGGAAGGACGTTGATCAACCAGGTAAAGTGTTAACTGTTGTGTTGGCCGACTCTCTGAGTTGCATTACATTTCTAAGTTTGATAAGTTTGATATTTTTTTCTTTTCCTCTCACCTTGTTCCCTCTTTGAATTCCACCCCACCCTCTCGCCCGTTATGGCAGCCCCTCCCCCTCCCCTCCCTCCCCCCTCGGCTCTATATAATGCCCCATCACAGCGGCTTGTTTCTCTTTCTCACCTGAAGACGATTGCTTGTTGTTACGATCGAAACGTCGTGATCTATTATTTATTTTTCTATCTACGTGACTTTACCGAAATGTCTGCCGTTGTCTGCCTGGGACTCGCAGCACCTGTGCACGGATTAGCAGAGGTGGGACAAAGTCATTGTTATGCAAGTCCAAGTCGAGTCTCAAGTCATCAAATTCATGACTCGAGTCTGACTCGAGTCCAAGTCACATGACTCGAGTCCACACCTCAGAGGTGGGACAAAGTCATTGTTATGCAAGTCCAAGTCGAGTCTCAAGTCATCAAATTCATGACTCGAGTCTGACTCGAGTCCAAGTCACATGACTCGAGTCCACACCTCTGCGGATTAGTAGTGCTCATCTATTGCCGTACATCGTGCTCAGTAAAAAGCTATGAATGTGCATTGTCAAAATAAGAGCGGTGTTGCTGCCTACGTTTGTAAAAGGCTTAAATTCGACTGCTGCATGAGGCAGTGCGCATCTGTTTACAGCCCTGAGCCAGTGGTGTTTAATTCCGCTTTATTATGACGAAGGAGAGTGTATCCATAGGACCATCGGTGTTGACATCCGATAAAGTGATAACTAATATTTTATTAACCCCAGACAGATGAAGGGATGAGCTGACCTCCAACTGGGATTTAAACTGATGATGGTAATGATGGTAATGATAATGGTGATGGTGCTGATGATGATAGTTATGATGGTGTTGCTGATGATGACGGTGGTGATGATGATAATGATGATGCTGATGGTGATGATGGTGGTGGTGATTATAACGATGGTGGTGGTGGTGGTGATAATGATGATTAGCACAGTTGGCTACGTACAGTGCAAACACACATTCCTGAGAGGGAGCTGGTAGGAACGTTGGGTTGCTCGGTCAATGGCCAGGGTCAACGGCGGCGTGGTGTATTCCGCAAAAATGCCCGACTGAGGGCGGGCACAAGCCGGCGTGAGTAGGTGAAACGTTGAGTTTTATAAGGGCACCACGGGGTGACCAGCCCCTCCCCACCCAGCCCCACCCCTCCCACCCCCCACCCAGCCCCACCCTCCCCACCCTCCCCACCCAGCCCCTCCCCACCCAGCCCCTTCCCACCCTCCCCACCCAGCCCCTCCCCATCCTCTCCTCCCCACCCAACCCCTCCCTCCCCACCCAGCCCCTCCCCACCCTCCCCTCCCCACCCAGCCCCTCCCCACCCTCTCCTCCCCACCCAGCTCCACCCCACCCTCCCCACCCAGCCCCTCCCCACCCTCCCCTCCCCACCCAGCCCCTCCCTCCCCACCCAGCCCCTCCCTGCACTACGGACACAATAATCCCCTGTGGGCTGGTGTAACCAGGAGGTTCCTACCAGTATAAGTTCAACATACATACAAACTCACAACCCAGGCCACTTGCAAATGAGACTCGATCCTTGTCTCTTGAGTTATCACCTGGTTAAACAAAATAAACTTGAACCTTTTCCACTGTGTCATCTAGCTGGATTGAACCGTATAAATGGAAAAAAAACGTTGCCTGTGTTCATGCCAATGAGGGTTGAGATGCACTTGTTAGTGAATCAGTTGCAATGATTAAGCAATCGAACGAGTTCTAGATTTGAAGCTTTCGTGACTGCAAGGATTCATACTCTTATGAAATAAAAATTCATTTTTTACCTACGTGACTTTACCGAAAAAACGAAAAATCGAACGAGTATTTGTGCTGGAAGATGTACACTTCCCCGACCAACGTGTTTGTATGTACCTTGATGAAAAAAAAATAACAGGGTTTAACATTTCTGGCATTAATACAGCAGGTGTTAAGATGCTCAAACACCAAATAGACACCTATTACAAGGCATCAAGTCTGCATTAACCACACACTTGTGGTAAAACAGGCAAACAAATATGCATTGATGATGTATGCATTGCCATAGAAACTGATTGGCCTACATCAGAGAGCTTTTTTATACATTTGAATATACCTCGCCATATTTTTCGATATTTATACATTCCGTGAACATTCCTCTTCTGCAACGCATCAAACACAAATGTGTTTGGCACGCATATTTAAAAACACGTGATAGAAAATATCCTTGATTCTTGACCTGTATTTTGTCAACACGAACCTCTGTACAGAAATCTTGTCAGCTTAATAGCCGACTCCACCAACAATCCTCTCTCGATCTCCCCCTGCGTTCGCCCTCCCCCCCCCTACAGCTACGTACTCAAGGTTGTGATATGGAACACGGATGACGTGAAGCTTGAGGACGACAATTTCTTCACAGGAGAGCGATCGAGCGATATTTACGTGCGCGGGTACGTATAGCCTCGCCTCACCCCCACTCCCCATGGCCTCTTTCTATATTTTTCATACCTGTATCTCCTATCTCATTTGCCCTTCTTGCTGCAGGCTACATTTTTTTGTTTTTACTCATTAAAACTTTCAACTCAAATTTGCAGCCCTCTTTATTAAGTACAGAATTTTATTTTCCCCATAATTGATTTCCACTGCTTATAATCACTGTCATCAGCTCAATCTGAAATGTTTAATTATTTATTCATTTATGTTCATGCCATTTATTTTCCAACACGATTTTATGGAAGACAATCCTTTGTTTCTGTGAATAACGTTCACAAGTGGTAATCCACCTCGCTAGACTCTCCTTCTGACAAGTATCTTGTTACTTTCTTCATGCGGCCTCAGTGTAGCCGTATGAATGATTTTTTTGTCAGTTTAACGCGTAGATTTTCGCGACCAATAATATCCACAAGAGGTTTTTTATTGGGTTAGATCGCGTAAGTATAAATGTGTCGTCCAATCCGCCACCATCGCACACAGCCAATTAGTAAGGTTTGTCACGTAAAAAAACGTGCCAATTCGTTACTAGTTCAGCACAACCGGTGTGTTGGAGAGTAAACCCACAACATCTGCAATGTGAGTACAACGTTTCGCCAGTGGTTGTAATTACCAGCGAAACGTCGTACTCGAATTGTAAATGTTGTAGGTTTACTCTCTAACCCACCGGTGTGCTGAACTAGTAAATAATTGGCATGTTTTGTTGTTTACAAGACAAACCTTACTAATTGGCTGTGTCGGGTGGTGGCGGGTTTAACGACACATTTATGCAATCTAACCCAAAAAAAACTCTTACGTTTTAAATAGCCAAAATAATTTTTATGTAGAGCTAGGTTTGTGAGTACTGGGATGACTATCAATTTCCACTGTATATAATGCCTTGTTATAGTCCAACACCAATGGAGACTAGGCTCTAAGAAAAGCTGTCTCGGGTGTGGACCAATCAACTTCAAGGACAGTGCATATCATTATCATTATCATAGTTGTTTCTTTTTGTTTGCATTTTGACTGCTTGTGTTGTAGTTATTGCAAACATGATCCCTTGTATAAAGGTGTCAGTTTTTGTACCAGAGGAAAGGGTAAAAACCTATTATTACAATATGTATGTTGTCAATGTATGCTCATTTGAAACACTGCCACTGTGATTAAAAGTGAATTTTTCCTGAAGGGAAATATATTGATATTTCCTTGCAATGATGAAACTATTCTTACCTATGAAGATGTCGAATGACCATTTTATAACTCCTGGCATTCCCTGCTCGAGACCAGTTTCCTACAGAAATTCACGGGGTCACACTAATCACCACAGAGTACTGCAAACTGCTGTAAACTTAGCGCAAAGTACTATAAATGAGCAACCAAAGTACCATAAATGAACAACCAAAGTATCATAAATTGCACTCTCCACCCGCAACTCTCCCCCCAGCTGCCCCCCACCTCATGTACCCTAGCCCCCCCATTTTTTCAACTGCGTGAATTCTGTAACTTTTCAAACTTTCCAAATTTGGGTCATGATGCCAGAACCAGGACACATGATATTTCACTTCCACGGTGAAGCACATCGTGCATATTCTTACAGTCAATACACCCACTGTATTAACCAGGGCATGCCTGCCGGACTTCAACCATGAACCTCCACAACAAGTGGCAAACGTATTCTTAGCTTTTTTCGGTAAAGTACTTGATACAGCAAGCGTGCTGTGACGGTTCCACCTGAAGACGGAAGCTTGTGTTGCCTCCGAAACGTCGTGATTTTATTTTATTTTACTTTTATTAATTTTAATTTTTTACCTACGTGACTTTACCGAAAAAACCTAAGACTATGAATCCTTGCAGTCACGAAAGCCTCAAATCTAGAATTAAGTGGCAAACGTGCGACTCCTCGCTCGGTCATGTCCCCGCACATTGCATGCAAATATCCACGATGATTAATTTGAGCGTGCCCGTGTCGTTTGTCGTGGTGTTTGTCTAAAACCCTTTGAATCGTTGAGATCATTGTAATGTTCTTGGTTCTTTCGGTAAAGTCACGTAGAATGGAAATAGTAAAATAATAAAAATGCAACATAATAAAATAATTCTCACGACGTTTCGGCCACAACGCAAGTAGCCGTCCTCAGGTGGAGAACAGGTCTGTCTAGGAGACAGAGTCTGAATGACAAGCCCCAGGCTTGGAGCGACTATTTAAGCTGCGTGACTTTACCGAAAGAACCAAGAAGATGAATTCCTGCAGTCACGAAAGCTTTAAATCGAAATCATTGTAATGGTTGACTCTTCTGAACCGGCTGATGCCGTGCTCGCGAGCAGCTGGCTCAAGGGGAAGGAAGTGGACAAGCAGGACACGGACGTGCACTACCACTCGCTCACGGGCGAGGGCAACTTCAACTGGCGCTTCATCTACCCCTTCGACTACCTGGTGGCTGAGGAGAAGATTGTCTTCTTCAAGAAGCAGTCCATCTTCGATTTGGATCCAACCGAGTTCAGGATGCCAGCGATCCTCAACATGCAAGTGTGGGACGCCAACCACTTCTCTGCCGATGATTTTCTTGGTGAGGTCCTGTTCATGTTTTTGTGTGTGACTGTGTGTACACGTGTGTACCCGTGTGTGTGTATGTGTGGGGAGTGGTAGCCTAGTGGTTAGTGCACTGCGCTACGAACTTGTCGACCCGAGTTCGATTCCCACTTACGACCAATAACAGTGGCGAATTTCTGAACTCGTCATTGGTCTGTCTGGGGTCGACTTGGTTTTAAAAATGAGTACTTGGTGAGGTGTGAAAAATATCAGCACTCAGAAGACGAAGGCAGCGAGGCGTGGTGTTGACCACCCACCCCCTCGTGTGCCATGCCGGCCTTCATAGGTGCTCGCTAACAGCACTTGCACCAACAGTCTGTTTAACGCTATATGGGGGGGGGGGGGGGTCTTTGTTGTGTGTATGTGTGGGCATATTGGTGCAGTGGCATTCTAGACAGTCAACACAACTCAAAGTATTATTTTCCATTTCCATTTTTTTGTGAGTATAAACATCATATTCCATCAATCAATGGGTGCTTCTCTATATGCATCAGTGGCGAAACCAAGGAAGAACAAGAGTAGTCCCTTGGTGTACGGCATACCAGTATATGGGATTTCGCTAAAATGTAACTCGTAATTAGGATACGAATTTCATCTACATTACGTTAAATTTGAAACTATGGAATTTAGAATCTGTAAAGTATAAATGATTTTGGAGGAAATTGAAAAATGCACGGTTTATCGTTGGTCCTGGCATAAATTTCAAACTGCTCCAGGTAGTTTGTGCGCAGTTTTCATACTGTACCAGTTTCGTAACTTATTTAGAGCATTACTACTAAATGTTTTCATGACATTATGGAATTTCACGTTAAATATTTGCTTAAAAAAGGTTTGCTGCATTCCTAAGTGTGATTTAATAACATCTTGGGGCGGATATGTTTTTTCTCCCTTAGTATCGCATCTCCAATTATATAATGGCAGTCAATGGAAAAATAGGGTTTATGGAATTTCGCTTCAGGGACAACTTTTCAGGAATATATTTGTTCCGTATATCGATGGATGCCTGTACATGACACGTTTTTATTATTATAATTATAACAAGCTTGACATTTTAGGACGACCCTTCTCCTGCAAAGTTGTTTATACATGCCCCTATGCATGTTCTTAGGTTTTTTCGGTAAAGTCACGTAGGTAAAAAATGTGAATTAATTTTAAAAAATCACGACGTTTTGGAGGCAACACAAGCCTCCGTCTTCAGGTGGAACCGTCGCAGCACGATAGCTAATTTTAAATATTTTACCTACGTGACTTTACCGAAAAAAACCTAAGAATATGGATCCTTTGCGGTCACGAAAGCTTCAAATCTAGAACCTATGCATGTTGTCCCCTGTCATACCCAGGTAAAATTGAGTTGGACCTCAACCGCTTCCCACGAGGAGCCAAGTCGTCCAAGCAGTGCTCGTTGAACATGCTCAAGATGGACGGCTCGGTGCCGATGGCCTCCATCTTCAAGCTCAAACGGATCAAGGGCTGGTGGCCCTTTGTCTCCACCGATGACAACAATGAACAGGAGCTCACGGTACGGCGCTCGTCTTCATGAATCTCCCAGAGAGAATGATCACGCATAAGCCACTGCTTCTTGCGTGCCGTGCCACGTCGTCATCTTACTTGCGCAGCAGCAGCACGTTGTCGTCCACTCATTGACATGCTAAGTTTCTCTGCCCCCTCCCTCTCTCCGTCCCCGCCCCCCTCTCTCTATATTTAAGGGACCGTCACAGAAACGACCTCTCTCTTTGTGCCGATATGTGTCCTCTCTCTGTGTGTCCTTGTGATGTCTGTCTGCTTGTATGTCTGTCTATAGTTTTCTAGTTAGATGTTTGTTGCTATTTCTTTTATGCCTGATGATGATTGCTTGTGTTGCAATCGAAACGTCGTAATATGCTATTATTTTAATTTATTATTTTATCTTTAGACGTGACTTAACCGAAAGAACCAAAGAATAATTCCTGCAGTCACGAAAGCTCCAAAATTAAGATTGAAGCCACTGCTGTTGTGTCCCTCGGTAAAACAATTGGAAATGTTTTGCCCTGGAAGGCTTCCATGAGTTTCAAGACTCTTTTTCAGGAGGATCCTGCTAAGTTTCGTCGCAGGGGTGAAATTTGCAATGTACATTTCGTACGGATATAATATGTGTAGCAACTACAAATCGATGTCTAAGCTGGAAATACCACAGTTGGCATTAGAGCACAATGAGTGAAGCGCTCTCATGCCCTCACAGAACGCTCACAGTTGACGTGACAGTGGAATACATCGTGAACTTATGTCCACCGCAAGAGTATGAATGGACGAGTGGCGACGTGCGAGAATATACATTGTATTTTTGCTTCTAGATTTGAAGCTTTCGTGACTGCAAGGATTCATACTCTTAGGTTTTTTCGGTAAAGTCACGTAGGTCAAAAATAAAATTCAAAGTTAATAAAAGTAATAATGGAAATAAAATAAAATAATAAATCACGACGTTTCGGAGGCAACACAAGTCTCCGTCATCAGGTGGGACCGTCACAGATAAAATCACTTGATGCAGTAATTTTAGCTGTGACGGTCCCACCTGATGACGGAGACTTGTGTTGCCTCCGAAACGTCGTGATTTATTATTTTATTTCCATTATTACTTTTATTAACTTTAAATTTTATTTTTTACCTACGTGACTTTACCGAAAAAACCTAAGAGTATGAATTTTTGCTCTTCTCACCGCCGCGACCCCTGCGTGCCCCCTCTGTGACCTCTGCGTGACCCCTGTGTCCATGCGTCCTGCAGGGGAAGGTGGAAGCCGAGCTGCATCTGCTGACGGCGGAGGAGGCGGAGAAGAACCCGGCAGGACTGGGCCGCAGCGAGCCCGACCCCCTCGAGAAACCCAAGTCTGTCTCTCCTACGTTCTGCTGCTTTCACTCCTAACAAACATTTACAGCACAATTCGCATTTCTTCCAGGACTTCTGACAAAAAAAATAAAACGAGATATCCTGTCCTCTGTCGTATTCAGACGTTAAAAATGCTTTGACCAGTGATACTTTGAATACACTTAGAATCTGTTAATTCAGCCGCAAGCCAAGAGCATACGGCAAGCAGACCCAAGACACACGGCATGGCAACACAGTGTCAGGACCAGCTGCATCTTGTAAATGACCATGGCTGCAAAGCTGGGCTTTGCATGAATGCTTTGCAGCAATGCCTTGCTGGCACTTTTGCTTGTTTGTATTAAAATTGTGTTTTCCTGTTCCAAAGTAGAGTTCTGATAATGGAAATGCAAAACGTGTTTTGGAATGAATTGCTGTATCTTGAAACAATTATACAAAATGTTAAAAGATCTACATCAAATGTGCTATTTTTGAACTAATGTGATTATTTTCTTTGTGTTTTGTTTCTCACAGTCGCCCGAAAACCTCTTTCTCATGGCTGACAAATCCATTCAAGTCCCTCTTCCTCGTCATCTGGAAGAACTACAAGTGGTACATCATCACCGCCCTCGTCCTGCTCATCTTCGCCCTCTTCATCGCCCTGCTTTTCTACACATTGCCAGGAGCCATCACAAGCAACCTCATCGGATAGGGAACCTCAGAGACAATGGCTGTGGGCAACTTCACGGTGACCAGAGTATACTAAGAGGATTGTAGCCAGAGCTCTTGAACTTTCTACAGGGTTACAAGAGCGCGAGATCACACCGCCTGTTTATAATTCATGGAGCACGGGTGCACACAACTCAAGGGATGTGTTGATGACGTTACATTGTAAACATGTCCCACATAATGGCAGCATCTCCCATGGATTTACACATGCACAACTGTTGGGAGGACATTCGAAATGACAAAAAAACAAGATCCTCTTGAGTTGTGTACCAACCATGGGAACGTCTTGGCTTCCTGCTAAGATATCAACAACAATAAATAGATGTGATGTATTAAATCAGGTATGTGTGCTTGTAGAGAATACACCACTGGGCAGGTTATCGTGATTGTCCTGTGTAGCCCAGCGATGTCCTTTCGGGTTGCAGTGCATTTTATTCAGCACAATGTCCGATGCATGTGCTGGGAGTTTCGGGAATTTCATTAAATTCTTGAAACAACTCTTGAGTTCCTCAAGAATATTCCCAGCATGTCAAGCGAAATGTTGGACCTCGTGGTGAACAACACACAGTACAACCCGAAACACATTGCAGTGTACAGAATATATCTAAACACAAAAGGATCTGTTACACTAAGTAAAATTCTTTCTTGGTTCGTAAGCTTGTGGTCCTTCGACTCAATGCCGGACCAAATTTTTTTTTACAGCAGCAAATGTTTAAGCTGGCAAACCATTAACCAATGTCATCTTTCTGAGTCTCATTAGCAGATGGTGGCATATTTTACACGCACGCTGTTGTTTTACTTCATGTTACGTACGAGATCCCATCCACTAACACCGGCAAAATATGCTTGAACAGGTTCAACTGATAATCGGAGTAAGAAGCGCAAAATAATTTTCAGGGGTTATCCTCTTAAACAAATGCTGCTGGAGAACTTTGGTGGTCCGGAATGCTTCTCGGATCATTGACCAACAATCGTATTTTGAGTGGTTAAACAGCACCATTGTCTACATTACATCAATACATAACATTTATATACTGTATGTGTACATATCGATCAGCAGCTGATTTAGGTTCACTTATTGTACATTTAGAATAAGGAGGTGGTGCATTAAATGTTACTTTTGTATGTGCTGTTGTGTAATTCATGTGCACTTTTTTTGCGTGCTGATGGACTAATGAGATGAACTTGTCGCTTAGGGAATATAGATCCTTCAGCTCGTGTAAATGCAACTTTGGAATTACGGTCTTTATTGTTTTGCCCAAGGTAGCAAGACTGAGATGCCCAAAGTTCATATCCAAAGAGGGCTTGCTTTACACATGTTGATCAATTGTTATTAACCCCTGATGAAAATGTGGATAGTATGAGCTTGAATACGGCATGTGGATGAACACGTATGAGAGCCACTATGTATTTTGTGTGGTCACAAATTACTGGACGATCGTTCACCAAAATGAGCTCTTAAATAATTTTTTACAGTCCCAACATTGCATAAACATATTTTTTTTTATTAAAGATTGCAAGTGAATAACTGCTTATGAAAACATAATGCACAGTAACGGATGAACAGTAATTGTGTTTATGAAGTGCCTAAATGCAGCCCACATCTCAAGGTACTATTAAAACAAAGAACAATAACAATATTCTTTGGTTCTTTCGGTAAAGTCACGTAGAATGGAAATAATAAAATAATAAAAATAAAACCTTAAATAATTCTCACGACGTTTCGGCCACAACGCAGGCAGCCGTCCTCAGGTGGAGAACAGGTCTGTCGAGAAGACAGAGTCTGAATGGACAGAGTCTGAATTTTATTATGTTTTATTTTTATTATTTTATTATTTCCATTCTACGTGACTTTACCGAAAGAACCAAGAAGATGAATCCCTGCAGTCACGAAAGCTTTAAATCGAAACAATAACAATATTCTTTGGTTCTTTCGGTAAAGTCACGTAGATAGAAAATTAATAGATCACGACGTTTCGATCGCAACACAAGCAACCGTCATCAGGCGAGTGTAGCAGCAGTTCTCCTGCTGTTTGTCTCACCTGATGAGGCTTGCTTGTGTTGCGATCGAAACGTCGTGATCTATTAATATTCTATCTACGTGACTTTACCGAAAGAGCCAAAGAGTATGGATTCCTGCAGTCGCGAAAGCTTCAAATCAACAACAACAATAACCAGGGACAAGATTCGGGAAATATAAAAGGCAAAACATTGTTTGTAGAAGACAAAGGAAGACAATAGAACTTCAACAAGCCAAGACCGCTAATGAGACACAGAGAAGAAGGCCTTTAGGAGTGCCGGAGTCACGGAGGCCCAGCACTGATGAGGGAACAACCAAAGGCCACAGGGTTGTACATTTTTACCACACACCAAATCCAAAGATAATTCTCAATCACTGTAGGTTTATCCAAACTATTCCGTATACTGTACTGTGATAATGTTGAACACAATGTCACTATCATACCTCGTCACAAATCAATGCCACCCGAACACATGCCAATTCCCTGGAATGACAACCCTATCCTACACCAGCCCTATCCGACGACACCCAATCCCAACACCAACCCGCATGAAACTCCAACCGGCCCAATCGCACCGTGAACCGCAACCGTTTAAACTGCACCGACCAATGCCATCTGCCCAAAAGCTACCAGAATAACTCCGATTGAACCTTGGACTAGTGCCGCCAGTGGGTCCCCGAAGAGACCAGCATGATCGGGAGCTCTGCCCCAGCAAGACCATCGGAGAACCCAAGTGGTACCACAACCACGTGCCGGCAAGCTCGAGGACAGCCACCATGGGACCCCTGGGGCCCGTGAGGCTCACGTGACCTCGAGCACCAGGAGGTCCCACGTCAGGCTTGACACCACCATAGCCCCCGCGAGACCTCCAGCACTGCCAGGGCCCAGCGCCAACGAGCCCGGGAGAGAAGCCGTGGTGCAGCCCCAAGCAGAGGAAAGCAGCAGCAACAGCAGCAACAAGTAAAGAGGCCAGAGGCATGAGGAAGGGCAAACGTTTCCCAGGAGGCATTATGGACAATTGGAACCACTTCAGAAGACCTATTGTTACTTTATTCAAATGCCTTGCTGTGGTATATGTTGCACACTCGAAATGAAGGACGTGGGCAGGTGCTCCAAATCGAGGGCAAGCACATTTATTTATTGTGGTTAATAGCAATCTTGTGAAGAACAGCACCGTCACTCTGTAAAATGCAACAGCACGTGTTACAACAGCATTTCTTCCGAGTCGTCATTAACCATCTGGCTGGTTTACACGTGCGGTTATTCATTCACAGTTTTCTCTTAAACCCAATTCTACTACTGCCAAACCATCTTTGTCTTTAACAATCACATTTGCACATCACTATTCGAATATTCCTTTAATCCTAATCTATACATCCACTTATATCAGGTATCTTACACCCATTATATGTACTGTATGTGTACAGTATATGTATTGTATATCACCATTGTACAGCTTACTACTTTACATGTGTTCTATTCTAAATAGCATTGCAAGTAGTCATACTTTTGGTACATGGGCATGGTTATAGACTAAACAGTATTAGGGTTAGAGAATTACAATGACAGTAGGTAATTACAGTGCGTCATCCCTTTACCATGCACTGTGCTAAAACCCCTTTAATTGCATATATCACAAACGAACAATTCAAAGCCAAGCTTAACGTCTAGAACAAGTCTATAAAAAGTCTAGAACATGTATATAACGATCAAAAACAACCTTTGGGTCCTTTACCTGTAAAATGCAACAGCACGTGTCACACACAGCAATTCTTTCGAGTCGCCATTAACCACGTGGCTGGTTTACACGTGCGGTTATTCATTAACCCTGCCAGCCACCTACCGGCCCAACTCAGTCATCACATGCTGCTGTACACACGTGCTGCTGTACACACGTGCATCGATGCACTGCACAGCACATCAGGACCTTCACAGAACCACACTTTACTCCCTTGCTGCACAAGGATATGATTAAAAGAGTGATCCATTCCTAATGTGCCACATATATGCATGATAGCCATGTTAAGTCTGCAGCAATTTGTAAAAGTATCGCCTTATTAGAGTGTATAAATGAAAGATTGTTATTAGTTCCTAACGCTTACGGTATTCTAGCCTGATGTGCAGATATTTTGTAAATTCAAGCCATAATGATCTTCATAGTGGGTTTTTTTATTTAAAAAATGTATGCAGAAAATCTCCATTGACACTGTAATTGCTTTTTTTAAATAGAATACTATAAACAAAATCGTCATAATATATGCAAAATAATGTTCAATATTGCAGCGTAAGTAAAATATAAAGGACACCTGTATATGTTAAAAGAGAGGCACAGTGGTTTAATGCAACTTGGCAGATATAAAATGTGTTGTATAATAGCCTCCTGTACATATGGACTGAAACTTATCTGCGATTATCAGGGTAGAGGGTGTCCCATGGAGGAAAATCAAATACTTTATCATTTGTCGTCAAAAATGTATGAATGACAGTAGTTTGAGGAATGGCCTCGTATCGCAGAGGTTCGAGCACTGAGCTGGTACCGCTGAAATCCGCGGTGGCGAGTTTTCTCCCTTGCCTCATACGCAGGAGGTCGTGGGTTCGATTCCGACCCTGACGACTGCATATGTGGAGTTTGCATGTTCTCCCCGTGGTCGCGGGCATTTTTCTCCGGTTCCTCCGGATTTTTCCTACATATTTAGGAACATGCATTGAGAGTAATTGGCTGCTATAAATGTCCACGCTATAACCCACTCCATTGATATATATATCATTTGTGGCCAGGTCGCTTCTGAAAAATAGCTTTATCGCTCAGTGGGCCTCATCTGGTAGAATAAAAAAAAATGTGAATAATTTGATGGCCTTCTGGTGAGTTCCACCAGAATGGGTCATGTTGCTGAATGGATTGGCCACCATTGCAATAGACAGCAACCAGCGGGGCCACTCGCTCATCGTCGTAGATTATCATCACAAAGGCCGCCTTGTACGCGTCTTGTCCCCAAAATGAGAACACGCAAATAAATAAAACTACGCAAACACGTGAAGTGGCTCGCTTAAGTATGCGTCGCACACACACACGCAGGTGCGAATTTTTTTTTTTTTGGACAAAGCCATATGATCCCTTCCAGACAAATTACAATGACAGCCGCAAACACGTGCCCTCAACTTCCAGCAAATGCCTGTCGCACACCTTGGCCTCACGAAGAAAATGATCCCGACGTCGGCCCGCTATTACGCAGCATGCCCCTGACACCCTGCCCCTTGCGTCTTACGGTACGCGCTGCTGGCTTGAGTGCACGGGGCTCAGCCTCAAGTGGCAGGGCAGTTTGTTTGTGTAATGTTGCTCATTTTCAAAGCTTGGGCAGCACTCCGTGGAGGTTGCTTTCTTACGCAATGAAAGCGAAAGAGAAGCGGCCTGATGAGGTGTCTTAACAAAACACACGCTGCTATATAACGGCATCGACAACGGCCGATCGCTTTATAACCCTTTCAATCTCCGTGTGCAAGCTGTTTCGGATGAAAATCGGAATACATTTTCTGGGCATCCTTTCCGACATCATCACCACGTGAGTCCTGCTGACTGACAGCACCACCTTGCATTGTGGTGTTCATCCCATGGAAGTCTTGGTTTACCTCTATGGGACACCCTCTGCCTTGTTGTATTAATAACGTCTTAGATAATGAATAACGTGTTACAGAATGAATAACGTCGTACATAATTAAAAACGGCTATGGTTGTAACCTGGGAGTTTTTCTGCAAAGTGAAAGATTTTGGTAATTTAATGGATACACGTTAATGTTATATCATGCAATTAAACGTAAACCTCACTTTATATTCTTAATATTTTTCATTTATATAACTTACATTCAGCACACATTTTTACGATTATTATTTTTACATTTAACTTTTATAACTAGTAATATTTAGATTTTACGTTTAAAAATGTACGATTGAATACAAATTACTACCTGTAATACATTATTTTAAAGTAATATTGGTAGATATATTTACTTATGTATAATTTCGGTACGTTTTTACAAACCTTGTAAGAAAAAACGAATACATGTCCCAATTGACAAATTTTTTTTTATATTAATACTATCCTATGTTAAAATATAAATACAAAATATTATTTGATTGTGTTCCAGATTGTTGATTTGTATAACATTTAATAAACGATATCATAGTTTAATGGCATAAGTTTCAAATGTTATGTGAACGCATGTATACATTGGCAGCGCTATATTAATGTAAATGACGTTGTTCTTGGCTGTAAATATCTGAAAAGTATAAACTCAAGTCCCTGCCTTTGTGAGTGGGCCAAACTATCCCATTGTAAGTGTCAGACATTGCCCGTAAATGTGCACACCATAGCGCGCATCACGGAAAGAGTAAACACTGAGACGTCTGTTTATATTGATGGGGGGGGGGGGGGCGCTAGGGCAGAGCCGTGTTTCTCAACGTTATTCACTCCACGGCACACACTCGACACTGATGAATGTTCGTGGCACACCGAACAAAAAATCCTGGATTTTCTGGCCATTGTCCGTACGAGGGCGCTGCTGCTGTTTATGTCGCGGTGGAATGGTTTAGCACGCAGGACCTGCACTCGATTGGTCGATGGTTCAAGTCAATTTCCCACCCCAACAGTTGAAATGATGAGAGCATTTTTTATTTATTTAAACTACCCTCTGTCCAGCGAGCAGTATGCATGGGTATATCACAGTTAGCGGATCAGCGTGTAACGTGTGGCTGGTTAAAATCCGAGTACTCCCACCAAATACCCTCCGCTAGTGGAGGCCCTTCCGACAACAGCGGCGTGAACAAAAACTTGCAGGGCAGCGCCTCTTTTGCCCAACTGCACATGGACGATTTGAGAGCGCCGTGGTGAGGTGGGTGCTGACAGCCGTCTGCCGGACTGCACCGCGAGCAATGGAAAGGAGAGGGTGGGGGGGGGGCTGGATCGGCCACTGAACAGCACTGAGAAACGTTTGTCGGTCCCAGCCTTTGAACAGTGAGCTTCTTTCCTAGAAATCCCGAAAATCCAGCGGCGCACCTGGTAACTTGCTGCGGCACACACCGGTTGTAAAGCAGTGGCGTGGTGGTTAGCGCAGCGGCGCCCTATGGAGCTCTTTTTCTCACTCGAGGCCAATAACAGTGGCTAATACTTACACCGGTCCTGTACCTCCTCTAGATGGACTCAGCCTTGAATGTATAGCTCGTGCCGTGTGCATAATTCGGCACAGGTGATCCAGGCGTGTTGTTGGCCACCCACCCCTTCGTGTGCCATTCTGGCTGTCATGGGTGCGCGACAAAATGCCCCAAGTCTTCTTGGTTCTTTCGGTAAAGTCACTTAGAAGGGATATAATAAAATAATAAAAATAAAACATAATAACATTATTCTCACGACGTTTCGGCCACAACGCAAATAGCCGTCCTCAGGTGAAGAACAGGTCTGTCAGAAAGATAGTGTCTGAATGAACACCACCAGTATGTTAATGGCCATTAAACCGCAATTTCCAATCATACTTGAATGGTATCCTTCAATTAACCAGGGGATTAAATATATGCAATTTTAGGCACATTAAACATTGCTTATTTAGCAAGAGCAGATGACAAACATTGATATAACCGTAATATATAACATTCAATGCTAACCATAATTCGATGAAAATATACGTCTCAAACCGTAGACATACAAGCTGTAATTAACCATAGACACATACAGACGGTACATGTAACAAACATACATACAGCCAATAAACATACGTAAGAAATCACCAAACAACACGGGGAGGCTCGGGAAGATGGAACTGAGGCGTGACACTCTGTTGAGATCTGTAACTCCCCCAATGATTAAGGCAACATCTTCTCAAATTCTTGCAAGCAGGGGAAGCACCAAAGAAGTGGTCGTTGAGGGTTCGAGGTAGCACGGCTAAGAAAAAAATTGTATTGTAGTCGGTGGCAGCGGAGGTGAGTACGATTTTAGGTTCGTGCACATTTGCAGTACGTGGACACACGCGAGAGACACATTGTTGGCCGGGTGGCACTGTTCAGAGTGAGAGAATTTGCAATAATTTAGGCTGTCAGCGTTCCATACTTATGGAGTCAATAAATGCCATTGTGTGTCTCAAAAGTGACTCTCCTATTATATGGGATAACATAATCCTGTCATAGAATTGTATAACACGTAGGCTTTCGCGACCAGCATCTTCGGGCAATTCTGATGATGCTGAATGTAATTACCAGCGAAACGTCGTGCTCAAAAATTGTAAATGTTGTGGATTCACTCTTCAACACACCGGTGGGCTAAAGTAGTGAACTATTTGTCTTTTGTCAACGTGACACTTTTTTACTGATTGGCCGTGTCGGGTGGTGGAGGGTTACGACACATTTATAAACAACGCGATCTAACCCAAAAACGTGTATTATGCGTAGAATTGTAGACATTCCATTGCCGGCTCAGGGCCATATAATTCAATGAACAGACATCCCACACTGTTGCACATTGGGTGAACGCTTTGGGTTTTTTTGTCTCTTCCCGTACGTTGACAGAAATCGTGGCGATGAAGAAGGCACTGGTGACCGCCGCCTTCCTGGGCCTCGTCTCCCTGCTCGTGATTTCTGTTGAGAAAGGAGCGGAGAGCTCCCTGACAGGTGATCGCAGAACGGCCGCTCGTCATCCGCAAACGCGCTCCGCTGGCGCGCGGTCTGTCACTCGCGTTCATTCGCTCGCTCGCTCGCTCCGCGCACAGAGATGTTGTTTTTTTGTTTGTTGCGGTTGCACCCGATTCAAGAGCCGAATGGCTCACAGGGCTGTACCTAATAAATTAACTTTGAACTTTGAACGAGCAGTTCGGTTCAAGCCGACCGACGTACCCCTGTGGCTCTGAACCTTGCGGAAAGTCAGCCACTGTTGTATGCAACCCGTTTTCGCCGGGCTGTGTTGATAGTAAAGTGGCTTTTACAATGGAGCAAAACATCGAATGCTGCCACGTATTGGCACCGTGTATCCTCTCCCTCCCCACTCCCATCACACGTGCGTGCATGTGACTTCTCATAGTATGTAAATTTCACACGTTAACACGTCCAATGTGGCATTTTCTAACCATTTCCTAATCGTTTGGTTTGGATCTACTACCGTACCATTCTTTATCTCCTGCAAGATCTCGTATGTTATCCGAAGATCTCCGGCCCTCTTCTACTGTGAGTTCTATCTTCATCTTAGTTCTCAGCCACAATTCATTCTACTGCTCCTCTTCAAGCACCCGTCCACTACAGCTAAAAGGATCATGCTCCATGACACGATGACGAGATTAGACTTTAGAAGACTCTCAACAGACGACACAACTAGGGGCTCTTATTGTTAAACTAAAAACTATTAAACTATTTTTGATTTGACCAGGTAAGGCCCATTGAGATATAGAGCTCTTTTTCAAAGCGACCTGGTCACGAATGATAGCTCAGGAAGTGGCTTATCGTGTGGAAATGTATAGCTGCCAAATACTCTAAACGTATAGTCTTTGGTTCTTTCGGTAAAGTCACGTAGGTAGAAAAATAATAGCAATAGCAAAAAAAAACTGCTGAAGTACACTTACTTCACCAGTTTTTTCTGTGGTTGTCCCACCTGATGACGATTGCTTGTGTTGCAATCGAAACGTCGTGATATATTTTCTACATACGTGACTTACCGAAATAACCAAATAGTATGGATTCCTTCAGTCACGAAGGCTCCAAATCAGTCTAAACGCATGTTTCTAAATGTGGAAGGAAAAACCGGATGACCCGGAGAAAAATCCTACGCAACCACAGGGAGAGCACGCAAACTCCACATATACAGCAGTACGCGTCAGGGTGGGAATCGAACCCGCAGACCTCCTGTATACCAGACAAGGTAGTTAACATCTCGCCACCGTGGCGCCCACTGGCTTGCCTTCTTCTGCTGGTCGTTTGGACACCACGTGCCCTGCCCCAGTATTCTTCTACCAACTGTATCTGATGCTGCTGCTGCTGCTGAAAATATAACCTAGTAGCCGTGATGACTTACGACGACGCTTTGCACACAGGCTACCTGGGAAAGCTGGGAGACCCTTTTGTGAACACCGCCGTGCAAGAGGCTCTGCACATGGTCGACAGCGCAATTTTCAACACGGTGAAGAGGTACCGCTCGCCTCCAGTACATTCCGCTGACGCGTTCAAGCGCCGCCGCTCGTCTATGAATGACCAAACCAACGTGCTTCAAAAAGCAACACGCATTCGTGGCCCACGACAGTACTGGCATGAAATATTTTCGCTCTGGCAGATAATCTCAACAAGCGGTGTTTTCGCGCGCCACGTGTGAAGCGTGCGTGTTTACCGATACATCATTGCCGTCGTGTGATGAGTGTTTGGCGTGGTGGTTTGCGTATTGCGCTACGAACCCGTAAAGTTGAGTTGCGCTCTACACCGGCCTTAAGAGGAACACGCTAACAGCACTTTCCTGGCAGGCTAAAAGGTTCAATGAGGAAATCGCCTCGTTGATGTTTTCATATATATATATGCACACTTGTCATGAACATTCACCTTACTGAGCCTATAGGGTATTTATATTTCGATTTAATGCTTTCGTGACTGCAGGGATTCATCTTCTTGGTTCTTTCGGTAAAGTCACGTAGAAGGTAAATAATACAATAATAAAAATAAAACATAATTACGAATTGTATTTTATTATGTTTTATTTTATTATTGTATTATTTCCCTTCTACGTGACTTTACCGAAAGAACCAAGAAGAGGGTATTTATAATTAACGCATAATTATGGATACGCATTTCTACTTTGCGACTGGTAAAGCCATAATTCATTGTCCTGGGTGTAAAAGTTGAAATTATGTAAATTTGGTGCTGTTTGGGTCGCCAACCTTCATGACATAGATGACATCAACTGTGTGGATAGATTGTTTTGCTTGATATTTGTTGTTGTTTTGTTTTCTTACAGGAGCTCCAGCATTAAGAAGAGTCTGACCCCCGTAGAGCTCTTGGCTTTCTTTAAAAGGCCTGAGCGCGAGAGTCAGCAGATCAACCGAGCGGCCGAAGTTATGGAAACAACACTGCACCTCATCAAACACAAGGTTCACCAGCGGCACAAGCGCTCCATCAATGCCACAGGTGCATTACTCTATCAACGGCCCTGCATTCCTCCACTGCTATCTCTCTCTTTCTCTCTATGCGTGCGTCCCATTGATCGGATGTGGCTGTTACAGAATTGTGGCGAAAGGAAATTGACTCACATTTGGAAGGTTGTGAGGTCAAATTCTGGTGATGGGGATCAAGTCAATTCTTTCATCCTTCCAGAGTCAATGCAATTGTTTTAAGAAGCCGGAGCTGTGGTTATCGTAGAGACTTGGCCCGACCGTGAGAATGGGAACTTTCCGAATGGGTGGTCAGAGATGCCAGCGGAGATAAGAGCTGCCCCCCATTGCCTCTTTAAGCAGGGAGACATTCTAATACATAATACTGTAGAGGTTTTTTGGGTTAGTTCGCGTAAATATATAAATGTGTCGTTAAACCCTCCACCACCCGACATAGACAACTAATAAGGGTTGTCACATAACCAGAACGTGCCAATTCGTCACTAGTACAGCACAAATCTGACTGTCGCCTGATGAAGCTGGTTGTAATCATTGGCGAAACGTCGTACTCCGATTGCAAATGTTGTGGTTTGGCTCTCCAACACACCGGTTAGTGCTGTACTAGTGACGAATTGGCACGTTCTGGCTACGTGACAACCCTTACTAGTTGGCTGTGTCGGGTGATGATGGGTTTTAACGACACATTTATATATTTACACGATCTAACCCAATAACCTCTATTATAGATGATATTAACCGCGAAAGCCTACGTGTTAAACAGACATTTTAATGTTACACACTATTGGGCAAAATATTTTAGTCAGTACACTTTGACACATTTGTAATAACTTCTTAATGATAAAATAATATATCAATACAGGTTGGTATTCACTGCCTTTTTGAAATTCATCGTCGCCAGGAGCCATGGTCAATCCACTGCTGGATGAAGGCCTCCCCAAGTCACCGCCACTTCTCCCGATCCTTCGATGCAACACTCAACATGCACCTGCACACAAAGCTGATTTCATCACTCCATCTCGTCGGTTGACGTCCTGGAAGATGATTTCTGTTCTTTGGCTGCCGCTCTGTTATTTATGCTTGACCATGAAGCCTTCTGGCCACGTGTCTTGCTCAAGACGACTCACTTTTGATCTTTGTAAAAAATTAACGCTGCATTGAAAATGTGTATTGTAGTCTAGTGCTTCGCAGAGCTTCGATACTTAAAACTCCCTGCCCTTCCCCCTATCCCTGAGTCACTAACACCCACGCAGTACAAGTTTGTTTTGACTCTGCCACAGCAAATGATGATTCCGTGTTTGCTTGAGAATGACTAATGCAGTGTTATCCTCCAGTAGATGTAAATGATTTCCATATCATATCAAACGTTTGCGATTACCTCCACTGCTGGAGATGACACACACACACAGATGCTAAGCCATCATTCTCAAGGCAGTAAGGATTGTCTTCACGAGACAATGCTCACTTCTCACTCTGTAGTGCTCTTTTTACCAGCCCTAAATCAATGATGATGATAAAGGTGGTGGAATGATCCCCCCGCCTTAGAATTTATCCCGTCTACTGTATTAAATAAGCCTGCAAGCCTCCTACCATCATGAAAATAACTATTTCAATATTCTCTACAATGTAGGAATGGGGAGGTGTGTGTGTGTGTGTTAGATATGGGGAGTAGAGGGTGACGTCACTTATAACAACAATGGCACGAACAACACTCACGTGTTTGTTGTTCGCGTCTCCCCAAATCTCAGGGTCTAAGGCAGGTAGGTAGGGAGGGAGGGGGGGGAATTGTTCTAATGTCAACGTGGGGGTCTGTGCTAACACCGCCGCAGACCTGCTGTCAATGGACGTGCTGCGGACAGTCGCCAGCCTCTCGGGCTGCCGGCCGCACCTGCAGACCCCCGCCTGCCCCAACACGTGCCTCGCCAGCAAATACCGCAGCGTCACGGGCGCGTGCAACAACAGGTGCCGCAACCACGCACGCACGCGCGCGCGCACAATGACCCCCCCCACTAACCACTCTACTAACCTCCCCCCTAAACCCACCCACTAACCCCCCCACTAACGACCCTACTAGCCCCCCCACTAACCCCCCCCACTAACTCCACCCCGCTAACCCCCCAGCTAACCCCCACTAACCCCCCCACTGACCCCCCACTAACCCCCCAGCTAACCCCCCCCACTACCCCCCCACTTACCCCCCCACTAACCACCCCACTACCCCCCACCACTAACCCCCCCCCCCCCCACTAACCCCCTCCCCCCCCCACTAACCCCCCATCGTAGCCTTGCATTGCCTTGGCGGGGGGCAAAGTGGTGCTGTGCGGGCCGTGACTGCGCACGGGGTGGTGATGGATGGGACCCTCGCCCCGGTGCTGATGTGTTTATGGTTTAACACGCTGAACCAGGCACTCGTTTAAGGCCGAGGCAACCTAGTGGAGGCTCGGTGGGTGCTGTAGACGTCACTCGCCATTGATGTGAGCCACGGCCGAGTTATGAATTTGGATCACAGGGGGTTGCAGCCCACTGCTGCCCCCCACGAGCACCCACACAAGGCAAAGATCCCCCGTATAGCCCTTGAACAGACTGTCGGGGCAAGTGCTGTTCGCGAACGCCGATGGAGGCCGTGACGGCACACGAAGGGGGCGGGTGGCCAGCACCACGCCCGACAGCCTTTGTCTCCCCAGTGGCGATGTTTTCTACACAGCACACCGCACCGGGTACTCATTTGAGGCGGAGTCGACCTAGGGGAAGGCGCAGGGACCGGCTCAGATCGTCGTCACTGGCGTTGACCATCAGCGGGAATCGAACTTATAGCGCAGTAATTTATTAGCGCTGCACTACCGCTCATAATGCACACAACGCTCCACACACGCGCACTTCAGGGGTCACCAAGCTACTTCTCCTCCATCTCCTCCTCCTCCTCTTCACACCCACTGAGGGCTCCTCCACTCCTCTCTCTCTCTGGATCCTTGCACCAGCCTTCATCTCAGGCCACCCAGAATCTACCAGGCTCGGCTCTCTTGCTCAGAAAACCACTACCGTCCATTGGTCGTGAAAAGAGAGTGCTTAACATCTCAATTCAAACGTCCACTCCCCACTTCACGTAGCTCTCGCTCGCTCTCTCTGCCCACTCAGTAGCGCGCATTAGGATTGTTATCGTTGCAATGCGCCTGTTAAAGGTCCTGGGGGGATATCCTGGCGGCAGTCAAGCTTGCCATTGAGACAGCAGGTTACAAGTGTCTCGTGGCATGAATGTCGCCACGTGTGCCCGATATCAAAGCGTGCCCGCTTCCTGTTTGAAACAAATGCGTTAGCCACACTGCAAATACAATTGCCGTCGAGCTTGCCATTGAGACAGCAGGTTACAAGTGTATCGTGGCATGAATGTCGCCACGTGTGCCCGATATCAAAGCGTGCCCGCTTCCTGTTTGAAACAAATACGTTAGCCACACTGCAAATACAATTGCCGTCGAGCTTGCCATTGAGACAGCAGGTTACAAGTGTATCGTGGCATGAATGTCGCCACGTGTGCCCGATATCAAAGCGTGCCCGCTTCCTGTTTGAAACAAATACGTTAGTCGCACTGCAAATACAATTGCCGTTTACCTTGTGGTGTATCAACCTAGGTTCAATGTCCCGGGCTGTCAAATACAATTTGAAAAATAAGAATAGGCTTTACCCTACCTTGATCTGAAGCTTTCGTGACTGCAGGAATCCATTCTCTTTGGTTCTTTCGGTGAAGTCACGTAAGTAGAAAATAAAATAGATCACGACGTTTCGATCGCAACACAAGCAATCGTCATCAGGTGGGATAACCACTTCAGCAGTTTTTTCTTGCTGTGGTTGTCCCACCTGATGACGATTGCTTGTGTTGCGATCGAAACGTCGTGATCTATTGTTTTTCTAGCTACGTGACTTTACCGAAAGAACCAAAGAGTATTTACCCTACCTGGCAATAAAACCGGTGTTAAGATGTTCACACACCAAATAGACACACACCTATTGCAGGGAATCAAGTTGACACGTTGACCACAAGTGCGTGTGGTTTATGAAATTCACGTTATGGTCAGTCGCGCTCTCGTGGTGGCATCTCTGCAGTGTCGCTGTATGCGTTATGATCGATTAAATCGAATTTTTATCGTGGTGACATCAATAGACGCAGCTGATCGTACGCTGACATGATTTTATTCACATCAACAATATCTGAAATAATTTCAGACAACCTGGGACATTCAAACCTTGATGCGTATAGAGCAGTGGTGCTTAACCTTTACTGCAGTCTCAATCGTAAAACAAGATATCATGTTAATACATTTATAGGTTTAATGAAACAAAGTATTTGTACGTGCCCGTGCTTAATTTGTGTTTCGATGATTTACCTTCTAAAACAATCTCACACTGGACTATCTAATTGATTTGAAGGCCAATGTAGACAAATCATTATCGAGGCTTCACACCGCCCCCCCCACCCCCGTTTCCGATGCGTACATTGTCAGTAGACCCCCCCAAACGCAAGCGAACGCATTTGAGTTAACCACCCCCCCTCCTCCCCCCTCCATGGCGTACGCACTAAACGGATGGCCACGTAGCGGCCCTCTTGACGTCACTCCCGACGGGGCGACCCTCTTTCAGGTTCAACCCGCGCTGGGGCTCGACGAACGTGGCGCTGGCTCGCTGGCTCCCCGCGGAGTACGAAGACGGCTTCAGCGAGCCCAAGGGCTGGAACCCCGACCGCGCCTACAACGGCTTTCCTCTGCCCATGGTCAGTGAGCCTTGAATCCGTGCGAGGTGCCCTTTTTTAAATCCTTTATATTAAGTTCACTTGCTTGCTTGCTTGCGCGCTTACAACCGTGCAAATCTTTCGGTCGTTTTTTAACCCACTTCCCGTGATCCAATCGAGCTGACATTTTGCACACAGAGTCGTTGTGCGAGACAATTTATTTTCGTGAAAATTTGTTTTCAAAAATTTTACACTTTTTAGGAAAAAAAACATTTTCAAATTTAATTTAAAATACCAATGTGATAAAAATGAAACTCTTACTCAAGAAAAACAGAAATGAATAATAAAATAAAACCGATGCCACGCATATACAGGATTTATAGTGAAAAACTTTGTTTTTACGGGTTAATTTTTTGTTTCTCTTGTTTTGCTTGGTCGAGTAGCGGAGTTATTTCCATCACGGATTGGGGTTTGAACTCTAAGTTTTGCCCGTCTGCCTCGGGGGGCAATGATCAATAGGAATTTGCATGACTGCACGTGCGCGCTTGTTTCCCTAACTGCGCGTACGGCCAAGGGGGGAAAGCTTCATCCTGGATTGTACGAGAAAAATAAGCACCTTCGTCAAGTAAGGTTTAGTTATAATCTTGATTTTAAGCTTTCGTGACTGCAGGAATCCATACTCTTTGGTACTTTTGGTAAAGTCACGTAGGTAGAAAAAATAATAGATCACGACGTTTCGATCGCAACACAAGCAATCATCATCAGGTGAGACAACCACAGCAAGGAAACTGCTGAAGGAGGCCAGTAAGGTTCAGTTTTGCAGCATTGTTAAAAAAAACATGCACAGGCTAAAGACGTAATTCAAATGGTAAGAACAGTAAGTGGGCTTGGGCAATACACGTCACTTGAAGGAATTACGGCCGAAAGGTCAAGAAGAGCGATGGAGTGGCAGTCAAATAATGGAAAGCGTCCGAGAGAATGTCCATCTAGGAGATGGAGCGATGGAATAATTTGGTATCTGGGTCGGTGGTCTGCATTGCCAGGCCCGCGGGCTACTGACGATCCCTGTTGGCCTTTAGTGCGGACCCTGGCAATACACAACGAGTGAAAACACCCTCCCATCATCGCCAGCGTGCTGCTGTCAAACCCCCAATGGTTCCAAATGTGTGACTACCCTCACACCGATGAAGCCTTATCGGCGAAAGTGCCCTCCGACTCCCCCCCCCCCCCCCCCCCTGAAAATTAATAAAAAATGTTGCTCGAGGTACTGGCTGGATTACTGCATTGCAATACCATGAGAGATGGTGAAACATTGGAGAGGACTTCATCCAGCAGTGGATTGATCACTGCTGATGATGATGATGCAACAATTATATCGGCATAGAACATGTGTTACACCGAGTAATCGGACAGCCTAATAATGATAATACTTCAATTTATAGAGCGCTTTTCATCAAGGATCTCAAATCGCTGTACAGGGCACAGCAGCAGCAGACACTCAGCGTGAAAAAACAATTGTTTTATAAATGCATTTTAAGAATCCATTCACTAAATGAACTAAAAGTTTAGTAATCTGAAGCGTATAAATAGGTTTTAAGACGATTTTTTTATGTCCACAGACTCAGAAATCCCTGATATCTCTTGAAAGAGCGTTCCATAACCTGGGGGCTACACGGGAAAAAGCTCAGATCACCCATCGACAGAAGCCTCTACCTGCCAATGCTTAACTATCTTCTTGGTTCTTTCGGTAAAGTCACGTAGAATGGAAATAGTAAAATAATAAAAATAAAACATCTTTTATTATATTTTATTTTTATTATTTTATTATTTCCAATCTACGTGACTTTACCGAAAGAACCAAGAAGATGAATCCCTGCAGTCACGAAAGCTTTAAATCTAAATTTAATGCTTAACTAGTCAATAAAAAGCAGTAGAAGGGAATAACATTAAACAAATTAAGGCTTCTTCGCTATTCTATGAAACCTGACCCAGAATCCATACTCTTTTCTTCTTTCGGTAAAGTCACGTAGGTATAAAATGAAATAAATCACGACGTTTCGGGCGCATCACCTGATGATGGACGAATTATTTATATATATTTTTTTACCTACGTGACTTTACCGAAAAAACCTAAGAGTATGATGATGGACGCTTGTGTTGCGCCCGAAACGTCGTGATTTATTTTATTTTGCCACCCACGTGACTTTACCGAAAGAACCAAAGAGTATGGATTCCTGCAGCCACGAAAGCTTCAAATCAAAATCTAACCCAGAATGTTGATTCGCACTGCTCAAAGCGGCCCATGCAGAGGAACGGTCGCCCAGATGTCCCCAAAAGGCAATCACCGAAGGCGGTCGAGTGAGGGCATTAAAGGGGTTCTGCTAATAAGTAGAACCAGTAAAAACAAAGTTTTTCACTATAAATCCTTTATATGCGTGGCGGCTACCTATGGGTCAGATGATTGCATTGCACCATTAAGCAATTGGTAATTAAATATAATATTTTTGTCCTAAAAAGTGTACAATTTTGGAAAAAAATTTCACGAACATTAATTGTCACGCACAACGAGTCTGTGTGGAAAATGTCAGCTCGATTGGATCACGGGAAGTGGGTTAAAAAACGACCGAAAGATTTGCACGGTCCTAAGCAAGCAAGCGAACTTAATATAAAGGATTTAAAAATCAGCTGCAAAGCGGCTCGCAAATCGGAAGCTTTCGAGTTCAAATCCTGCTCGGCGGGGTGACTCAGCCCATCACCCCTCCGCAGTTGATGAAACAGGAGCAATTTTGCCGGGGGAAAACAAAACAATGGCTGCCGTGTGGAAAGACTCAGCTCCCGTCATAGGAATGGGGAATTTTCACCGCTGGCTCCGGGCTGAGCACCGCATTATTGCTCACGCGGGCAGTAAATCACTTTAGCGGGCAGGCCGTCGTGTACTGGCATCACTGCCCAACAAATCTCGACAGTGAAAGCCAAACCGCAACTAAACTGTGGATAAATAACAATGCCCAGAATAACCATTGTTACGTACTGCGCTGTGTATATGCTTCGACCGGTATTCTTGACAAAGGTGAAGATACTCTTAGGTTTTTTTCGGTAGAATCACGCAGGTACAAATAAATTATAAAAATAAATTATAAAATGATAGAAATAATAATAGACGTTTCGGGCGCAACACAAGCGTCCGTCATCAGGTGGGACAACCGCAGCAAGAAACAAATGCTGAAGTGGGCAAAAGAGCTGCTGTAACAAGGGGGGTATATAGGTAAGAGGACGGGGGAGGAGCCAGGGAGGAAATATAGAGGAGGGGGGGAGTGGGCGGGGCTGGGAGTGGGAGGAGGAAGACACTGGAGATCAAGTTCATTTCAAGTTCATTTATTAGGTAGAGCCCTGTGAGCCATTCGGCTCTTGAATCGGGTGCAACCGCAACAAACAAAAACATGAACAGAAAACATCTTAAAGTGAATATGTGACTAAGTGCAAACAGAAAATCCAAGAAAAGACAGCAAAATATTGCAGAAAAAAATCACCGTACACCAACGCTGTGTGCACAAATCCCAGTGAGATGCGGATATGAAGGGGGCTTTTGGCTGAGTTTATGGGGGATTTGGCTGGAGATGCCAGCAGCCTCTCTGCTGGGTGTCAAACCAACCGTGGTAGCGTACGGATTCACAACCCCACGGGGCCTTGCGCCCAGCCCGTGACCGCTGCCCGCGCAAGCCCCCCGTGACACGACGTGAACGATGCTGCCCGCCCATCTTCCATCAGGTGCGCACGGTCTCCAACGAGGTGATGAGCACCCGCAGCGGGCAGCTCACGGACGACGATGTCTTCTCGCACATCATCGTCGAGTGGGGGCAGTACGTCGACCACGACTTCGCGCTGACGCCCCAGAGCCTCAGCCAGACGGCGTTCATGAGCGGCCTCAACTGCAAGGAAACGTGCGACAACCGCAACCCCTGCTTCCCCATGAAGGTGACCCCCCCCCGCCCCCCCTCGCCCCCCTGCCCCCCCACAAAAAGACTGGGCAGCCGGTTCCAGCCGTGTAGCTCCCGAAGGTGCGGAACGAAACGTCGGACATCATCCCGAACGACACGCGATATAACCCGAAAGAACACGAAAGACAACCCCTGACCTCTATAATTTTTAACTGTTACAGCCTCGAATTACTTGGAATCTTCCTGCCTTTCATATTCGGATGGTTATTCCCGACACCTGTGATTTGCTTTCCATGCAAGCTGGCCGATTATTAATTTGCCCTTCAAGTTCAACCAAAGCCCCTTCGTCCGACTCACTGTCAGCCATGTGTTTGAATTAAGACAAAGATCCCCTGCATAGCCTTAACAGACTTTTGCTGTTAGCGAGCACCTATGAAGGCCAGCATGGCACACGAGGGGGTGGGTGGCCAGCACCACACCCGACCACCTTTGACTCCCCAGGGCTCATTTAAGGTTAAGTCGACCTAGGGAAGACCCAGGACCGGTTCAGATAATCGTCACCGGTGTTGTCCGTGAGCAGGGAATCGAACTCGGGTCGCCGGGTCCGTAGCGCAGCTGCACTCCACGCACACGGGCCTTGTTACAACACGTGCACAATCCACCAATAGGCGCCCACTCACAAGCCCGCCCGCCCGCCCGCCCCCCTCGCGCGCGTCACACAGGTGCCGGCGAACGACCCCCGCGTGACGGACCGCGCCTGCCTGCCGTTCTTCCGCTCGTCGCCCGTGTGCGGCACGGGCGAGCAGAGCGCGTGGTTCGGCGCCGTGGGACCCCTGGCGCCGCGGCAGCAGATCAACGCGCTCACCTCGTTCATCGACGCCTCCACCGTGTACGGCAGCACGCCAGCGGCGGCGCGAGCCCTCCGCAACCTCGACGGCGACGAGGGCCTCATGAAGACGAACGCGCGCTTCGACGACGGCGGCCGCGAGCTGCTGCCCTTCCAGACCATGGGGCTGCCGACAGCGTGCGCGCAGGATCCCGACGACCCGTTCGGCGAGCGCATCGAGTGCTTCGCGGCAGGCGACAACCGCGCGAGCGAGGTGCTCACCCTCGCCTCCGTGCACACGCTGTGGGTGCGCGAGCACAACCGCCTGGCGCGGGCGCTGCGGCAGATGAACCCGCACTGGAGCGGGGAGACGACTTACCAGGAGGCGCGCAAGATCGTGGGCGCCCTGCACCAGGTAACGATTAGGCCGCTGTAAGTGCGCACGCGACGATGAGCTGCTTCGTTGAGCTGCCACATGTGGCCCAGGTTGCTTCCAGAAAAAAAGAGCTCTGTTGCTCAGTGGGGTTCTTACCTCTGGAAAATGCAAATTGAAAAACAGTTTCTAGATTTCTATAGGGTGATGCAGCCCAGGCCTGGTGAGATGGTTACGTAGGGGGCTGATCGCGCTACTCACGGGGGTCCTGTCGTCCGCAATTGCGCCCTTTTTATTCTAGGATAAATGGCAGATATAATATAGTTCTTTTTTTGGGGTTAGATCGCGTAAATATAAATGTGTCGTTAAACCCGCCACCACCCGACACAGCCAATTAGTGAGGTTTGTCACGTGTCCAACCTATATTATGGATGATCATGGTCGCGAAAACCTACGTGTTCAACCAAATGGCAGATAATTGAGTGAATTTGCTGGCGTGTTCGGGCAGCGCCTGTTAATGCGGAGATGTTTACAGATTATAGGATGATTTTGGCACTTCTGGAGTGGCCACGTGATTAGTCTGTATGCGCAAAACAAAATATGTGTTGAACAACTGGGCTTCTACTGGGGCCATCCCAAAGTGTACAAATGGTAAATGCATCCATTTAGATCGTCTGCACACTGTGGATATTGCAAGGCACTGGTAAATACCCAGGTAGCGATCTATTCAGGCTATACATTCACGCTACACCTGAACGTGTTCTCATTTCTAAGCAGATCACGCGACAAAATCAATTGTACATATCCACGGTGACATTGTCTCCATTTTCCGCCGCTGCCGCCACCGCTTCAGATAATCACAATGAGAGACTATTTCCCCAAAATCCTGGGCGAAGTGGCCTTCGAGGAGCATATTGGATCCTTCAAGAGCTACAACCCGGGCACAAACCCCACGGTCTCCAACGTGTTCACCACGGCCGCTTACCGCTTCGGCCACGCCACCATCTCGTCGCAAATCCGCCGCCTCGACGAGAACTTCCAGGAGCACCCGCGGTTCTCCACCATAGATCTGCACGAGGCCTTCTTCTCGCCATGGAGGATCATCAAGGAAGGTCAGGGGGGCGGTGGAGGTGGTGCGGGTGGACAGTTTACATCCGGGAGATAAATTTCCCGTGACTGTTGGTTCCCGAACGCTCAAAAAGTCGCTCCTTGAGATCGGCGAATGATGAACTTTTTGGTGGTTATCTGCGGGACCTTTTTGCCAATATAAAAAATTATGAAAAAGAGCAATATATATTTACCCTTTCTGACAATAAAACAGGTGTTCAAACGCCAAATAGAAACCTTTTGCAAGGCATCGACTATGCATTAACCACACGTACTTGTGGTGAACATGTAAACAAAAACACGCTCTGATAATATTTGCCTTTTGGCGTACTCTGGTCTGACCCTTAACACCTGTTTTGTTGCCAAAAAGGATAAAACCTATTGTTATGATTTCATATGCTGTGAATATATATGTATTGCCTTTGAAACTGATTGGCCTACACCAGAGACAACCTTCTTTATAGCCTTGTCTCACCGGTGTTTGACCAGAGAACGCCAAAAGGCGGCTATGCAGTTGGATGTGGGACAACATTGCCTGTTTACTGCATGTGCCATTCGGCAGATATCTGTCTCCTGCGGTTTCTACTATCGCACTGAGCGACGGAAACTTGTATCTGTTTGCATAAGCTCATCTTGGAGTTATATTGATTGGCCAATGTTTTTTTATGATTATTTTCAGAGTATAATTATTTGTAATGGGCCAACCCTTCAAAAGTCCAAATGTACGTAGAAACTGACTTTCCATGAACAGTAGAATGTTTGTAAGTTTCTGACGTTGCATTCTGGGTACCCATGATGCAGTGTGGTATCTTATTTATGAAAGAACCATCGTCTGCACAGTGATGCATTCCTGGACCAAACCGTAGCTTACTTCAACAGTTTAATGAAATATAAGCACAACTCTATGCTGTGTCTGCACACTTTAATAAGAATATATATTTTAGTCCTGTCTATTAGCCTTTCCAGACCAGTTTTATGAGGCAGCATCTACTTAAGCCTGGAAACTCTGGAGCAATTTCGACCTTCTGGGTCTCACCAGCGGAGTCAGATCCAATTCGTGGACAGCTTCATCAAAACGTCACATTGTGCACCACGACACGGCACTTTTCGATCACCCCCCCCCCCCCCCACTCGCTCGCAAACCGACACCAACGCCCCCACCATCTTCCGCCGGGACCCCCCCCTCTACGTCACCGCAGGAGGGTTGGACCCCCTTCTGCGGGGGCTGCTGGCGCGCCCGGCCAAGCTGTTCGTAGCCGACCAGATGATGACTGAGGAGCTGCGCGACCGGCTCTTTGAGCTCACGGACAAGGTGGCGCTTGACCTTGCGTCGCTCAACCTGCAGCGGGGTCGCGACCACGGCCTCCCAGGTGCCTCCCCTACCCCCCGCAGCACACCCCCACCCTCCCGGCATCGTCCGTGACGACATCACCAGTCGCAGGCCGGATTGGGAATCGTCTCCTAGTGGATGCTGGGGGCCCATGACTGACTACCTGGGCAATCGCCCAATTCCTTGGTGGACAGCAAACGATAATACAAACGAACTGGCCTCTCATCCTCCTTTTCAAATCCTGATCATGATCATTGTCGTCATATCATCGTCGTCATATTCATGATTGCTGCGAATGACACCATCATCATTGTCATCGCCATCATCTTTATTCTATTGGAATTTCTATAATGTATGAATAATAATTTACTTATTTATCCAGGAAAGCCACACTGAGGCGTATGACTCATTTGCAGGATTTCATTTTAAGATGTTTTCAGTAAATTAATTGCGAGTATTTATTATACAAGTGGGAGTAATCTGGAGCACCCACACACAGGTAGCATACAGATGGAAACAGATGGCGATTAGTTACCTTGCTCTAATGCCTTCTCCTGGTGAACCAGGGTATGGCACTGTGATGCCCAAGAGAAGGGAGTTTCGCAATATTGTGTGATCCTCCAACCATTGCCTCCATAGTGCTGGATTACAGGTGCGCACCACCGCAACGAACACAATCCGTTGTGTTCACAATTTATTTTAAAGTCATCGATGGGAATGCCGATCAGAGGATTTCAGTACAATTGCCGATACGGTCTACACGTACTTATTTTCTCGTGGAGGTTAACTGGAGAACATAGAGTAAACTCACACGTCGAGGGAGCTAACAGCGTAGCGAGTCCACGTAAGGTAAGGTCGTAACCTACTTTCCACTCTGGCGACATCGCCGTCCTGCAACTTGGCAGGCGCTCAAATCGGACCACGCGCACCCACGACTCGCGAACCTCCACCACGAAAATATTACTATAATCGCGGAGCACTCTCGCCCGCCTCTCACCAGAGGTCGCAACCGGGTACCCGATACCCGTACCCTATCCGATACCTACCTGGCTACCCATACCCGGCCGGGTACAGGTACGGGTACCCGTTTGCGACCCTGGTGCGGCCGGGTATGGGTACGGGTAGACCGTGAGTCACTGGTGAGTAACTGTTTGTCACTCATTTCCCAACGTCTTGTCTCTTTTCACAATTCAAGTTCCTAGAATCAACCCACCCGTGCCTGCAACATGGCTTCATCCCAGAGGTCGCAATCAGGTACCCGATACCCGTACCCGGCCGGGTACGGGTATAGGGTACGGGTACGGCCAGGTACGGGTACCCGTTTGCGACCCTGGTGCGGCCGGGTACGGGTACGGGTAAGGAATCAAAACCCGTTTGCGACCTCTGCCTCTCACCCTTGCCGTGTGCCGCATCTCTCTCCTCCTGTCCATCACACGTGCGTGCGCCGTCCAAAGGCTACAACGACTGGCGCCAATTCTGTGGGCTGGCTCGCCTGGAGACGGCCGCCGACCTCTCCAGGGCCATCTCGTCCCCCGACGTGGTGGCCAAGCTCATGGAGCTCTACGGCCACCCCAACAACGTGGACGTTTGGCTCGGCGGGCTGGCCGAGGACCTGCTCCCGGACAGCCGGGTGGGGCCTCTCTTCGCCTGCCTCATCGGGCGCCAGATGAAGGCTCTGAGAGACGGGGACAGGTGCTGCCGCCGCAGACGCGAATTTCATTTGTTGTTGTTCGGGGTCGTAACCGCTTGTGTCGAAATAGTCTGATGTTTCGCTCCGTGTGCTGGCAGCTTCTTGCGGAGGTGAACTCATACCTGTCAACCCATACGGTTTATACCCCGTTTTCTTGTACAGGGAAATTTTGTTTTCAGGTCCATACGGCGTACAGCCGTTTCAATATGGGCAAAAAACTAAAAGTAATTTTTTTGTGTTTCTCCCTTGTGATGGGACTTTGTAGGATGAACTTTGAGATGTATAAGGGGCACGAGGTGACCAATAAGGTCTGAATTGGTCTGCAATAAGGTAGGGCACTGATAAGGGGTTGACAGGTATGTGAACTGAAGCTAAACTAAGTGGGCCTTACCTCGTAGAAAAGAAAAGAGTATATGTGTACGTTGAACTTCTTTTGCACCGTACGTATCCAACCGTGATAATCGGGGGTGCTGGGGAAGGACAGTCAAGTAGATGTAGATCAATCCAGACTGGCTAGCGGTCTCCAAACGAAATGACCCATTCAAGTGACTCTCCTCCACGTGTGTGTGTGCGTGCGTCTCATTTAGGTTCTGGTGGGAGAACCCGGGCGTGTTTACTCCCGCCCAGCGCACGGAGCTGAGCCGCCACTCGCTGTCGCGCGTCATCTGCGACAACTCCGGCCTCACCGAGGTCCCCGTGGACGCCTTCATCCTGGGCAGGTATCCCGCCGACTTCGTCTCGTGCTCAAGCTTGCCGGCGCTCGACCTCCAAGCCTGGCAAGAGAGGCCGACAGGTACCGGCGGTGTCGCGAGTGCCCGATTCGTTGCCGACTGACGACGCTCAAAAGTCGGACTGGCTCCCCTGCCGAACTGATGGTCCTCACCGAAGGAATGTAGAATCCGTTTTTTTTTTGTTCTGTCATTGAGTTAGGGTCACCGAGAGGGATGGGCATTGCCACACACCCGTTGGAGTAGGGAGACAACTTGATTCGACTGACTCTGACCTGCACTGCTCCTCAGTCATGAGTGGCGCTACTCACCCCCCTCCCATTCCTAAAACTAAACTATAATCTATTTTTATTTTACCAGGTAAGGCCCACTGAGCTACATAGCTCTTTTCAGAAGTGACCTCGCCACAAATTAAGTGGCACATCATGTCGAAATTTAGAGTGGCCAAATACACGAAACGCACGTTTCTAAATGTGAAGGGAAAATCCGGAGGACTCGGAGAAAAATCCACGTGACTATGGGCAGAACGTGCAAACTCCACATATGCAGGTGTCAGGGTCGGTATCGAAGCCACAACTTCCTGTGTACCAGGCGAGGCACTTAACATCTCACCACCGCGGCACCCATCTCCTGGAGCGTGGCGTCCAAAACCGGTGGTGTGAATTCCACTTTCCTTTGGCCGGGACCATTCAAAGATAATGATGCGTACACTCTCTGTCTTTACTCGGGGAAATCTCTTGCCGAGTATTTGGACTTTTACAAAAAGGCCCTGATTTTGGCGCAGTATTGTACTTTGTTCGTGTTGTGTGATTATGTCGCGTGCGGGCGATAGTGGTTAGCACACTGCACTGTGAAACTGCCATTAGACATGGATAATATCAGTGGAGAGTGACATCTGCCCCAGTCGTGGGTCTCCTCTAGGTCGGCTCAACCTTAATATATGTTGAACTTCCGTCGCACCGTACGTAACCAACCGTGCTAATCAGAGGTGCGGGGGAAAAGACAACAAACTGAGTGCTTGAATCGGTACTTGGTGCGGTGTGTAAATATTATCATCGGGGGAGACAAAGGCGACTGGGCGTAGTGGCTCCACCGGACCTCCCCCCGCTCGCGCCACGCGCGTGCCTGAGCGGGCGCTCGCTAGCAGCGCTTGCCCCGGCCGTCTCCGACGCAACGCTGTGGGAACCTTCATCCTCGTCCATGACTGCGTGCAGTGGGGCGCTGCGGGGAGCCGCCCAGCATCCAGAACGGAGGCTTCGTCCTGTGCGCCAGTGGTGGGGAGCCCCAGGTGTCGTACATGTGTCACAGCGGCTACAGACTCACAGCCCCTGCCGACGTCACGTGCACCTTCCAGGGCTGGAGCAGCCCGCCGCCCACGTGTGACGGTGAGAACACGACGGCAAATCGCTGACGACACGACGCCGATTGCGTTCACCATCGTCATCGCCATCACCACAGTTTTCCCAATTTTTATTAGCACCGCAATCATCACTGTCATCACTGCAATCATTTCATAATCAACATTAGCACCACCACCACCATCATCGTCACCACCATCATCATTATCGTCACCACCACCACCGTGATTTTCCCCATTGTGATTAGCACCGCAATCATCACCACAATCATTTTCATGATCATCATTAGCACCACCATCATCATCGTCACCACCACCACTATGCTTCTCCCCATTGTGATTAGCACCGCAACCATCACTGTCATCGCCACAATCATTTTAATAATCATCATTGCCACCACCACCATCATCGTCACCGCCATCAACGTGTAATCCACCACTGTGGGTGCGTGAGGGCTGGTGGACCACACAAATGTTGCGACATTTCCTTCCCGTGGCCGTCGAGGTGCCATATCCTGGCTTGCCAGGAGGAGGCGCTGCAGCAAATGTGTACGAATACCATCTGTTCCATCTGTATAGAATAGAGTGTTGCCCCCTCGCACATTTGGATTTTCTCAGGGTGCTCCTGTTTCCTCCCACGTATATAAACACTGATCAGTAACCGGCTACCTTCATGTATGCGTCTCCATGTGTTTGCGGAGTGTGATGCAGTTAAATAAATTAGGCTACTAAAAAAAACGTAATTATTCTCATTAACGTAAATGCCATCATTATTGTTACTATGATCACCATCGCCGCCACCATCAATAACATCATGTCACCAGTTTAAAGGCTTCAAGACCCCTTGGTGCCATTCATAAGATTCAACTGTTGTGTGTGAACATCACAACCCAAATCTAGTTGACAACCTAAATTAAAAGATCTAAAAAATAAGCGATTAAACAACTAAAAAATGAGATACCTATGGTTACATTTTGATTTCAAGCTTTCGTAGAAGGGAAATAATAATAAAATAATAATAAATGTTAATATAAACATTAAAATTGTCACGACGTTTCGACTGCAACACAAGCAATCATCATCAGGTGTGAAATCCACAGCAAAAAAAATTCTTGCTGTGGATTTTGAAAAATAAAATATTACTGTGGATTTCACACCTGATGATGATTGCTTGTGTTGCAGTCGAAACGTCGTGAGAATTTTATTGCTTTACATTTTTATTATTTTATTATTTCCCTTCTACGTGACTTTACCGAAAGAACCAAGAATATATATATATACCTATGGTTACTGAGCCAATCTCAGTGAACCCTCTCATGGTTACACAACCGCCTCGTAAACGATTGCTAAAGCGAACAGAGGATGCCAAGCAAATGCGGTAACTTCGACGCGAACGACGATGTAATGTTCTCCAACAGAGAACGGACAGCGTGAAATGCTTTAATTGACGAGCCTTTCTCTACAAACTCACTCACAAAAGGCGTCACACCCTCCGGGGGCAATTCGGCTGTCCGATTCCAACGCCCGGCCCGTGACCCACATCGGCACGTCACGCTCATCGCCGCTCCACTGGTGCGTCTCCTTCGGCGTCGAAAAACAAACTTCCTAAAGAGGCTTCTCGTGAAGAACATTGCCAGCGTGAGTGACGAGGCTGGGCTGTGCTGAAAGAAGGCACTTAACAAGTCACCCCCCCCCACCCCAGCACCCCCCTGCCCCCCACCCCCCCTCATCGCAAGCCAATAAGAGAACGCCATCGATTGATCCGATCATCGATTCTCTTTGTGAAACCCATGATCACGCGATGGATGCAGCACCTCCAGTATCTATGTATGTTGTATGTGTGTTGGACTTATTTCGCACCGCACGTAGCCAACCGCGCTAATCGGAGGTGCGACAGTGGCCTCAGGCATCTCTGGTGGATGCAGGGATCGCGGCGAGCAGTTCCCGACAACAATTCACAATTGTCACGTCGTCGAATTTTAGGTGCTTCTTTCGAGGTGCGTCATTGTCCGCCAGGATCTATCAACGGCTGGATGAATGCCACCCCAAGCCATTGCACCCCACAAGACCGCACGATGCGACAATCCATCTCGCTGCTTGCACACGAGCGGACCTCAATGCTGCACCTTCATGTAGCAGTGGTTCATCTTCTTGGTTCTTTCGGTAAAGTCACGTAGAAGGGAAATAATAAAATAATAAAAATAAAACATAATAAAATAATTCTCACGACGTTTCGGCCACAACGCAAGCAGCCGTCCTCAGGTGAAGAACAGGTCTGTCGGAAAGACAGCGTCTTTTTATGATGTTGTATTTTTATTATTTTATTATTTCCCTTCTACGTGACTTTACCGAAAGAACCAAGAAGATGAATCCCTGCAGTCACGAAAGCTTTAAATCGCAATATAGCAGTCAGTGGTTGTCCCAACTTTGGCTGCCACACTCATTCGTCTCAGCCACTTACGGAAATGTCTCACACCCACGGTCCGGCGACCATACTCATAATTTAAAAAAATGTATTAGACTGCCCCGGGGTTAAGGATGACGATGACTACGATGTAGACGCCGCCGTTCATTCTGCCCCCCCCCCCTCCCCCCGTCTTAAGACATTGACGAGTGCGCCGACGAGACGATGCCGCCGTGCCACGCCTCGGCCTCCTGCGTCAACACGGACGGCGGCTTCGAGTGCACGTGCACCGACCCCTACGTCCTGGCCGACGATCGCAGGACCTGCATCGGTGAGACGCGCGCACTCTCTCAGCCCCCCCAACCACCGCGCTCGCACGCACGATCGCTCGCACGCTCGGCCACTTTCAACGTCTCCTGGACGAGACGGAGAGAAACGCGTCACCTCTGCCGTGGCCAATTTGTTCCATTGGTTCTGTGGGTCTCCACGTACGAAGCGCGTCTTTTTTCGTATGGGTTAATAACAGCAGATTAGAGATGTAATTTTGTTTTTGGTTAATTTGTTATACACTCCAGTAGAGTGGATCTCTAGATTTGAAGCTTTCGTGGCTGCAAGGATTCATACTCTTTGGTTTTTTTGGTAAAGTCACGTAGGTAAAACAATCAATAAAACGAAATAAATGAAAACAACTAAATTAAATCACGACGTTTCGGAGGCAACACAAGCTTCCTTCATCAGGTGTAAAAACGGCACAGCAAAATAACTGTAGCTACAGTTATTTTGCTGTGCCCTTTTCCGAAACGTCGTAATTTAATTTAGTTGTTTTCATTTATTTTATTTTATTGATTGTTTTACCTACGTGACTTCACCAAAAAAACAAAGAGTATAGAGTGGATCTCGTCTGTTCCTCCTTTAGAGGAGTGAAGACAGCAGCTTCGTGTTTACCACGTGGTCGATGGTTTGGGATTCATGGCCGCACTCTCAGGCCGCTGAATCTTTGGTGTGACATTTGTGCATCAAATAAGTACGTATATTATATGTACATTGCACCTGTTTCGCACCGTGCACGCCTAACCGTGCTAATCGGAGGTGCATGGGAAGGAAGGTGAACAAACTAAACACAAAAAGCAGTTCTAAATAAATTCGTTTTCAATCAACTGCATAGCTCCATATTCTTAGGTTTTTTCGGTAAAGTCACGTAGGTAAAAACATTAAAATTAATAAAAGTAAAATAAAATAAAAATCACGACGTTTCGGAGGCAACACAAGCTTCCGTCTTCAGGTGGAACCGTCACAGCCACGACAGCTGTATCAAGTAAATGAGAGATTGTAGGAGCTACCACTCCGTTTATATTTTATTTTACTTTTATTAATTTTAATGTTTTTACCTACGTGACTTTACCGAAAAAACCTAAGAATATGAATCCTTGCAGTCACGAAAGCTTCAAATCTAGAATGCATAGCTCCAGTGGCTTCCTAATATCGTCAGGAAGAGCGTTCCAGACGGCTGCAGAAGCACAACGATGCGGTGACCGTCTTTGTCCGATGGTGAGCCAAAAAGTCGCTGCTGCAGGATGACCCGAGTTCGCCCAGATCAATACGGCTTAGTTCCACAGCGTACTGGCTTTTGAGAAGCAAATGTTAAGAAAGCGGTGTTCGTTCAAAGCACGCACACTCCGGACTTTGTTTTTGACCTTCCGAGTCCCATCAGCAGCGCCAATTCTTGTTAAACAAATGCTGCTGAATTACCAGACGCTATTGGCAGGAGCACTCCGGATGTTGTCCAACTAAAAAGTCAACACCGTGCACAAAATCCATGATGCACTGACATGGAGCATTGTTCGGTCATCGAAAATATAAGCAGAACTTGAATGTTGCAACGGAGTGGGGCTCCGCTTACGTTTGGTTTGTTCCATTATTATTGGTGATGGAGGAATGAAAGTTAACGTTCACCTCAATGTGCGCGGGGCCCCATCGTGTCAGAACTTGTAAGTCCGTGTCGATTCTGCTTAGCCGGGTGAGAACCTGGGAGAACAGTTTGAGTCTCACCATTTAAACCTTCTTTGGCAGTATCAAAATATGATAATTGTTTTTTTACCCTTTTATCTGGCAACAAAACTGACATCTTTTTTTTACAAGGAGTCATGTTTGCATTGACCACAATACCTGCGGTCAGAATGCAAACAAAAAACACAACTCTGAATGTTTGAACCTGGCGCCCCGGGTTCGATTCCCGCTCACGGCCAACACCAGTGACGATTATCTGAACCGGTCCTGGGCCTCCCCTAGAATCAACTCAGCCTCAAATGAGTACCGCTAGGGAGACAAAGGCGGCCAGGCGTGGTGTTGGCCACCCACCCCCTCGTGTGCTGTGCCGGCCTTTATAGGTGCTCGCTAACAGCACTTGCCCCTTCAGTCTGTTAAGGCTAAACGGGTGTCTTTGTCTTTGTGCGAGCGAGTGGATGAGTGCAAACTAAAGATGCGTGTTTCTCTGTTCACCCTACGACAGACTCCGGCAACCTCTCGCTGGCGACGATCGTGTCCATCGTGCTGGGATTTGTGAGCGCTGGCAGCCTCCTGTCCTTGATTGCGATCGGAATTAAACAACTGTAGGTGGCTCGGCATTGACGCTCACGCAGCGACACACGGCATTCATGTCCCGTTGCCAACAGCGGTCGAAATGGGTCTCGCATACAACGCTACGCCGTATCGTCGCGATTCAAAATGATTTTCTACGCGACGGTGTTTCCGCGGAGAGAAACGTCGGTGAGCTTGAACTCCCGGACGTAGTAGCTTTCATTCCGGAACTTTGCTACATTCGCATTTCGACCACCGTATACCAACAACTGAAAACAGGGTTCTTCAAAAAAATGTGAAAACTTTTATGGGACTATAATTGTTAATGGAAACAAGAACGGATAATACTACACTGTAACATAATAACAAATGTAATGTCAATAGCTTTAGAAAGTCAAAGAGTCTCCAGTTATTCGCCATCGTTGTCAACGCACGCCTGGAATCTTCTCCAGGTGGTCTCCAGAACCCGGAGGAGGCACATTTCTTGTGGTGTTGTTGCAAATTCTCGGAAGTGTTAACATTTTTTTGAAGCACTCTGTAAATTGGGTACTCTATACATATAAAGCAACACTGTTAATAGGTGATGGCACTATCCTGTTTAAGACAATATCTTTTCACAAATATTCTATGCAAGAGATGTGGATTTACCAAGGGACCGTTACCTTTTTAAACGAACGCACACGCCTCTAAATGTATTCAAAATTATATTGTAACATTTTATTATTTTAATCACTGCGGCACGTTTAATTCGGTTAATAGAAGCCGTAAACAAAACGCGGGAAGAAGTTTATGAATATTCCGTTGAACGGTAATTTAAAAATACATGGACATCTGAGAAGAATAAGAAGAAAGGAATAATTATTCTTCATTGAATGGAATAACCAGATGAAAGCCATTTGAAGTAGCATGCTCCTTTTGAACGGGCCACTTGGGGATAGCACATGCTGTGCCGGAGTGATAAATCATCACCAAGCTCACAATAAAGCCGCACATCAGCAGCCGGTGTACCTAAGTATGTTGAACTTCATTTGCACCGTATGTAGCCAACCGTGCTAATCGGAGCAGTTCGAAAACAAATGAGTTTTCAATCGAGATTCAAAAAGTGCTTAGGTTCAGTGGCTTCCTAATGTCTCGAAGGAAGAGCGTTCCAGACGGCCGCAGAAGCGCGCTTGGAAGTGCGCGATGCGGTGAACCGTCGTTGTTCGATGACCAGCCAAAAGGCCGCAGCTGCGAGCAAGACCGGAGTTTGCGTGATGGAGGTGCGGGGGAAGGTGTGGCGAGTTCCCGCGTGCCCGCGTGTTCTAGGATGCAGATGTCCAAGCTTCAAGGGCGCTCCTCCAACGTCGTGTCCGTTAAAGCCGCGGACAACGGCTCCTTCGTGAACGACAAAAACTTCACCCGCACGGGCTCCAAGATGTCCCATGACTCTGGCATGGAGGTAAAAGATGCAGAGCGATTCGCCAAAGGTTTCATCTTCGTCGTCATCGTGATGATCATCCTCATTGCCATCAGGATCATCATTGCCATCAGGATCATCATCATCGCCATCAGAATCATGGTCATTTCCATCAGTATCATCATCATCGTCAGGATCACCGTCATTGCCATCAGGATCATCATTGCCATCTGGATCATCGTTATTGCCATCAGGATAACATTTAAGAGGCTAATACAATGAACTGAGCTATCACCATGTAAGAATAGCTAAGAAAAGCTGTACAGTAATCATTCATTATTAATGTGATTATCTTACCAAGACCATACATTATCATAATCTTGATTACCACTATCGCTCTTGCATATATCAACATCATCATGAAATATCTTCATAAAGGCACGATGGCATCTTTGAATTCCCGTGTAAATGAATCTAAACTTAATGTAAGCTTTAACCGAAGCAGCTTCGGAGAACTGGAAATAATGTCCAGCGCTCTGAAATCCACTGCCGGATGAAGGCATCCCAGTGCTGCGTCAGTCATGGGCGCTTATTGGACCGTCCTTGACTGCACCGCTCAGTGTGGGTTGTTGAAGGCCTAGAGGGCGTGGACAACTTGACAAAGTTCAGGTATCAGTCTCCTCTGATTTTTGTTTGTGTTAGTCGCAGCCGGGAATCGAACTCGGGTGGCTGGGGTTCATCGGTGGCGCGGACGCTCAGACAGCCAGAGACTCTCTTAAAAAAGCCGAATTAGCAAAAGGGCCCTGTAGACCTTCCACGTAAACAGTGTCGGTGTACATTGCTTGAAAGTGTGTTTGCACAAAGTGGACGTGGCATTTTGTTAAAAAACAAAAAAAAAGTTTTCCTTTGCCAGTGCCGCCGTATTGAACTTGCCCGACTTGGAGGCTGGGCGCGCGTGCGTCATGCCTCGGACATTTAAAGCAGCGGGCACGGGCACGCACTTTAAAAGGGTTGCTTTAGCCAGGGCCGCACAGAAGCTTAGGGCCCACGAAAACTGAAGGGCGCTACGAAAAAAAAATGTGGCCATGTTTTGTTGTTGTTTGTATGTACGATAAGAAAATGGTAACCGAGATATATTGTTGAATAAATATATTTATATATAGCAAGGATAGGCAACAGCGTGTCTACAAAGAGGCAGAGTTATGGCAATGTCAATAGTTTATTGTTTTTGTTTTCATAAGGTGTGAGAGAAATTAACGCCGGAGATGAACTTTTCGAAAAAATATATAATTGTGAAAATTAGCAATAACATCTTCAAATGGTGTTTTTTTTTCGCGAGTGAACAGCGCCAGTCGTAGTGACCTGGGGCAGCAGCAGTGCCCACTGGAGAAAATCCGACGAAACAGAAATGCCAGGGGGCCTACAAGAACCTTAATCCAGCGCTGGCTTTAGCCACCCCTTGCAGGACTAACTGATGTTGGCTAAAGCATGCGCGCGCATATTGGTCCAGTGACATCTCACCGGTGGTCATTTCGTTGGCGATGTATAAAATGTGTTAGTCCTTAGTCTGGTTGACGACAACCTGCGGAATTTTAGTCTCAAGTCGATTACCACTCACGGTCAACACCAATGACGATTATCAGAACCGGTCCTAGGTCTCATGTAGGTCGACTCATCCTCAATTGAGTACCTGGTGCGGTGTGTAAACATCGCCACTGTGGGAGACAAAGTCGGCCGGGCGTGGTGCTGGCCACCCACCCCCCTCGTGTGCCGTGCCGGCCCTTCGTTGGCGCTACTCACGAACAGCGCTTGCCCCAACAGTCCGTTAAGGTCACACGAGGTATCTGTGCGTCTTGTTGTGTGCCGCTGCCGCAGAATGACGGAAGGGAGAGCATCCCTGGCTCCGTTCCAGACCTGCCCGACGTCATGTGACGTGGATCCCAGCCTCTGCCGTCATCGGGTTGCCCCATCCCCACCAGAAGACCTGCGGAAAACGAGGGTGGACGGCCCTCATTTTAACGAGCTTAACGGGCAACTCTCATTGTTGAACGCGCGTGGCATTCACGCTGCCCTAAGTTCTATCAGCAACCTGTACGTTCACGGAGAATAGGAGGCGAGATGTTAACTACCTTGCCTGGTATACAAGAGGTCTTGGGTGTGATCCCGAATCTGACGCCTGTGTATTTGGAGTTCGCGTGTGTCTCTCTCTCTCCCCGCGGTCGCGTGGATTTTGTCTCCGCGTCCTCCGGTTCCCCCCCCCCCCCCTCTTCCACGTTTAGAATCGACGTGCGCTCAGAGTACGCGGCTGCTGCTACTTTGTGTGCGACGAACCTCCTCGTTGCGCCGAGGGGCAGTGCAGGTCCGAGTCAGTCGAGTCACATGGTCTCCCTGCGGCAGTGAAAGTTTCCCTCGGTGACCCCTAAGTCAGCGGGGGGGGGGGGGGGGGGTAAAAAAAAATATAATTCCACATTCCTTTGACGAGGAGCATTCTCTCCCCATGGCGTAACAACGGTTGCCTAACAAATCGTGTTGCCGAAAACTGCATCGTTTGTCTTAAAAAAAATACATGCCAAAACCCCCCCAAAAAAATCATAATTTGCATTATTTGTAAATCACCGCGTACAACCGGTCATATGCCTCTGAAGCATCTTCCGTGTGATGAAGTCAAGGCGATGAGATGATAGTTGTTCGTGAGATTTGCCAATTTCGATGTAAAATGTTGAATCTAATTATTCTCAAAGCAAAAGTTTCCTCGAAGCAGCTGGAAGGTGGCTGGGGAGTGCGGTCATGAGCTCAGTTAATACTGGTAGGAACGAAGTGGACCAGACCACCAATAGATTAATGTGTCCGTCCGTCCGTCCGTCCGTCCGTCCGTCCGTCCGTGGGAGGGGTGGTGTTGAGGGTGGTGTTGGAAATGAAAGACTACGAGTCTTTAAATCTCACAGCGTTTCTTGTCAAAACAAACACTTTTAATTAACGTTACACTAGAATGCAGTAATTTTTTCTTTAACTCCTCTATACCCGGTCGATATCTCTGTACCGGTACTAAGTATTATTCCTACCAGCCCACCCCGCAGGGTCCTGTTTCAAATTACACCGAGGTTGTAATCGGATATCGTGGTTTGGATATTAAAGGCCAGGCGTAAACAACGGAATAAATCCCTAAGAAGAGACGTGACCTCGGTTTTACATTTTATAAAAATCAACCAAAGTGAATCAGTTGCAAAGACTTAATTGAGGCTAATTAATTATACCATTATAGGTGAGTTGTGTAAAACTGGTGTGATGAAATTACTGATATTGGTTGATGAAGTGATGAGAATGGTTGACATTCTAAACATTATTTTAAAAAAACAAATAGAGTTTCTTTCGACCGCAAGAAACATGAGAATATGAACTGGAATTCTTGACTCTCACCTGAGCTTCATCCCATTAATGTCCAGAAAAAAACTCAAAAATATTCCACATCTATTCATGAACGTGAGCATTTTGTGTCGGACAATGGAAACACAAATGGTATTCTTCTCCAGAAACTCCCATCACCAATTTGTGTATGCTCGTTAAAATATATATTTTTTAGAATTATAAACGTTCTGCCAATGGCTACATTTTTTTAATCCTTGCGCTCAATTTATTTTCTCAAAATATTTACTCCCCAAAACTATTAGCGATACAATTCCTCCTGCAGATTCTACCACGTAACAGAATAACGAGTGAAACACATTTGATCTCAGTCTGTCAAGTTAATAATAAACAACAGTGAGTCATATATTAAAAGGAAAAACATTCAAATCACGCGAAATAATCGGAAGGTGAAACAGGTGGCAGAGGTGGCCACATGAGCTCAAGGACAGCTTGGTCAGAGCACGGGGCCAGTGCAGCAAACATCGCGGAATCCAGCATGGACAGCCGCCTTGGATTAACCTATGTTAACAAGCTTCAGAACACGAATCAGAATCGTGAATTAGACTAGAGGAATCTGATGAGATAGGAAGTTCAATAGGTCACAGATGTCCGCTTAGCAAGTTGGTGGGCTCAGCCTGGTCGCCAATCATTTTGACTTTAATTCCATCGAGCCAAATATGAGGGCTAATATTTTTTAAACATATTGGATAATTGACATGAGGTCAATCACACTACAGAGAGCTGGAAGGACACCTCGTGTAATGTTGGGTCAAAAAATTGCTTCACGTCAGCGATTTTGCTGATCGACAGATTTCCATCAGGGACATTGAATCACCGTGTGTTACGACTCTCGGAACGCGATTGGCATTTAACTGATTATCCAAATGCAAACATTATTATTATTATTTTAAGAACAACCCTGGATGTTTCGGAAAGTGATTTCACACGCACAACACCATGGGCAGTAATATCAGCATGGAATGGCCTCGGCCACTATTGGTTTAAGGATGGCTGATGACAATGTTGATAAGATAATGCCCAGAGCAAAACAGCCGAAATCAACCAAATAGATATTTATATGAACGCTTCATCAACCAGAACTCTTCCGCTGTGTTTGTTTAGAGCATTCCTATGGTGGTGCAGTGCCTCTCTAAAACAAATACTCTTCTGGGGTGATGATCACAGCCTCGGTAGACACCTCGTTTTCTCTTGGATCAGAGCAGGCACACCTCTTCTAATACAATCATTTGTTCCACCAACAGATATTTGGTAAGGTAACAGGGATGGTTGTTCAAAGACTAAGCAAAGTTCTGTCCTTGTATTTGCTTTTAAATCAAAATGTTTACTTAAAACGACACTACTATTTTTGGCAAAAGCGATGTTAAAGAAGTGTGACTGATTAGCTGAAGCTTCTTGAAAATGTAACCTCGTAAGTACTTAAGTTTTCGATTCAAACAAATCTGAAATTTAAACGCTTACATGTTTGATTGCCAATTTGTTTCACATTAAATATTGATTTTGCATAATTTATTACATTTTACAGGCTTCATGTTAAATCAGTTGCTTTGCTTCTGCGCACAGACATTTATAGCTGTCGATGAAATGTAATTATGTAATCGTTCAATCGTGCAAAAACATGCAAAACATTAATTGCATTTTTTTTTCAAAGCACACGAAAGAACTTCATAACAACGCCAGTCGTAACGAATGTGCAGATGTCAGCTCAAGCCTCCTGAAAGTCACGTGACTTGTGTGGCCACGCCCACTCTGGATACATCCTCTCTCCACTCCCCCTGTGAAAACCGACACCGCTCCTCCACGCAGCAGCGCTGAGGCCCTTTTAAAGAGCCTCTTCCTCCCCATCCTCTTCTCTCTTCACCCCTTGGGTCACATTTCTCAGTTCATTTTTCCATCTTGTTCCTCTTATTTCTGTATTAGACAACCTTCATCATAACCGACTTATGTTTGGCAGTGGGTGGGAAATAAATCGTTTTGTAAGACCCCCCCCCCCCCAAAAAAAAACCTCTTTATATTTTGTCATCACATTATTGGCATATTTTTGATGACGTATCAGGCTTAATGAGCCTTTGTGAATTTAAGCACAAGACTGACCACCTTGCCTCCCGTTTATGTTGTTTTCACTGCATCACAACTTTACATTACGTAATCCAATATTTGACGTTGTAGTCGTGAACGCTATGTTTTTTTTCTCCTGCTTAGCACGATACAAATCTGCAATGTCCTGGGATACTTTTGGAAAACAAATTGTGCTTCATTATAAAGGAGTTGTTGTGTTATCATAAGCACTTCCCATTGCCGGATTTTGGTTGGCTTCAGGAAGCTGCTGTGATGTTTTGGTGAAGGCCTACAGGGCGGCTTACCGTTACAGAGATGGAAGAGGTGAACAAGGCAACGTGATCATTGCACTTTTCTTGAACAGAAACAAGGTTTCTCTGTAACCCATAACCAACAGTTGAAATGGCCTTAGCGAGTGTGTATGAAGAGTCACGTGTCTATAAAATTAGCTGGTGACAAATCAACCTCGTTAAAGGGGGGTGAGGGGGGTTCCTACAGAGGTAAAATTATAATTTCATTGTTTATATTTCAATAAGAATTTGGAGGTAAAACAACCATAACATTCATGATGTACATGAATATCAAATAGAGTGACAAAAAAGTATGAATCAACTCGGGATAGATACTTAGCATACTTAAGAATTTGGCTGAAATGTAAAACAGGGTTTTGTTGAGCTCTAGTACATACTCGCTCCAGATTATGATGCACTTTTCAATGATTACTGATCATAACACAGTGTACATCATTACATGCTGTCTGTGCCCGACGATTGATGTACACATACACACGAGATCTCTGTCTTAATTTGGATCAGCACTTTCTACCTCACTCCATGTTCACCAATCATCAGGCACACGAGGTGTGTAATGACTATTTACATGTGAAGGTTGCTAGATTGGGAAACGCTGGTTTAAAATATTTTAAAAGAAAACAACTGTCTGCATCAATGGCGAGCAAGCCAGATATATCTAAATGTGAGCTCATTGAAAGTTATTATGTGAACAAATAAAATAAAAATGCATTTAGTGAGAAAAATTAAACTGATTTCTTTTAAAAAGCCTCCGATTGGTCTATAAATCCCATGAGGTTGCAATTAACCACTTTAAAATTGTGCATGAGCATAAGTATTTAAACAAGTTAATTTTAGCGCTTTGACGAGGCACCTTTATTGTCAATCTGCCGCTTAAATACAATGATTGTAAATCGTAATGTTTATTACAACGTATTTACAATAAATATTGAGATTAATTGCTCGTGGTTGAACTCTCTTTGATTCCAACATTGTTGCGCAAATTAAATGTGTACTGCCAAACACTAAGTGGCATTTTGCAGTGTTTCTCTTGTTCATTTCTCTGGTGCCCTTAATGAGAATTGAGTAGATCTGTGTTCAGCACAGGACAGGAATCAATCCACGATTGCTCTGTGACCTCTGAGCACCGGCTTCAGTGGCCATTCAGGAGAAACACAGCAGCACGAACACAACTTTGGTTTACAGCTGTTAGCAATTATGATTCCAGAGCCAAAACGAGACGCCCCAGCGATCTGGCTCATCAGGAACCCGAACCCAGTAAACGTGCAACGTTGGGCGAATGTTGGCATGTGGTTTGGTGCCGTTGGACCAACGTTGGCCAAATGTTCCATATTCACTGGGTATCACCCCGGTGGATGAGTGGCGCAGCTGTCAGCACACTGCCCTGTGAACCCAGAGACCTCAGTTTGATTCAAGACACAACTATCATCAGTGACGAGTGATATCCCAGCCAGCTGTGAGCACACTGAGCTGTGAACCCAGATACCTCAGTTTGATTCCAAGCCACAGCTATCATCAGTGACAGATGATCGCTCAGCCATTCTACGGTCACTCTGCTTCAGCAACCTGTATGTTTTACGTATGTACGTTGAACTTCATTCGCGCCGTAAGTAACCAACCGCGCTAATAGGAGGTGCGGGGTAAAGAATACAAGAGTACGTCAGTGTACTGACCAGCACAGTGATACATGATCAAACACCCCCACTCACCCACAATGACCAACAGTGAGGAAGTCCTTCAGCAAGCAGTGGATGATGATTTTTAAAGTTATTATTATAATTGCCATTGTTTACCCAGGTAAGCTTCACTGAGTCTCCACTATTTTGCAGCAGGGTCCTGGCAAGTTCTCGCAGGAGGTGATGTTGCTGTGTATAATCCCAAGAGTAATATGTAGGTAATGTGTCGAATTTGAGATATTTGACCAATACCAGGTACATTCTACTTTTTGTTTTGCCATGGGAGGAAACTGGAGAACCTCCAAATAGGGGGGAGGCAGGAGGGATAAACTACAAACTCCACTGACGAAATGTGCCTGTGTCGTGAATAGACACAGACCCTGAGTCGCGAATAGACCCAGACCCTGAGTCGTGAATAGACTCAGACCCTGAGTCGTGAATAGACTCAGACCCTGAGTTGGTAATAGACTCAGACCCTGAGTCGTGAATAGACTCAGACCCTGAGTCGGGAATAGACCCAGACCCTGAGTCGGGAATAGACCCAGACCCTGAGTCGTGAATAGACTCAGACCCTGAGTTGGTAATAGACCCAGACCCTGAGTCGTGAATAGGCCCAGACCCTGAGTCGTGAATAGACCCAGACCCTGAGTCGTGAATAGACCCAGACCCTGAGTTGGGAATAGACCCAGACCCTGAGTCGTGAATAGACCCAGACCCTGAGTCGTGAATAGACCCAGACCCTGAGTCGTGAATAGACTCAGACCCTGAGTTGGTAATAGACCCAGACCCTGAGTCGGGAATTGACCCAGACCCTGAGTCGTGAATAGACCCAGACCCTGAGTCGTGAATAGACCCAGACCCTGAGTCGTGAATAGACCCAGACCCTGAGTCGTGAATAGACTCAGACCCTGAGTTGGTAATAGACCCAGACCCTGAGTCGGGAATAGACCCAGACCCTGAGTCGGGAATAGACGCAGACCCTGAGTCGGGAATAGACCCAGATCCTGAGTCGTGAATAGACACAGACCCTGAGTCGGGAATAGACCCAGACCCTGAGTCGGGAATAGACCCAGACCCTGAGTCGGGAATAGACCCAGATCCTGAGTCGTGAATAGACACAGACCCTGAGTCGTGAATAGACCCAGACCCTGAGTCGGGAATAGACCCAGACCCTGAGTCGGGAATAGACCCAGACCCTGAGTCGTGAATAGACACAGACCCTGAGTCGGGAATAGACCCAGACCCTGAGTCGGGAATAGACCCAGACCCTGAGTCGGGAATAGACCCAGATCCTGAGTCGTGAATAGACACAGACCCTGAGTCGGGAATAGACCCAGACCCTGAGTCGGGAATAGACTCAGACCCTGAGTTGGTAATAGACACAGACCCTGAGTCGTGAATAGACTCAGACCCTGAGTTGGTAATAGACCCAGACCCTGAGTCGGGAATAGACCCAGACCCTGAGTCGTGAATAGACTCAGACCCTGAGTTGGTAATAGACCCAGACCCTGAGTCGTGAATAGGCCCAGACCCTGAGTCGTGAATAGACCCAGACCCTGAGTTGGTAATAGACCCAGACCCTGAGTCGTGAATAGGCCCAGACCCTGAGTCGTGAATAGACCCAAACCCTGAGTCGTGAATAGACCCAGACCCTGAGTCGTGAATAGGCCCAGACCCTGAGTCGTGAATAGACCCAGACCCTGATTTGGTAATAGACCCAGACCCTGAGTCGTGAATAGACCCAGACTCTGAGTCGGGAATAGACCCAGACCCTGAGTCGTGAATAGACCCAGACCCTGAGTTGGTAATAGACCCAGACCCTGAGTCGTGAATAGGCCCAGACCCTGAGTCGTGAATAGACCCAGACCCTGAGTCGTGAATAGACCCAGACCCTGAGTCGTGAATAGGCCCAGACCCTGAGTCGTGAATAGACCCAGACCCTGATTTGGTAATAGACCCAGACCCTGAGTCGTGAATAGGCCCAGACCCTGAGTCGGGAATAGACCCAGACCCTGAGTCGTGAATAGGCCCAGACCCTGAGTCGTGAATAGACCCAGACCCTGAGTCGTGAATAGACCCAGACCCTGAGTCGGGAATAGACCCAGACCCTGAGTCGTGAATAGACACAGACCCTGAGTCGTGAATAGACTCAGACCCTGAGTTGGTAATAGACCCAGACCCTGAGCCGGGAATAGACCCAGACCCTGAGTCGTGAATAGGCCCAGACCCTGAGTCGTGAATAGACCCAGACTCTGAGTCGTGAATAGGCCCAGACCCTGAGTCGTGAATAGACTCAGACCCTGAGTTGGTAATAGACCCAGACCCTGAGCCGGGAATAGACCCAGACCCTGAGTCGTGAATAGACTCAGACCCTGAGTCGGGAATAGACCCAGACCCTGAGTCGGGAATAGACCCAGACCCTGAGTCGTGAATAGACTCAGACCCTGAGTCGGGAATAGACCCAGACCCTGAGTCGTGAATAGACCCAGACCCTGAGTCGAGAATAGACCCAGACCCTGAGTCGTGAATAGACTCAGACCCTGAGTCGAGAATAGACCCAGACCCTGAGTCGTGAATAGACTCAGACCCTGAGTTGGTAATAGACCCAGACCCTGAGTCGTGAATAGGCCCAGACCCTGAGTCGTGAATAGACTCAGACCCTGAGTTGGTAATAGACCCAGACCCTGAGCCGGGAATAGACCCAGACCCTGAGTCGTGAATAGACTCAGACCCTGAGTCGTGAATAGACCCAGACCCTGAGTCGAGAATAGACCCAGACCCTGAGTCGTGAATAGACCCAGACCCTGAGTCGAGAATAGACCCAGACCCTGAGTCGTGAATAGACTCAGACCCTGAGTCGTGAATAGACCCAGACCCTGAGTCGGGAATAGACCCAGACCCTGAGTCGTGAATAGACTCAGACCCTGAGTCGTGAATAGACCCAGAC